TAACCACAAAGACCCAAGAATGAACGTAATTCGCTCGCATCAACTGGAATGGGCCAATCTTTCATGCTCTTTATCTTTTTTGGATCCGTGGCTACCCTTTCTGCGGTGACGACATGTCCAAGAAAGTTAACTTTCTTTGCAAATAGTGTGCACTTTTTGGGCTTAAGCTTTAGGCCAGCCCCTTCAGCCGATCAAAAACCGATCAAAGATTCTTGAGCATCTCCTCAAAAGACTTTCCAACTAAAATTATATCGTCCAGATAGACTAGACATATACTCCACTGTAGTCCCGCCAATACCCTTTCCATCAATCTTTCGAAGGTTGCTGGTGCGCAGGCCAGACCGAATGGCATCTGTCGAAATTGAAACAGTCCCCGTCGGGTGGCAAATGCAGTTTTTGGGCGATCTTTCTCTTCGATTTCCACCTGCCAGTATCCCGAACACAGGTCTAAAGAAGAGAACCATTTATTTCCGAACAGTTGCTCCAATGAGTCGTCGATGCGGGGTAATGGATATGCGTATTTTACTGTTAAATCGTTAACCTTGCGATAATCAACGCAAAAGCGTGTAGTACCATCCTTTTTCTTTACCAGTTCTATCCCAGATGACCATGGACCGTCGGCTGGCTCAATTACTCCGCGTTCCAGCATGTCATCGATATGCCTTTTGACTTTCTCTCGCATATAAATAGGTGTGTATTTATGTGTTTATGGTGTGGCGCACCAAGTTAGTTCTACCTAAGTCCCTGTCGGATGCTGCAAAAAAGATCTTTGTATTCATTAAGAAGATTTTCAACTCCTCGTTTTTGCTCCTGGCTAAGATTTCCGCTGCAGTTACTCAGTAATTTTTGTAACACAATTCTTAGGTCCTGATCCTTTTGTATAACAGTAATATTTTTGTCGTCGCTTATCACGTCCTTGACAGGGCTTATATTTCCTACAATTGTCCCAGCTCTAGTTATCCTCACTACATTTGATACATTCATAAAGCGCAGTGGTACGGTTTCTGAGGCTTTCACTAAAGTTCTTGCCATTAAGGCGCTGTCCTTTGCTATGAATTTGTCACAGGGTTCAATGATTCCTAAGCCTACTTCATTCTTTGTTGACGGATATTCGTTAATGAGACCTCGGACCAAAGCTTCTGTACCTGGCTGTATGCATGTATCTTCAACTACTGACACTCTATAACAACCAGGCTGTCCAGTGAAGTTCAGTGGTATCACCTGATTATAGCAAACCATATGTTCTTCTTGTAAATTAATCAGACATCTATTTTTCTTGAGAAAATCTAAACCAATTATACCCTCTATAGCAAGATCCGCTACTACTGCCTCTGATAAGAATACATTTTGATCAATCCAGATGTAAAAATTCTCCTTTTCCCGCAACGTTTAATTCAGTTCCGTTTGCTGACATAATAGGTTGAACCACTTGATTGAGCTTTGGCATCTCTTCCTTTCTCAAACTATTGAATAGTTTTTTTGATATAAGAGTGACAGTGGCTCCTGTGTCTACGAGAAAACTTGACTTTATATTTTCTATAACTACGTCTATATATGCCCCCGCTTCTTTCGTAGAGTTATTTTGGACATATCTTTCAATTTGATTTGTTTTCTCCGCTGTCTTCTTGTTTGAGAATGTACTGGCCTTGCAGGGCCATTCTTGTGGTTCCTGTATTGACCGTTGCCATTGCCGCCTTGCTTTCGTAGCCTACATTCTCGCTTAAAATGTCCATATTTACCACAGTTGTAACATTGCTGATTCCTTTCCCATTCCGAATCGACAGTGTTCCTTCGTCCACTCTTTTTGAATTCATTTAACTCCATTCGAAGTGATTCTAATTGCTTAGTAAACGAATCCATCATTTCTGTAAACTTATCGTCCTTAGATAATTATTGTGTACTAGTATCTGTATACGTGGCCCGCATCTGAGGTTTTACAAAATCTTGTCTTTTCTCTGCTTTGTAGAACGTCTCAAGTTCGACAGCTAAACAGATTGTTTGATTTTTATCCTCATCTCACTATCGTGCAATGCATCAAAGAAATACTCCTTTGATAATGTTTCTTTGACTTCAGTGGGTGCTAGTGGGTATGCTCTGTTTACTAGTCTCCGTAAAGATTGTCCTAATTCTGGCAAGGTTTCACTTGCGCGCTGACGTCTTTCCTTCAACTGAACTCTGTATAGTTTGTTCTGATTTGGAGGAGCAAAACGCTCTTCTTATGATTTCACTAAGGTCTCATAATCCATTTTCTTGTCAGTTGGTAAATCGCTGAATACACTCTGTGCGTGCCCTCGAAGGGAACTGAACCTCCGCTACTGGTACAGGGTGCGGCACTAGTTGTGTTGTATTGCACTTGATTAGAACGGATTCCCGGTCTTGCTCACTTATGTAAGGTCCAAACAATGTTGGAGCACCATCAGCTCGTTGAAGCTGTGTTTGGACTGTGCGCTCTGTGACATCGCCGAATTCCGTGCGCCTCGTCTGAACAATACCAGAATCCGTCAGGTTTCTAGGTTGCTCTATTGGGGTAGAGTGTTGTGGTGTCAAAAGCCAAGGGTTTTGAGTTTGTCTCAACTTCTCCCTACTTTGCTTAACCTCTTCCTCTACCGTACTTATATGCTGTTGTAAATCATCCATATTAATTCAATTATCAGTGCACTTACCAATATCCCACCGTTGCCACCAAAATTATGTCACGTACTCGGTGTAGTGACTTATGGGTATCGTACCAGAGTTTACCCCTGGATATTGGAAGATGCACCGTTTCTTATATATCTATCTTTAACTTATTAATTTGGCCTCTGTCATCCACTAGCAATGTATTGGACGTATTGTTGTCTTTGCATAGTCCTTATGTGTCTAGCAACAACCAGTGCTAACCTGTGCACTATTACAACTTTGATGTATTCTATCTATGCACTGCTATCCTGTGCACTTTCTGGTCTGTTCCGCCTGTGCACTGCTTAACCAGTGAACTCTCTGGTTTATGCTTTACTTGTGCACTTGTTTACCTGTGCACCATAACCGCACAGTCGCCTATATATGTTCCTATCACCCGGTGCGTATGTTTCACTTATAATATCCTCCTGCAACCTTATTCAGGTACGCAGATAGATTCTTATTCAGAATCTATTTAATCTTTTATAAATGAAATAATTACCTTCTTGCTTCTTCTAGACGTCTTGATTATTCATTAAGCAACCCTTTATTACTGGAAGTGTTTTACGACCATGACTGGATATACATCCCTCGCACGGTCGGTCTTTATCTGACAGCACATCGGGTTTTATACTAAGTTTTGGACCATACCATTTACTTTGGACGATACCAAATATCTTATTCCTATGAGTGTTTGTAGAATACCTAACCCTTATTGCTAAAACGTTTGAATGACGGCCCTTATTTTTACAACTACCGATCGGAATATTTCCGGCTTTGCTAACCACAACTTGTCCGTTCCTGATTCTAAATGTTATAAATTTCCATAGCAATGTAAACAAAACAAAATCAAAAGTAGACAACCATTCAATTTTCAAACTAAACGAGTTCGTATAACAATGTTTCAGCTTGATAAAAGTAATAGTAAGTTGAACCCTAGTAAAATAAAACAAGTGAACTATATTCATCACATATAACATGTATAAGCCACTGAATCTTATTTCATATAAATCGACATTTAGAGTAACGAATCATGGTATGATATGTCTATATAGTATAAGATATTACATACTGGGATGACTATCTGTGTGTTCAATACTTACCACTTGTAAAAATGTACTCAAAGGATGAGAGCCATTGTGGGCTATACATCAAAGAGACATCATACCAACAAATTATATAACCAAAAGAGATCTAAAGAGCAACAGTCTTCAACAAATTATGTACTTTGAATATTTTGCAATTTCATACTAACTCATAAATTCTTTTTATAATATATATCCTTGCAAAAATCATCACTGAACAAATATTTTCATCACACTTTTCATAGGAACTAATGAACAGAATCATATTTGGTAAGCAGCTTAACTTGAATGATTCAGCGCCCTCTATCGGTCAGTGTCTTTAATGTAGCGATCGATAGTGAGTCGGAATATAACGACTGGATTAGTCGGGTTATCGGCAGCTTAGCAGTGATGAGTTACAACCTGTCAGACACCTACTTTCTGAATTACAAGTAGAGGTGATAACTATGCTTAGCAGAACAGTGTGTGCAACTTCTGGTTTTTGATTTTTAAAATAAGACACATGGGATTCACTCTAATAAGACATTCTTAAATCGGTAAATACATTTTTGTGTACCTCACCAAAGAAATATAACCGATAGAGAAAGCTAACTGCCTAAAATCATTGACTCAGAAAAAGTGATATCTTTACCTAGATATTTTTAGTGTTGGTAGCTTTTACTGACTTTAAGTCTGATTTTATCAAGAACAAGCATTCTGAGAGTATTGCATAGCAATACATATAGTCCCCTACCGGTTAAAAATTCATTGTACTGGAACAAAATGCTAACTTGATCTATAACTTGTCATGGTGTAAACTATATAACAAATATAAAGTCAATATCTTCAAGCATGACGAAAAGAGGTGTGGAAAACTGATTATTTAAGTGAATTTCCTAAGTCCAAGGACCATAACTCTGCTTAAAAATCATCAGACCAGAACAAAAATTATAATTTGATCTGTAACTTGTCATGATAAAACAATACACCAAAAATCAAATCAATATCTTCAAGCATGAAGAAAAAAGTGCGGAAAACTGATTTGCCAGACTGACAGATGGACAGACAGACAGACAGACAAACAGACGGATGGAGTGCCAACCTAAAGTCCCCTTTGACTTCGTGGGTAGGGGACTAATAATATGATGTAAATATTGTACAGTCATATTGGTGGAAGAGAGATTTTATTCATATTGTTTGTGAATCCAAAACTACTCAGAAGAGGTGTGCCTACATTGGCTGAGAACTTATATTACAGATTACAGATTGAACAACTCAGATGCATTATAAGATTTTATTCATACAACAAAGACCACAGACTATTATATACTGTAAATTCAGAAATTATTGCGTGCATTTATTATTGCGATTTTGTCATTTTAGACTTAAATGCGATTTTAATTTTTACGATTTTGAGAAAAATCCTGTTTAGTTCATATAAAATATTTCAAAATGCGAGTTTAAATTATTGCGTTTACAACTCTGTCGCATTTGTCGCAATAATAATAACCTCGCAATAATTTCTGAATTTACAGTATATAAACATGTGTACTAACAATTATTATCATATGATGTTATACACAGATCCATACTAAACATTAATAAATACTGTCATAGCTTTAATATGGCTAGAAACAACAAATATGGAAATTTAACAGAACAGCAATATCAAATATTGAATATCAAAGATTCCACAAAACTTAAAGTTACCATGGTTTTTTTGCAAAAATATCTTCAAAACCTGAAAAGAATTTGGCTATTTAAGTACGATTATCTTGTGGTATTAGCTTTTGCACATCCTAGGAAGACTGTGACCATAGATTTGGCTTTTCTCCATCATCCCCACTGATTTGTTGTGACTGACTGCGTCAGAACTAATTAATCTTATATTTATGGTAACCAAACAGGTGATTTCTTTTCGCTTTTAAAAAAAAAATTTATTTCATGCCAAATAAGAGGGTACCGGTATTTACTTTATTCCAACAAGGAAGCAAAAAGTGACTACATGGAAGGCAAATAAACTCATGTGCTGTACCTTTTCCATGGCTTTAATTTTGTTTCAAATAGTGTATAATATTAAACCTTACAAATATCAATTGTTTGATGCTGGTATATCTAAATAAACAATATACTGTCAATATACGGATTATTTTTAAATATCTCAATATATGAACTAATAAACTTTATTAACATCACATTTATACCCAAGGGGTTGATGGCATTACCACAACTATTGGAAAATTGGCATAGTTTCAATAAAAATTGATTTAAAAAGGTAAATAACTTGTTTATTGCTTGTCTTCTACAAAAGCTTAATTTCAAAAATTTTCTTTCCATCTATTTCTTTAAGTTACCCATAAACAGCTGTTGAAATATTGCAACGTGACAAAAAAAAAATATTAAGCATACTTATTCACCAAATTTGAGTTTAGATATTAGAAGATTTGTGGTTAAAGTAATTACTATGTTCCAGTTCATAACCATCATGTCTGTTACATACCACAATCAATTATAAATAATAACAATTACATATCCAACACTGGCCCAGCAGATTGTCAATATAAACAAAATAAAGACATAGTCATAATTTATAAGACAATGACAACATTGTTAACAATTACCATATCAGCTGATTTTAACAAGAATTATATGACTTTTTACTTTGCATCATGGGACAAGCTCACAATTAATTATAATCAAATACAATAGGGAAACTAAAATTTTGCAAAGAAAAGGGAAGTCTATGAATAATTAATCTGTTTGAGAAATGTGTATTGTGTTTTGATGTTTGACAATTTAAAGTTAAATTATGTATAAATGTCATATGGTTCATGGTGTGAGAGCAATGAACAGTAATAAAAAGCCTATTGTTAGCAGATATTCCAACAGTGTATTCATTAGGAACAATGAAGCTATAAATATCAAATAAAACACTTGTGGAGAAAAATCATAAATATTTATAAGTTTTATTGCCCTGTGGGAGGAACTTATTAGAATGCATATGACAGTCAAATTAAATAATTATAACATCATTCAAAAATAATAGTGGAGAAGAAATAATATAAAATAAGGAGATACGGTTTGATTGCCAATGAGACAACTATCTACCAGACTTCAAATGATGTGGATGTCAGTAATTACAGGTCACTGCATGATTAGTTTGTAATTGTAAAAGTTATCTTTTTGTCTGAGGGACTTTTGTACACTTTATTTTAATGGCAATCATAGTTATTTCATAGTCTAATAAACTCATTTATGAAGTCGTAATGAAGAGAACTGATCTAATGCAAGGAAATAAAGCATGAAAGATTTTCACAGGCCTTAAAATGATATCTTCTAAGAAAAAGTGGTAAGGTAATTTGACCACATGCAGAAGTTAAGAGTGAACTAATTGGTACTGAACTACCAAATGTCATATGACATAATTTATCCAGTAAACTGACATAGCTACTGAACTACCAAATGTCATATGACATACTTTATCATGTAAACTGACATAGCTACTGAACTACCAAATGTCATATGACATACTTTATCATGTAAACTGACATAGCTAATGAACTATGAAATGACATATGACATACTTTATCATGTAAGCTGACATAACAACGACATAAAGTACTTGTGACTTTCAATCCAGTGTGTGTAGGCAGTTCAACAATGTAACATACTGAATATACATTACATAGACCTACATTAATATCACTTTTCAATTATAAATATTTCATTCAATTCCAGTTGTTTTCTCTTGAAAAAAAACCCCATATATAAACACATTTTTAAAATCATGCTTTTATGCTATAATAACAAATTAATTCCAGGTAGGTTCCTATTCCTATATTTTAGAGGATCAAATGAGACTAAAATAAAAAATATATATCACAGTCATATATAAATGTGTTTAGAACATGTGGTGTATGTCTGTCCCCCTTTCAAAAATCCTAAATCTGCCCCTGTTACAGTTAGTTATAGTGCAACTTTAAATCATTGTAATGGTCATGCTGTTACTTTCCCACGATTCATAAAACAACACAAATAAGTCATGTGACACAGTATTAAATTAATATGAATAAAAGAATAAAAAATTAACCACTTAAACAAAAATACAAGAACAAATTTAGTCTGAGCATTTTAGGAGCAGTAATTCTAAGTATTTATAAATAAATAATAACTCGCCACGAGGTAGCAAAATATCATCCTAAAATATCACCTTTGACCTTAAAGAAGTCACCATCAAATGGAAATAACATAAAAATAAAATTAATTAAAGTCTGAAGATAGTTAAATAAAATCCATTCACAGGTTTAATGAAAACATTGCTATGGTATGATTTCCAAATAGACAGCTATCCATCAAAGACACAAAACAAAGATATGAGCATCTAAAACGTTACAAAACAAAGAAACAAAGTAAAAGAAAAGTAATAAACACAGTATGGTTAACAGACTAGAATATTAAATATATATACATGTATAACATAACAAAATTAATCATGTTTAGAATATAAAAGTATTAAATAGTAGAATGAAATAAAAATAAATCATGTATATAAAAAATAAAAGTGATATAAATAATGACTAAAATGAAAATGGACAACCCTCAGAAACCTCCCATTAAATAATCTAAACCTCTGAATGGCACCTTTATAGCTTGACTAGCTTGCAATAGATTTAATAGGTGAACATTGTATTCAATGTGAAAATGTGTTTGTTGGCACTTCAAACATATTCAAACTATTAAGAAAACTAGATTTTAACTTGAACCTACAGGTATGACAAATGAATGTAGAAGAGAAATGAAGATCCAAATATCCACCATGAAATAGATGTTTCAACACAATTTAAAGTTTCTTAATCTTCTATAGAATTCTATTAAAATGTCCATGACAACATATGACAATGAAGGAATATTAACAGTTTAACATGGAATGTTAAAAGTACTGGTCATGGCTATATATATGTGTATAATATTACTGGCTTTTTTAAATATATAATATAACTGACTATATAAGAAAGCACATTGCTAGCACTGTGGCTGTAAAATTTGATTAATAGCATTTAAAATACATGGCACTTCTATACAACATAAATGGCTTTATGGTATCCATGGCAACAAGTAATGAACAATTTTAAATAAACCCAGATTTCTATAAACATGATATACTTTTGATATAAATAAAATATTTTAAATCTTTAATATATTTATTCTGTTTTTTTTGCGCAAATTGTTTAATATTTCTCGCTTTAATATGTTAAGAAATGTTATTTAAACATGAGCTAAGATTAAATCAGGAAAATATTATAAATTCAGCTGAGCTGAATTATTTTGAGATTTGACCATGGAGTGATTATTACAGAATTTTCTTCTTTTTGAACAACACTTAAATGATTTGGGGAAATAACTTATTTGACTATTAAGTAACTAATTTTAAGCCATGTATAAGTAAGTTGAAATAGATGAAAATTATCCCCCTTGATTAAAGAAAGTCACAGATTATAACCTTACACAAGTGGAACAATTATAGACCCGTTATTAGAAAGCAAAAGTTACAATAAAAATGGTAACATTCTACATAGACAAATTGTTTCTTCTTATGGTATGGATTTTATTAAAGATATATCATAACTGTCAACAATACATGATACAAAAAATAACAATAATATTGCACATGATTCCTGACTTCCAGAAGAAAGCCTTTCTAAAGTAAATATTGTTCTATTTACATGACAACAAAACATAGCATCTTAACATAGTGACCCAATACTTGTCACTTCAACAATTTCATCAGATCTGTACTCAGTAATTAATACACCAGATCCCGTTATTTCTATTTTATAGAGTGTGTACATGGCAAACATACCATCATTATACATCATAAGGTATTCAGTGAATCAAAAATTCTGTTTCAATGTTAAATTTGAAAATGAGACAATTTTATCATGATTTCAGAACTTTTTCGGAAAATCAGAAAATCGTTTTTTCACTTCCATGTTTACCTAATCCTTTTTTCCAAATACTATTTTCAAGAAGAATACATTAGCAAATATATTTGAAATGTCTAAAAACAAATATATGTGGCATAGAAATTTTCATCTTTTTTAATAGATTTTTCACATGTCCATGTGTATTTTGAACTATTAAATTATTAACATTATATTTTTATCATTTATAAAAACTAACTAACAATATCACTAGTAACAATATTCTTAACAATTCATCATTAATTTTTCCAATCTTGAACATCATAACATTTGTTCAGCAGATAAAAATATTTTTGACATTCCCTCTATTAAACAACAGTGTATATTCTAACAACAATGACACTTGTAAAACATACCTTTCTAAATTTTTGAATGATACATTTGAAGCAAAAATATATATCTTTTAACAATACTTATTTTATACCAATGATTATAATTTTCTTTACTTAAAATTTCACAACAAATATTTAAAAAAAACTCAAACATCTAAATTAAGTTGCTTTACAACCAATTTTAAAATGTAAATTGCTATGGTAAAATAACATTTAAAATATTATACATACAATTTTGACCTTGTACATATATATATAAAGTTGTTAAGCACATATCCCAGTTAAAACAGGTCCCATATTATGATTTATCTGTATATTTGTTGTTTGAGGACATTTTCTATCTTCTGATGTAACCACTTTATAATTCCAGAATCTTGACTAGATACCTCTACATGGTTCCCAGAGAAAACAGTTCCAGTATTGTCCTGAAAAAAAAGACAATTTTTACAAGGTTAAATAAATAAAAATAATGCACAGCATGAACAAATTCTTATTTTCACTTTTATTAAACATCTTGTCTTCTTTCCATGTAGGCGCTCTAAATATGACTTTAAAACGAAAAACATGGCCCAAAAAGTTTTACAACAAAGGATAAAATAACAATACTTGGTCAGCACCTCATAAGGAACATTCATGCCATGTTTGGTTTCATTTCATTCAGTGATTCTCAAGAAGAAGTTCAAAATGTAATAAAATGCTCCGCTGGGGCGCAGCTTGATACGACCGCAGAGGTCGAACCCTGAACAGTTGGGGCAAGTATGGACACAACATTCAAGCTTGATACAGCACAGAATTTGGATTGTAATTAAATATTTGACACAGCATAGGTTTCTGACACAGAATGAATGTGGTCTAAGAACTTAAAAATGTTTAATTTACCTATTCAAACCATATCATTATTATTTGCTTTTATATATAAATCAGAAATAACCAATTTAAAATGGAAAATTTTAAAGAAAAAAAAGGAATAAAAAAATCCCCCCCCCTCCCAATTTTTTGAACCCCCTTATGATTCATCACCCCCAAACTCAATCCCAGCCTTCCCTTTGTGGTATGGTACCTTGTAGTACAATCTCAGAGAGATCCATACACTTGAACACAAGTTATTGTCTGGAAACTAGAAAAATGCTTGTTTTTTGGCCCCTTTTTGGCCCCTTATTCCTAAACGTTTTGGGCAATTACCCCCAAACTCAATTCCAGCTTTCCCTTTGTGATATGGAACCTTGCAGTACAATTTCATAAAGATCCATACACTTACACACAAGTTATTGTCATGAAACTAGAAAAATGCTTGTTTTTTGCCCCTTTTTGGCCCCTAATTCCTAAAATTTGGAGGCAATTACCCCCAAAATCAATCCCAGCATTCCCTTTGTGATATGGAACCTTGTGGTACAATGTCAGAGAGATACATACACTTTCACACAAGTTATTGTCATGAAACTAGAAAAATGTGTATTTTTTACCCCTTTTCGGCCCCTTATTCATAAAATTTGGAGGCAATTACCCCCAAAATCAATCCCAGCATTCCCTTTGTGATATGGAACCTTGTGGTGCAATGTCAGAGAGATCCATACACTAACACACAAGTTATGTCTGGAAGTTACAAAAATGCTTATTTTTGGCCCCTAATTCCTTAACTGTTGGTACCATAACCCCCAAAATCAATCCCCACCTTCCTTTTGTGGTATTGAACCTTATGGTAAAATTTCATAGAGATCCATTCACTTAAACTAAAGTTAGAGTGCGAAAACTAATGTGTCTTCGGACGACGACGACGACAACAACAACGTCGTCATACCAATATACGACCGCAAAATTTTTTTGCGGTCGTATAAAAAGTTAACGACGACAACGGACTAAGACGACGGACGCCAAGTGATGAGAAAAGCTCACTTGGCCCTTCTGGCCAGGTGAGATAAAAAGACAGGAGGGATAAAAACCTTAAATATGTGTAATTATTACTTTACCTTTAATGTAATCACTATTTTCTTGTCTTCATCCAGTAAGGCAGGTACTCCAATTATACTCCTTAACTCAATCTCCCATTCCACATCATATCCACTGGAAAATCTATTTCTATCTAGGTACAGAATATGTCTGTTTAAATAGAAATAATAAATATTTACAACTCAATCTCTCATTTAATATCATATCCACCCAAAATATTGCAGTGAAATATATATTGGGGATTCTGGAATTGTACATTTGAAGAAAAAATTCAAAATATTTTAAAATTCGTGAAGAAATAAGTCGGTGGTACGGTTTCCAATGGAAACTGAAAGGAATGGACCCCAAGGAATTAAGGAATTCACTTCCTATTACAGTATGTGATCTCAGTTGGATATGGGCTCCAATTCTAATTTTAACTTTGAGTATTAAACACATATACTTTTTGTCATGATTATATTGGTAGTTAAAAACATTAAAATAACCTTTGTTAAAAGTTGAAATGATGATTTTGTGAGAAAATTATCTGACCGCTGAAAAGAGTTAAATTGTATAGAAAAAACTTTGGGTGGGTCTGAAAGTGACCATTATAGACAAGTGACCGCTGAATTGAGGTGACCTTTAATGCAGGTTTGACACATCGTATCCAAGGTGTTAGTCTGTTAAAAATCTGACCAAATGGTAAGAAATATGTTAACAGTAAGACTAGAAGAATAACACATTGTCTTTTCAGGAAGATACAAATTAATATATACTGATGATAATAGAAATCCTTCAAAACTTCAAACTGACACAAAATATCCCTTTCACAATGAAAGCTGTTTCTGTTTATCATAAGAATGAATTACATACTATGGACTTATCAGTTAATACTTTTTCACTTTTTGTAACTATTGGAGAAGACCTATTATGATTGATTGATTGATGTTTCCTTAACATCAACACATATATCTCTAACATATTCAGTACAAGATCAAATTTACTATTGTTGGGCATGCAGTGTCTTAATGAAAATAAGTATTAAAGTAGCCCCTGTTTTCACTGAGTAAAAACACTGACCTGTTAGTTATAACAACCAAATCTGCTCTGTCGTTATAACTCAGAGGAGCAAAATCTATAAATACATCAGTCTTAAAGTACATTCCTCCTTTCAATGTGTTAAGTAGATGACAGCCTCTGGCCATATACTGTGAAAATGGCTGTAAACCCTAAAATCATAAATGACAATTATTAATATTTAGCATAGTATATTTTGGTTGGAGGTCAAGTTGTATTCACTTATCAGATTATAACAAAATTATTAAACTTCCAACTGATTTTCTTATGGTTGACATTTTCTTACCCTTTATGGATTGACATATCTTAGCAGTCTCATTCTAACTTTACTTACCCTGTATGGATTGACATATCTTGGCAGTCTCATTCTGACTTTACTTACCCTGTATGGATTGACATATCTTGGCAGTCTCATTCTAATTTTTCTTATGATAGACTTTATTAACCCTTTATGGATTGACATATCTTAGCAGTCTCATTCTAACTTTTCTTATGATAGACTTTATTTACCCTTTATGGATTGACATATCTTGGCAGCCTTATTCTGACTTTACTTACCCTGTATGGATTGACATATCTTGGCAGCTTCATTCTGACTTTACTTACCCTGTATGGAATGACCTATCTTGGCAGCCTCATTCTGACTTTACCTACCCTGTATGGATTGACATATCTTGGCAGCCTCATTCTGACAATAAATCCACCATCCATTTCTGCTGTTCTATAATTTAAAATAGATTACATCAATGAAGTAACAATATAAAGTGCATCATTACCTCATAACCCCTTATACCCACAATCAAGTTCCTGATAGCTATGCTCATGACTTTGTTTTTAACAAAAGAACAGAATATTGACTTTTGACTGCAAATTACTGATGAAAGTGGTTATGAAGTTTTCATATAAACAATTATTCTTTAAAAGGAAATACAACAGAACAAAATGCAAAGTTTAACTCATCAATATGCAACTATAAACACCACAAATTAGTCTAAAATCGGTGAGTATCTCAAAGAGTTGACATATTTTGGAATGGGAGAAGGAAGAATTGAAAGACAAGGGCTAATCTATATGCACCTGCTACTTAGTGACATGGGCCAAAAAGTACTAAATTTTAATCTGACCTTCGAACTCCATCAAATGCCATGCTGACTAGATCCAGGACTCCTCCTATAGGCTGTGTTATCAAGCCTAATAATCCTTTACCAATTCCTTTAAAGAATCCTTCAACCCCATCCTCTGTAGCACCTATAAACAGACAAAAATATACAATCATATTTCTACATATAAAGTAAAATTCATGTAAATAAAGTTATAGATCAAATGAAACTATATACGATTCATTCATTTTCGTGGATCGAGGGAAATTTTTGTTTTCGTGAATATTTGATTTCATGGTTTGGCTAAAGTCTGCATATAATCCTATCAAAAATTTATGCTTCTTTGAACATTTAAATTCATGGTTCAAGCTTACCGACGAATTTCACGAAAATTGATATCCCACAAATATAATGAATCCACAGTATGTCTTGACTAACCAACTCATCATGAAAGAGTCTGAATACCCAGGTAAACTATGAAGACCGCTGACATATTCTCTGTGGCTTTATTTAGACATGCACAGTATGATAATCTTAAACCAGCTACAGTGAGGCTGATTGGTAAATCTTTGGTTTCTTCATCAAATTTTACATAGCATCTGGATATGTGTTTAGTCTTATTTGTATTGGACCCAGACTTATAGATTATTAATGTTTACATTTACCATGTCATGTTTGCCCTTAGTTTCTGACGATAATTTTCAATCTCAAGCAAGTAGCATTTAATGATATGAAAAATTATCACAATAAAAGATTAAGAGAAAAATAAACAAAATAGCCATAATATTTATTATCATTCCATATTATATATTTGAGAGTCCCATCCAAAGTTGAAATATGAAGTCTGGGTGCCTGTTCAGACTTACCATGTATGGGGTCCAGAACAATTCCTGTTAGTCCATATTTAATACCAGATAGGAATCCCTGTCCAGCAAGAGCTAAGCTGTGGGGTAAATCTCTTGGTGGCTGGTGTTGTCTTCTCTGTCTTTTCTGTAAGAAGATTTAAAACCAGTTATTTATTCATAAACTATGATACCATATTTTCAGTTTAAATAATAGTGTTATTGATCAATAGAAAATTAACGTCTTTATTTTCTGAATTTGTGTTTTCTCTATTTTGAACAATTACACCAAAAAGAAAGCTTCGTCACAATGTCACAACTTGTAATACTTATAAACAATGATTAATGCCTTAGAATCATAAAAAATTGTGAGAAAAGGAACTCTGTTTTATAAGACAATGTTCTTGGCTGACAGCATGTTACAGCAGAATTTGAGGCTTTCCTTTGAAGAAATCTGAAAGTTAATAAAATCTATACTGGAAAATATACATACTCTCTGGAATTCTTCATCAAATGACATGTATGCAAAGGCATTCCCTAGTGATCCAGTTACTCTGGCGACTGAATTTGATGTTCCTCCTATAAAAGATTAATAAGTACAAAGAAACTAGTAATATCACAACATTTTAAATTTTTCTTTCAAAGGAAATCAAACATTAATTTATTGAAAAATTCATTCACAAAATGCATTGCATCTATCTTTTTTTAAAAAGATGCCGTTATCAACTGCAAAAACAGTTGAAATACAAATACTATTATAACCAAATAGTCTTATTTCAATGCTATGGAATAAGGAAGTTTATACGAACCTACAATATGGCTGATGGCACTCTGGAATCCTCGAGCCATGTTTTCTGAAAAGTTTTCATCACCTCTCAACGTATCCTGTAAAATATTATACAGGATTTTCTTTTCAATTTACTATTTTTTTGTGACCTGGAGTTCTTTTATAACATAAATTATATCCTATGAATACTATACCGGTACTCGGATGAACAACATTGCCAAATTAAGAATTATTATATTAATGTGTAATTTTGAAATTTTTTTTGACATAAAAAAATTTACTACATATATTCTTCAACAGTTAAAACAATCTAATACCATTGTATTACCCCACATCTGTTTTCTTGAATAAATGTAGCCTGATCAACATATAGCAAAGAATCTAATTCAATCATTGCTAGGGGCCATTTTGAACATACAGTGAAATGAGAGATTTTCACCTGCGAAAGTATGTCTTTTTATATTGGTTTTGTTGAGTGTTTGTATCCTAAATTAATAAAATCAAAATCAAAACTTTATAACAATATAAAAATCAAAAGAGAACACATAAAGGATCTGTATAAGTAATACCAAAACTGAAGATCCCTACCTACATCTACAGAAATATAAACTTAGAAAACAAGAACTTTTATTACTTGTTTGTATTTCTTTCTTAGCATCACTAATTACTAAAATGAGCAGAAAATGAATTACCATAACAGGTTCATAAAACAGTTCACTGACACCTGTTGTCAGATCTTTAAACAGTCCGTATGGATTACCCAGGACATCTAAACCAAGTATGATAACATATAGCTGCATCATCAGCTGTTGTCTGTAATGAGCTACAGCCAATGACCACATCTGACCTCTAGTGATGTGTAATCCCTTCTGTTCAAAATGTACCATTCTGTCGAAAAACAGACAGAAATCAATAAAACAACACATATAACATACCATTCTGGGCTTTTTATAACCAACTATATGGTATGTGATTTTTTTATTTTTGTCGACAGGGTTCATTGCTCATGCTGTGTGAATGTGTCCTGTGCTTGCAGTGTATGCCCTTATATTTAACTGGTAAGGATTTTTTCCTTGTAAGAGAGTTGTCTTCATCTTTTATAATATTAATGTTCTATTTCTTTATATTTATGACCATGTATCATCCTTGCCCCCTAAGTGGTCCTTGGTGATGTCATTTGGTCCGTGGTGGAGAGTTGTCTCATTAACAATCATACCACATCTACTCATTTTATATTCTACTTTCATTTGTCGAAAATATTTCTTTTCTTCTGTGTGGTTAGATGTGGATATCCTTTTATGTTCTTATTCGGTATTTTATATAAAAACAATTTATACAAGATATTTTAAATTTAAGACAAACAAAAAAAGAAATAAATATATTTCTCATATTAAAGTCTTTACTTTGTTAATTCTCTGTTTTTCCTGTGTGATTAACAATGATCATATCTTGTCATTTCTATGGAAACCAATAATCATGCAGACAGGTATTTTGACAGTACAATACATAAAACTAGATGTATTCTAATCATTACATTGGAGACTCCCAGAGAGTTATTAATAATACTTCCCTTACATTTATTCAATGTTAATATCTCTTTTAAGGTTTAATCACTTACTTAAGTTCATTGTCTTTGATTTCAGTCAGTGTAGCTCCTACTGAATTCCGTAGAAACTCCTTTATATCTGAGGCTAAAGAAGGCTGGTCTTCTCCACAGGTATGAGGTGTTCCAGACAAGGAAAAACTCACATTCAACTAGAAATATATAAAACAGATAAGACAAGTAAAAAAAGAAACAGATCCTGAAACTCTTGATACAATTTGGGAATCTGTCAGTTCCATCTTTATCCACAATATAATATTTTGTTATTTTTACATAGATAAATATTTTTAACGAAGATTCACTGAATTACACTATATATTGCATTTAAAGTTATAGTATATTTAATGTTATTTTTAAGGTCTGTATTTACAACAAATTTCAATCTACAATCACTCCATTTTGATGATGCTTGAAATGTAAAATTACCTTGACTGGGGAAATCTTGAAAAATTCAAAAAATATACGATTTGGTAGACTGGAAGCCTGTAATGACAAAACAAAACATTTATAATTATAATGACAGTCTTTTATTGTTTATACAAATAATTTTTCTACAACAATTAAAACTCATATGAAACATAATCACACATTAGAAATACAGCAGTTCCATTTTGTACTTTAGCTGCATGGATAACAACTTAAATAAAATTTAATTATGGCATTTGTTTTACCATTCATATATCATGTATATGCTTGCTTAAATGATACATTGAAGCCTTTATTGACTTGAATCATGTTTATAATCTTAGACTGCTTAAATTAACATTTACCATAACATCAGCTATTTCATGGAGGGGTCTCTGAGCTAGCAACAGGTCTGATCGTAATCTTTCACTCTGAAATTATATCACAAATCAAGAAATATAAAAATATGAATTTATCTTTGAAATATAATAAACATATTTGCTTTTTTTCCACTGTGGAATTTTTTAGGAGCCAAGATTTATTGTAAGTAAAATAAAAGCTGGACTTTTTCTGATATTTTAAATACATTAATATTGTAATCCATTAATTAGCTTTTCAGATATTATAAGTTTTAAATTTGAAATCTCTTCAAGGACATGCATTTTTCCTAAAACTGCACACTAAATAAATACTTCAGTATCAATATACAATATAATGATAGAGCTCAAATCTGCTGTGTCCATAGATAAAAAAAAAATGTATTCATCACAAAAGCATATTGAAGAGAAACATTTATTTCCACTACATTGACAACAATCGAGAAGGCTGTTGAAAGTTTCCACGTCTTCAAGGGACATAACTCAGCATCATATTGTAAATCTAACTGTACTGATCTTACCATTTTTTTATATTTTAGACATGGGAGCCATGCTTTAAACTGGTTTGCTTGATGGAAAAAATAACTCATGAATAATTGACAGACCCTTCTAATGATAATTCTGATTAATCTGAACCAAATCAACTCATTAGTTTCAAAAATGAAGATTTAAAAAAAAAATGTTCAACTAAAAAAGCTAGCAGTAAAGCAGAGTTCATAGAACAATTTATTGCTAGTGCATAAGTTATAATATTATAAAAGAAGTTCATACTCTAATTGAATTTTTTTATTGGCCAGTTCAAAATATATACACACTTGAAATACTGTAAAGAATTGTTCTTCTTCTATCTGCCTAATGCTAAAATCTATAGAGGGATACTAGAAGAAATTAACTTATTCTATTTTGTATATTCAATATTGATTCATTGTTTAAATGAAATGCTACCATTACCAAGTCAGTGAATCCATTTCTGTCAGATTTTGTAAGGTGCTTTTAAGAAAATTGAAAATTGTGTTGATTTTGTGCTAATGTGAATTACGTAACAAGAAAAAATGCTTCAATTTGAAAAAAAAAGCAGCAGTTGGTATTCAAAAAAAGTATGAAAGAATGAATTAAGAATAAATATTCACAGGAAAAGATAGAAAAAATAATGATATGGAACAATTCAACTTGAAATTGAGACTGTTGCTTTCGTTACTGTTCTTCATCTTAAAGGTCACAGTATTTGTTTTATTATTATGCCAAGAAATCCTACTCTGAACATTGTTGAAGTTGACAGGTCTAGTTCACCTGTCAACAAACAAATCTGAATTTGACATGTATCGTCTGTGATAAATAACTAACATTTCATAAAACATACATCAAACCAGAGTTAATAAATTCACAAAAATCAACAGTACAAGAATTGTAGTTAATGTATCACAGCAGAATTGTGTAGCATATCTATAGAATTGTCTTACTCTAGTTAACATGTCCTGAAAATAATGTGTTAAACATCATCACTTCACAATATATGTATCTGTAACATTGATATGTTAAGCAAAAAACTATAAGACCTGAAGTCGTTTTAAAAAGTGAATAAAAAAAAGTTTGGTAACAATGTTAATTACATCATGTCAACTTGGTTTATCCTGCAATCAGCCAACTATTGTACAAATAACAGGTACACAAATAAATTTTTGCTTTATTTGTACTTGTACAAATAAAGTCTTCTGTTACCCCTCTTCCATGTTGAGCAAGCGGTAATTGGGATATTTCTTTTTGCTTACCAGTTCATTTTGGGGTCCTCTTCGCGGTCCGCGTTTAAACTATGTCGATTTCTTTGAAAAATTAGAGACAATGATTTAGATTTTAACAACTAAAGTTTCAAGTGTTGGGTGTAAATTTCAGGATAAAAACAATATATGTACATTGTCAGAAAATATAAAATTTATTTGTACTCGCTGCGAAACAGGAGAAAAGCTCGGCAAGCCTCGCTTTTTGTCCTGTTTCTAAAGCTCATACAAATAAATTTTATATTTTCCGACAATGTACATATATTGTATATATATATCACATGTTGTGGAAGTTTCTTATCTTGTCTTTATCCTAGAAGTTGACATAGACAATGGGGTTAACTTCTACATCATTTGGTCTTTGGTGGACAGTTGTCTCATTGGTTATTATACCACACCTTCTTATTTTTATATTTAGAACTAAAATACAACAGACAAGAGACAACTTCAGTTTTCCCACTGTGAACTTTCCAATCTAGAAAAAAAATCCAGAGGTGATACTGAACACTGATTCTTGACATCAACCATACGACTTTCTAAAGAGATGGCCTAATCATTGCCAATAGGAAATGTTGGTTTTGTCTCTTTTGCTAGTGGTATATGCAGGTGCTTTTGGAATGTTGTATAACAAAAAAAGTTCACAAGGAAGGGAAAATTGAAGTAATCTTTTTGGAAGGAAAGATTAATTCTCAACTGGTCCTCACAGTTAATTTCCAGATGTAGGTATAAACAATATTTTTTTTCTCACTTCAATGAGTATGAACCTCCTGCTTTATACAAAGACCAGATAAACTTAACTACAATCATCTGCGACCGTTAATCTAAGGAATAATTTTTGGTATGATTTGTTTGCCAGATAAAATCCTATATTATTTTACCTCTGACTTTTCTCTCTTAAACAATGAAGAGAAGACATCTTGTATAGATACAATGAAACCCCAGTCCAACTGTACATTTAATTCTTGCATAATTATCTGGAACTGTCTGCAAAAAAAGATCAATTGAAACAGCATTTGTTTATATTGATTTTATTAGATTTTATATAAAAGAATGATTTTTAATGATATATTTCATTACAGTCAAAATATGTTGTGGTATCATGGTTTATACAGGGACATGTTGCTTTCTTCTGAATACTGTAAACTCAGAATTAGCTGCATGCATTTATTAATGTGATTTTTTTTATATTAGATAAAAATGCGAGATTAACTATTGCGATTTCAGGAAAAAACTGCTAACAGATATATGTATTAGCTATCAAAATGCGAGTTCTTATTGTTGGGTTCCTCACCCAGTCGCATTATTCACTTTAATAAAAACTTCCCAATAATTTCTGAATTTACAGTAGTCTGTTCTGTTATGCTTAGGAAGGAATGTCAGAATTTGAAAAAAATGGAAGTTCAAATGCATATAGAAATACTTTTTGACCAGTATACCACCCATTCAGAAGGTAAGTGCATTAAACACACAGGGGTATAACAAGTTCATTGTATATAAAAACCACTCTATGGGGGGTTAAAAACTAATATACTATACCTAAAAGTATCAATATTGTTTTCAGGAACCCTTCTTCTGATCATGCCAAACTCTAGGAATGGTTTGGGTCCTTTCTTCTTAACTATATACATAGGTATTGGTGAGGAATACAAAGCTGTCTGGAAATAGGCATCTAACAGCTGATTGTCTACCTGTAAATTACAAATCTGATTAGTACAGTTATAAACATAGATATAGGTGAGGAATACAAAGCTGTCTGGAAATAGGCATCTAACAGCTGATTGTCAACCTGTAAATTACAAATCTGATTAGTACAGTTATATACATAGATATAGGTGAGGAATAAAGAGCTGTCTGGAAATAGGCATCTAACAGCTGATTGTCTACCTGTAAATTACAAAATCTGATTAGTACAGTTATATACATAGATATAGGTGAGGAATAAAGAGCTGTCTGGAAATAGGCATTTAACAGCTGATTGTCTACCTGTAAATTACAAATCTGATTAGAACAGTTATATACATAGATATAAGTGAGGAATACAGAGCTGTCTGGAAATAGGCATCTAACAGCTGATTGTCTACCTGTAAATTACAAATCTGATAAGTACAGTTATATACATTGATATAGGTGAGGAATAGAGTGCTGTCTGGAAATAGGCATCTAACAGCTGATTGTCTACCTGTAAATTATAAATCTGATTAGTACAGTTATATACATAGATATAGGGGAGGAATACAGTGCTGTCTGGAAATAGGCATATAACAGCTGATTGTCTACCTGTAAATTATAAATCTGATTAGTACAGTTATATACATAGATATAGGGGAGGAATACAGTGCTGTCCGGAAATAGGCATATAACAGCTGATCGTCTACCTGTAAATTACAAATCTAGTTAGTACAAAGTCTGATTTTTGGGATGAATATATATAACTGATCTTATACTTATAAACATAACATGTTGGAATATGTTTTGTATATCAGTATGTATCACTACTGATATCTCTGCTTTAGAGACTGATTGTAGACAACTTAATTTTTCTTAAAGACAATTATGGATGTATTTGTATACTTTGTGCCTTTGTGCACTAAAGTATAAATCTGGTATAGAGACTGATCTGATTATATTATACTTTAAATTGTTTGATTGTCGTCTTTTAGAATGACCTTGACTTTGAATGATTTAGCAGGTAAGAATTTAGTGAGGTTTCAAGTCTTTGTATACATAATTGTCTTATGTTTGGATTTACCTACACTTTTTAGTATTTTGTATCAAAATCAGAAGATGAGGTATGATTGCCAATGAGACAACTATCTGTCCATCAGAGTTCAAATGACATGGCAGTTAGCAAATATTGGTCACTGCTTTCATCAATGAATCAAAGCACCAAGGGCGCTATAGGCAGTTAATTAAAAAAAACCCAAGGCGAACATGGCAGAAGCTTAAGTCAAGATTAATATTGTAGAAGAATTGGTTTAATTTTTTATCTCAGCTATTTCAAGTTAAAAAAATGTCTGTACCTTAATGTTTCCGCTATCCAATCCTACCATTTTCAAAAGTTATTTCTAATTTATCTTAAATATGTTTCCTTTAAAATTAGCCTTAAATGAAAATTTTTATAGGCCCAGACATAACTCAAAAAATAATTAAAGTAAATTCAACCTAGACTTATTTCTTGCATCAATTAAATTCTATAATAAACAAATAATAATTGTAACAGGATACAGGATACTGTTACGCAGTATCCCAAACAAAGCTCCAATAATTCGTCGCCTGGCATTGGGCCAAGTCCAGTACAAATTGGTTTGGTCAAGTAAAGTGATTTGCATATGTGACGCCTAGGAGATTGAATCTGTATGTCATTCAAACATTCTTGAGTTGACGAACAGGAATATATATGGTTTAGGGGTGGGGAACTCGACCTTTTTCAAGTTCTCAAAAGGTGGGTATTGATCCCCAGGGGACTCTCCCTTTATTTCATTTGATTTGTTTTAATGTCCAATACAAGAATATATATGGTTTCCGGGTGGGGATATCAACCGTTTGCAAATTTTCAAAAAGAAGAGGGGTGGGGTGACCCCTATGGACTAATCCCCTATATTTTATTTTATTTGTTTTATTGTCCCATACAAGGATATATATGGTGTAGGGGTGGGGATCTCAACCGTTTACAAGTCCTCAAACAGGAGGGGATGGCGTGACCCCCAGGGTCTCCCCTATATTTAATTTGATTTGTTTTATTGTTCCGTACAAGAATATGTATGGTTTAGGGGTGGGGATTTCGACCGTTAACAAGTTCTCAAACAGGAGGGGGTGGGGTTGACCCCCGTGGACTCCCCCTATATTTCATTTTATTTGTTTTATTGTACCATACAAGAATATGTATGGTTTAGGGGTGGGGATCTCGACCATTAACGAGTTCACAAGCAGGAGGGGGTGGGGTTGACCCCCTGTGGACTCACCCTATATTTCATTTTATTTGTTTTATTGTACCATACAAGACTATGTATGGTTTAGGGGTGGGGATCTCAACCGTTAACAAGCTCTTAACAGAAGGGGGTGGGGTCGACCCCTAGGGACTCCCCCTATATTTCATTTGATTTGTTATATTGTCCCATGCAAGAATATATATATGGTTTAGGGGTGGGGATCTCGACCATTTACAAGTTCTCAAACAGAAGGGGTAGGGGTGACACTTGGGACTCCCCCAAATCATTTTCATTTGATGTGTTTTATTGTCCCATACAAGTATATATATGGTTTAGGGGTGGGGATCGCCGGGACTCACCCTATATTTTATTTGATTTGTTCTATTGTCCTGTTATTATTACTGAAGACCGTGTGTGTCTATCACTTACTGTTTTCAAGTAATAGTCATTTGAAAATTGAAAAAAAAAAACAAAATCCCATAGGGTTCTTTGGTAAACCCCTCCCTTATTTAGGCCCTCAAAATACCCCTAAATAGATCCCAATGCACAAACGAAAGATTGATAACTCCGCTAGATATGTTAGTCTTACATTTTATGAAACCCTAAGTAAATCTGACAAGCGGTCCTAGTTGTCTTCTAAGACGGTCCGAGTGGACTCGGTCCGACTTGTCTCGGGGACGAGTTGTCCACATTTCTTAAAACATCCCATCAACGTCGATTATCGGATCTTTTTCATTCATAAAAACAACAACAACTGCCAAGGTCAGTGATAAATGGGATAATATACATGTAATAAAAGAAAGGAATTTAAATGTGCATGCATTTAATTGAAATAAATAAAATAATCACAATCTGCTTAATCGAAAAGAACATCATTATTAACAAAACTTACTTTAAAACATCAGAATACTTGCCTTACGTTTCGTGTAAGTTAAAATTACCGCCAACGTAGACTACTACATATAACTTTATTTCCTCTATCATATAGAGATTTGGTGTACATGAACAATATTCCTGCGCATTTGGCCATTTGGGAAATGTAAACGACTTGTAATTAGAGATTTTCGGCGATGAAATATTTCACATTGTTCTTTGACATCTTAGCCAAAAGCACATGGGATGATAAACTACGTACGGATTTCTATTGAGCACTACTTCCTATGTGCAACTTCAAAAGTTTTGGGTAGTTCGACAATCATTTAAGGTTTTTCTGGTCATATTTTTTGTATTCCAGAATTGAAAGTATGAAAAAAGTGCCCAATTAGTTATTAATAACATATTAGCCAGCCAAATAATAACAATAGCACTTTGTACACCATTTAGTGGGAAGAACACAAATCTAGGGTGGTAGCATAAGGCAGCTTAACTGCCTAACAAAACTAGGTAAGAGGCCACATCAAGACAAAAGCATACACTATTAATGTGTGGTGTTAGTGTTTAGACATACCTGAACTTTGTGGACTTTAGCATGTATAAATGTCTGGTGTTCTGACTGACTGTAATGGAACAGCAGGCCAGGAGGACACACCCTTCTTAGCTCACCCATGTAGGGTTTCATCATCCTAAGTTTACCTACAGTACTGAAATCCACCTAAAATATTAAGTGAGAGACAGCTAGGTCATAATTTCAATCTAAATTAAATCAGTAAAATAGAAAATATACTTTCTTTGTTTAACATGATCTTGCTTCTAATAACCAAATGAATGGCTTGATAGATTGAAAATTTAAACATGCAATTCTACAATTGATAGTACACAGCATAAACCCAGCTCATCTCTGGCCAAGTTACAAGACTATCCAATCCTATTCTGTAACAAACCTCTATCCTATCCTCAAGATTGGCATGTTCCACTGCATGATTCCATTTATCCTCCAGCCAAGTGACCAGTGTGACGTCCTCCAACATTTTCCATTTGTTTTTCACCTCTATCTCCCACATGGAAGGCATACTACTGATACTGACATAAGCCACCTCCTCCTGGGCACGATTGATGATGGAGACACCTATACCACTCAGAGATAGCATGAAAACATAGTTAGCCTGTTCTCCTTCTGTCATCTATAAAAAACATAGATACTAGTAAAACATTAACAAATACAAGAATAATATAGACTGGTGACAACTGTAGTTCATGGGAAGATATCTCTTGAAAATAAATAAAACAAAAAATGTTTACTAAATATTATTTTAACCTAGGAAACAAAGAAATCTGAAAATTTGAATAAATCTCATCTTTACTGTAAACTACATGTTTTTCAAAGAAAAATATACACCACTAAATACAAAATATCTTTTGAGATTTATGATGGTCAGTTACCTTAATGTTGCTGTACTATGAAATAAAAGATTGTAAAGATGAAATGTTGTTGATTTATTTTAACAGCTTTATGAAATGTAAGTGAAAACTTTAACAAAGTCTTTTATATGTAGGTAATATAAACAGATTTTTTTTCTGAACAGTTTTGCATAGTACAAGAAGACTGATTCAGAAATATTTTTCATATATTGCAATAGGTTACCACTGTTTTCTAAAAAGTCTGGCAAGCCTGAAATATAGGTCATAAAGGATATGCTAATTGACAGAGAACTGTTGTAACTTACAATCTACATGTGCTGCTATATGTGTTGTCCTGACCTTTTGGTCATAAAACTTTACTCAGTACTTGGAGTACAAAATTTTTGCTCGAAACACTAAATGTAGTTTTTTGATGGGTTGATTTCTGAGTCTGAGTACAATAACCATACTTAAAAGTTTTATGACCATTCACCATGTACTACCTCAAGTTTCTTAGAAGAGACTCAATTTCTAATAACATTATGAAGTACAGATGAATCTAAACACACTGTGATATAAAACAAGAGACATTAAAGTTATAATGCTGTTTAAAACAGTACAATGGTAACTGACTCAAATACTTTAGTTATACTGTTTAATAGATATATGCGTTTATTGCAGACACATAATTAAGTTTAATGTTTCATTTTATAGTTATTACTGAAATACAGTGTAAATATGACATTTTGTATTCTTTAACTAGAACCAATAATTGTTTATCAGATTTCACCTTAACCCACATTTACTAGCTGTAAGCAAGTAAATTAATCTGAATCATAACGCAAAAGTTTATTTCAAAAGCTTCTTATTATCTTGATATTGCAGATGCTTATTCATATTATCTCTTATTAGTAAGAATTAATGAGAATCAGAACAGAACACACATTCTAGGAAAACATTATGGTTTAATATTAAAGATTAAATAAAGCTACATTGATTCTACTAATTCATTCTTGATTATTAAAGGGAATTTATTAACTATGTCAAATAACATCTATAATCATAGGTATTACAAGAACTAATCATGAAAAGTTAAACAATCCATCAATTACACAATAGAAAAAAACAAGAATGTGTCCATAGTACACAGATGCCCCACTCGCACTATCATTTTCTACATTCAGTGGACCCTGAAATTGGGGTCAAAACTTTAATTTGGCATTAAAATTAGAAAGATCATATCATAGGGAACATGTGTACTAAGTTTCAAGTTGATTGGACTTCAACTTCATCAAAACCTACCTTGACCAAAACTTTAATCTGAAGCGGCACAGACGGACAAACGAACAGACGCACAGACCGAAAAACATAATGCCCCTAGGTGGGGCATAAAATCATAAATGGTTCTGTGGAACCCTGTGTCTTGCTTGTTATTCCTGCTGTCAGTGTAAATGTGTGATGTTGACTGTTATAAACTAAATGCATTTATAAATGTATATTTATTAAACACAGGAAAAAATCAAACTTTTTTCTTCCAAGGCTATTTCTTGAAGAAGCTTCTGTGCAAGTTTCATAACATCCCATGATGTTTTGACAAAGTTATTGATGCCTAAAAAATTTAATACAAGGATTTTACCACATGTAAACTGCAAAAAAAGTCCATTTATCAGTAAAAACAAAATAAAATATTTTTTTGCATCAGACATTATTTTTAAATCATTAAATATTCTATGAAGTTTTGACAAAGTTATTGATGTCTAAAAAAAATTACAGACTGTATTCAAATGTTAACTAAAAAAACTAGGCCCTTTTATATATCAAATATAGAAAAAATTGAAATAAATATTTTCAAAAATTTACTTTCTTTTGATCACAAAAAATCTTCTAATATAAAAAAAAAAGATGTGGTATGATTGCCAATGAGACAACTCTCCACAAGAGACCAAAATGACACAGAAATTAACAACTATAGGTTACTGTACGGCCTTCAACAATGAGCAAAGCCCATACTGCACAGTCAGCTATCTTTCATGCAATTCCATGAAGTCTTGACAAAAGTTATTGATGTTTAAAAAAAACTTGACTATAGAGACTGAATCCAATTATTGATGCTGCTGTTGACAGAATATGCATTTGATATCATTGATATGGATCTCTAATTCTCGCTTCCACTACAAAATGTAACAGGCTCAACAATTAAGATAAATTAATATTAAGTTCATTAAACATACTGACAAGTTCAAAAAATTGGCAAACAGAAATTAAGTGTCAGAAAGACCCAAAAAGTGCCAACACGTTACAAATCATCACTGTGAAAGGTGTGAAAAAACATATGTTAAACCAGAGTGATGGATGGACAAAGTGAGTGTCATATACTCTCCATTAATGTGAGAGTAAAGAAGCATTGTATATTTTGTGTCAAATTGTGCATTTCAGAGTTTATATATCCAACTAAAGGACAAGTTCACTTAAGCCAACTATAGCCTTCAAATTCAACTTCATCATAAAATATCAAAATGACCATAATTTGGTTCTTAGATGGATCTATTTCAAAAGCCTTACTACTAGGTTAAACAAATCTCTTCATTAGAGTTCATTCTAGGCTTTTAAGTCAGCACATTTTGGATATATTGTCAAAAAAAGATGATTTTGTGCATTTGTTGGAACTTGAGGAAACCCTAGGCCTTGGTCGCAACCTAGGATCTAAAATGTTCTGTAGCCAAATGTTTTTAATGATGATATTGAATAGCTAGACACAAAAACTTTCTGGATCAGGGGTGGAGGACAAAGTAAATTATGTTAAAAATTGTTAAGAATTATTGAAAATGTATTTATTAGTTTGTAAATGAATCAGGCAGTTTGTTTTCTTGTTTTAATTGTTTTACATTTGTCATTCTGGCCTTTTAAAGCTCACTATGCAGTATAGGTTTTGCTCATTGTTGGAGACTGAACAGTGACCTATAGCTTCAAACTTCTACATTATTTGGTGGAGAGTTGTCTGATTGGCAATCATACTATGTTGAAGGCCTCACTGTGACTTTGAGATGAAGAACAGCAATAAAAGCACTGTTCCTTTGCTTTTTGTGTGATTTTTTTGCTGTGCATGTAATGATTTTGTGTCATGGATAGATACCCGATATCCTTTGTTTTTCTATTATATCTTCTTATTTTTTATCATATGCAATAAATATAAGTAAACTGAATCACTAATATCCTATTCAACTTATTTTTAGCTTAACTTGTAATCATATTCCATGACTGACAGCATATTCAATAAAAAAAACCCCAAAAATTCCATATTATATTTCATGCTGTATTTACTTTTTTGATTATAAGAACAGAACATTTACAGTACACTTAACCTAAACCAAAATTATTTGTTAATTATCATTGCTCTTTTTGCATTAGTTCACAATACTAAAATTTTACCATTCTTTTAAATAAGTTTACACCAATATAATATATTAGTTGCTGAAGTTTTGTTATATCATTTCTGATATTTTTAGTTACCAACAATAAATCTGTACCTATATATAATGTATATTACTATTAATTCCAAAACAAACACTACAATACAAAGCTAAGGGGGGTAATATTAGATGAGATATTAGACTGGTATTATACCTTTACTCCTGTACCCATGTCATGGTCCTTGGTCATACTACCAACATGGCTCTATATGGTGCAACATAAACAGAGTTAAATAAAGCAAAAACAACAAGCTGAAGCAAATCAAATTAAATCATAATAATATATATAATAGTTATTTCATGCAAATGATATAATATAATATTAATTACATGCAATGTGACAATTAGGCTTTGCCAAAGAGTTGTCATGGGAGTAAATTTTAGTGAAAATAAATGAAATTAGCAATAGTGATGGCCTTCTTTTACTTTAGGGGTCCCAACCCATATAGAGCTGTACTAAACTATCCTTTACCTTAACCCATACCTAAACCTAACACTAGCGCTAACCCTAAAACCTAACCTTAACATAGAACATCCCCCAACCTAACCATAACCATGAATGAACCATAAACCCTAAAGTATAGGGACCCCTAAAGTAAAAGAAGGCCATTGTGATTTAATACATACACTATATAACTAATCTAACATGCAGCAGTCTATAATTTTGTTTTAAACTAAGAGAATGTATAAAGCAAACATGCATACTTTTTCATTCAGGAAAATGGTTTCATTTTCAACCAAGATAAACAGAAACTTGTCAAAAACTAGAACTTTTAAATTTAAGACTGAATTCACCTTATTCAAATTTGCACTCTGCAGGTTATCTTATAATATTCTTTGTATGTTTTAATATAAAGTTTTAGTTCTTGAAAACATGTCTACCATAATGTGCTTTTTAAACAGGTATCTCATTTCTTACTCAACTCCTCTGTTGCTTTTACTTTCAAAACATAAATTTTGAAATAAAAAAAATAGACATGCAAAACATAATGAGTAAAATAAAAACAAAAAATATTTGAACATAAAAGTAACAATGTACCAGAATTTTTGTGAATGGAGACTGAACATCCTTTCTATTTTTCACAAGCTACAATAAATATACGAGTGTGCTAAGACAATGTTTAATCACTCATGCATGTTAAACAACAGAAAAGAAGCATAAATATATATGTAGTCTCATGCATCTGAATGGCAAGGCTTATGTCAAGGCCACTGGCAAGGCTGATGTCAAGGCCAATGGCAAGGCTGATGTCAAGGCCACTGGCAAGCCAAACTGATCTTTTTATTCTAAAAGACTATTCTATATCATCTATCTTCAAAGAAGCCAGATTAAATCCATGAAATTAATCTATATCATGGAATACACCTTCATTTATGAAATCAGTTCCTCCTTTATGTGCAGATAGAAATAGAAACTTGGCAACATTTCTCATGTAAAAGGCAGTGGAAGAGTTTAATCAATCTCAAACTTTTCCGACACAACTTCAGTTACTACTATTTAATACTTACTGAATAAAGTTTAGAACATCACTATAGACTAGACATTGGTTTATAAATATATATATATATTTAGGATGTGATGAAAGTGGACTACAATAAATAAAGGACACTAAAAAAGGCCCAGTACTTGATGGTAATAGAAAAATTTAATGCATTGGCAAATTAAAAAAAAAATCTTTCTTTTTCATGATTAAATTTCAAGGTTCAAATAAAGTTATAAAGAAAATAAAAAATATAAAATGATAATTACCAATCTAGCTGCCTCAGCTATTTGTTTATCACAAGTAAACAATACCACTCTCTGTTGACCATCTAGGAATGATACCCAGTATATTGTCATCTTGTACGATTTTGTCTTCATCTTGGCTTGGTGTTTGGGACTATCTACTGTATCTATTACATCACTATCATCTGAAAGAAATATGTCTAGTCTTACAGTTTATACAAATACTGTTGTCACTTCTGAATATCACACTTTGCATCACACAGCCATCATTTCACTTTGTGTTCAATCCAAAAGATAAGTTGAAATTGGTGAAAGATCATGAAGCCCTTTACGGTTGACAATTTTAACTCTGCCTAATAGAAATCATTAGAGGTGACATTAAAGAACCTTTGTGAGCGTGCTCACATACCCCACGCCCCCACATTGTCACTTGGCAAACATAATCTCACCAGATTCCTAAGTTAAAAGACTCATAACTCCTACAAAAGTCAACTAATAAAAATTTCTTGTGGATATGCACATCTACATATTATGTCCTTATTATCTTCATGAAATTCTGTTGTATGATTTCAGAGGAGTTGCGATGACAAACTGTTGCAGTAGTATATTTAGGCCAAATTTGTAAGTTCAAACGTGAATCAGTTCTAGAAAAAAAATGAATCATATTTTTCCTGTCAATATGCACATCTACATAGTATGTCCTTATTATTTACAAAGTGTCATGAAATTCTGTTCTGTGGTTTCAGAGGAGTTGTGATGACAAACTGTTGCAGTAGTATATTCAGGCAAACATTGTAAGTTCAAAGGGGCATAATTCCTAGAAAAAAAATTGAATCATAAATTCCTGTCGATAAGCACATCTACATAGTATGCCCTTATTATCTACAACGTTTCATGCAATTCTGTTGTGTGGTTTTAGAGGAGTTGCGATGACAAGAATAGGACTGACGGACTGACGGACGGACTGATAGACAGACTGACGGACGGGTCAAAACCATTATACCATACGTAACTTTTTTCCTTTGGGTATAATAAGGTCTTGAGAAGCTTATAATTCGGTGATGTATTTATACAGATGATGAATGTATAAAGGTGGTGACTCAGAGGTATGTTTCTTGTACAAAAAGAATTCATAATTTCTCAACTCAAATCACCCTGTTCATTTAGGCTCGTGTTAAAATTCCCTTTGCTGTAAGTCAGGTATGAAGCAAAAAAAATTTATCATAGCGATAATTCAAACCAAATTTATTTTCTTATTGATTTTGTGGAGTAAATATTTTTTAATAAAACATATGAAAAAGAAGGACCCTCCTTATTGGCAATATAGTCTGTCTCCATATGACCCAATTAACTAAGATAAGGTAGAATATGTTACAGAGTGTGGCCTGAAAATAAGGAAATATAACACATACCATCAGGACTACTATCTATCCTGTTAGACTGGTCTTTATATCTGTATGTATCTGCCACAGGGACTTGCTGAACAGTCAAGTTCTTACAATCATAACTATCCTACAAATTAAAAAAACTCCTCTTTATTGAACCCTCCATACATAAGTTTCTGCTGTCTGCAGTGTCATCTATTGTATATACTGTGGTTTTATAATTATTTGAGGGATACAAATTTTGTGGATTTTGGGGGTATAGTAAAACCACAAATTTAAATGTTCAACAAAGTACACATTGCACAATTTTTTTTCAAATTCTATGAAATATAGTATCCACGAAAAATAATTGATTCTACAGTAACTCTAATTGGTCTACATGGACATAAAGAAAGGATAGATACCTTGGTGATATCTAGCTCTAGGTCCTGTTTATTAGACCCTCCATACACGTTCCACATAAGTTTCCTGGTGCCAGCAGGTTCATCCCAAGTATACAGCACTGACTGATCAGCTCCTAAGACTGTCATCTGGTGTTGATTACTGTAATACATTATAACAATTTGTTGGTTACAATTACATGTCACAACATTTTGATGTTAATTTTTAGGCTTTGCTACTATTTTTTATGGCTGTGAGAATGTCAGTGATATTGATTCTCATGAGTTATTAAGTCTATTTCTCTTATCTTCTTATGATAAACAAATAGAAAATTCTGAGACTAGTTCATCTAGTCATTTGCACATACCTATTAGTATGACCCTTTTTTGTGTGTATTACAATGAAGACATCCTCACACAAGTTTTCCATCCTGACGGGTGAGTCACCAATGTCGTGATCAGTAAATGTAATAGAAACTTACCATTAATGTATTACAATGAAGACATCCTCACACAAGTTTTCTATGCTGACTGGTGAGTCACCAATGTCGTAATCAGTAAATGTAATAGAAACTTACCATTGATGTACTACAATGAAGACATCCTCACGCAAGTTTTCTATGCTGACTGGTGAGTCACCAATGTCGTAATCAGTAAATGTAATAGAAACTTACCATTGATGTATTACAATGAAGACATCCTCACACAAGTTTTCTATCCTGACGAACGAGTCATCAATGTCGTAATCAGTAAATGTAATAGAAACTTACCATTGATGTATTACAATGAAGACATCCTCACACAAGTTTTCCATCCTGATGGATGGGTTTGAGTCACCAATGTCGTAATCAGTAAATGTTATAGAAACTTACCATTGATGTATTACAATGAAGACATCCTCACACAAGTTTCTATCCTGATGGATGGGTTTGAGTCACCAATGTCGTAATCAGTAAATGTTATAGAAACTTACCATTGATGTATTACAATTAAGAAATCTTCACACAAGTTTTCTATCCTGATGGGTGAGTCACCAATGTCATAATCATTAAATGTAATAGAAACTTACCATTGATGTATTACAATGAAGACATCCTCACACAAGTTTCTATCCTGATGGGTGAGTCACCAATGTCGTAACCAGTAAATGTAATGGAAACTTACCATTGACGTATTACAATGAAGACATCCTCACACAAGTTTTCCATCTTGATGGGTGAGTCACCAATGTCGTAATCAGTAAATGTAATAGAAACTTACCATTGATGTATTACAATGAAGACATCCTGACACAAGTTTTCTATCCTGACGAATGAGTCATCAATGTCGTAATCAGTAAATGTAATAGAAACTTACCATTGATGTATTACAATGAAGACATCCTCACACAAGTTTTCCATCCTGATGGATGGGTTTGAGTCACCAATGTCGTAATCAGTAAATGTTATAGAAACTTACCACTGATGTATTACAATGAAGACATCCTCACACAAGTTTTCCATCCTGATGGATGGGTTTGAGTCACCAATGTCGTAATCAGTAAATGTTATAGAAACTTACCATTAATGTATTACAATTAAGAAATCTTCACAAAAGTTTTCTATCCTGACGGGTGAGTCACCAATGTCATAATCATTAAATGTAATAGAAACTTACCATTGACGTATTACAATGAAGACATCCTCACACAAGTTTCTATCCTGATGGGTGAGTCACCAATGTCGTAACCAGTAAATGTAATAGAAACTTACCATTGATGTATTACAATGAAGACATCCTCACACAAGTTTTCTATTCTGACTGGTGAGTCACCAATGTCGTAATCAGTAAATGTAATAGAAACTTACCATTGATGTATTACAATGAAGACATCCTCACACAAGTTTTCTATCCTGACTGGTGAGTCACCAATGTCATAATCAGTAAATGTAATAGACCTTGGAGATTCTATTCCTCCGGTGACATTAACACACATTGCTCTCTGAAGTTATAAACATTGTCATACAAGTGATTTATTCATTAAAAGGGACCTCTCCAAAAGTAAAAGATGCATTTGTTTTACATGTGAACAATCTATTTCCTCATTCTTGAGAAACATATTAGAGAATTTAAATGATTTACTTCACTTAAATGTCCCAACTCATGCCCTTTCTGCAATACAAGCCTTATCAGTTGTTTTTTACATATGTAGAAATCCTAGCTTCACCAACACAAATCTTATCTAATAGAAGATTTTATACATTTATTACCCGTACCTGAGAGAGATATGAAGATTTGTTCACCCAAGAACATTCATATTTCACGACGGCTTTGCAAGAGGAAATATGCTTTTTTCATGTGTGAACAAATCTTGATATCTCCCGACACCAAGGGAAATGAATGTTTTATTTCACTGCCTATGCTTTGTCTACTACCTGAACATAAAATACTAATTTACATACATTCTTTTTTCTTATCTGCTTGTTTTTATAACTAAACAGGACATAAACATTGATAAACAGTATGGATCAAAAGTTAATTATTTAGTCTTTTTGTTTTAATGTCTGAAATAAACTTGAACAAGATAATGACTTTACTATCGCCATTTAAAAAAAAACAACGTTCAAAACGTTATGTACATTAACCGTGTGTAATGTCGCACGATGAATCCCTATCTTCAGAGGGGAATATGATGCTCAGAGGGGAATATGAAGTTTTGTTCAATGACACGTGGGATAGTCTCAACCAATCAAATATTGATTAAGCTATCAATATTGCATACAATGGAATAATACATATAACATCATTCTTTGTCTTATTTTTTATTATATATCCAATCTTCCATTCTTAGTACAATTTTGATCAGAAGATAAAAGAGATGTTAGTATTTTGAAATGTTAACTAATGACCTTGGCCTTGTCCCTAAGTATAGTATTAAATACAGTGTTGATCTACAGCAACAAAGATGTTATTACTTTTACATGTGTTTCCCTTTTTTTTATCAGGAGTATAATATCACACACAGTGTTGAAAAAAGGTATAGATATTATTTACATATAAACTTATCCTGTTCGCCACCTTGAGTTCAGTATCGCACACAAGGTTGATAATATTACATCAATTATTTTTACATGAAAACTTATGCAGTATAGAATGACACACAGTTGATTAAGTACAATGAAAGCTGTTATTTTGAGGTAAACTTACCATATGGTTTATCCTGCAAATATTATTACACATAGTATTCATAAAAATGTACAAAAAAAGTTGATTTATAAAAAAATAAGTGCCATCCTCCATTCTAACTAGAGCTGCTCATATTCATGATCAGAATAACATTAACGTTACAGGTACTGTTAATATCATTCACAAGTTATAAATAATGCTATTATTTTTACATGTAAACGTACCCCATTTTCCATCCTGAGTACAGTATTACACACTGTGTTGATTGGAATGTAAGACGAGGATATATTACTATTGTCATATCGTACACATAACTTTCCATTGTCTGTACATGGCCAAAATGGACTACACTGCAAAACAAAGAAACAGATTGTGAATTACTTTTGCTTTTTTCAGGATCAGGTTATAAAAAAGTTTGGGCATCAAAATCAGGAAAATAACAACTGGCAAAAATATCCATGAATACAATTTACCAGTGGTTTGGTTTCAGTTATTTGATCAACTGAAATTTCACATTTTCCAAAAAAATGTTTAGCCGCTGTTTTAAAACACAGTCAGGATTAAATTCTTATTTAAATTAAGTTTAAAGTTTCAGAAAGAATACAGAAGTAGAACTTTGTGTATTACTAAAATCACTTTATTTAGCCATATTCAAACTATAGTTTATTCAAAAGCATAACTGAAATTTTATTTAAGGAAATCAATTCATGGAATCTTAAATGAAGGAGAGACAGTAGAAGACAGGGTTAACTACAATTTGAAATCCTAAGATGAAAGTATTCATTCACAGAAAGAAAGAACAGACGGTAATTTATTTTACATCACAATTAGACATGTAAGAATATATTGATTTCTGTCTCTATCATATTAACTGCAGTTTTCCTTTAATACTTTTTTATGACAGGCTTATAAAAATAAAATTTACCTGGTTTTTCTTGAGATCTAACCACAGATCTTTTTCCTCATTTTTCTCCATGTACCACAGGTGGTATGATGATTTATTTATCACCAAGAAGAATGGTGTAATTGTCACAATTCTGGACAGTTTTAAATGTGACCACTGACACTGTAGTAATAGCTGAATAAAATAAAGAAAACACATCCAGTCAAAAGTTTAAAGACTGACCACTGACAGGTAGAAAAAGTTATACGACACACTAATCTGTGTCCCATGTTCAAAGAATCATGAAATTGGAGTTATAACCCTAATAAGGTATACAATCTATAAAAGCATAATGAAAATGTGTTTGAAGTTTTAAGTTGATGTTGATGTGACCTTAAGCTTAAGCTACCTTAACCAGAAATGTAAACCTTTCAAATGTTCATATTTAATTAACAGTGAATTCGGGGTCAAAGCCTTATTATGCAGGGAAAGCATGGCATAAACAAATCAGGATGGTTTATTTATCACCAAAAGTGTGATTGTCACAAATGGGGATAGTTTTAAATTTGACGACTGACACTGTAGCAAAAGCTAAATTTTTTTCTGATATTACCAATCAAAGATTGCGGAAAAACACCTCGATCTACCGTAATTAAAACTTTTAAAATTAATCTAAAAGAAAAATTTCAAGTTGTAGTTGAATTTAGCACATTTATCAGTGGCTCTTTTCACAAAGAGTTGCTGGATATTAAGATATATTATATTTCTAGATTTGAAGCTTCTATCAATGTCACTTACCCTGTACTTGATCTTCCTTTCTTTGTCGTAACAGATAACAACACCAGAGTTACCTACAGTATCCATGGAGAAAGACTGGGACCATTTAGACTCGTAAACTTTTAATTTGGCCTGAAATATATACATTTGGCACATTGCTGAAATGGATATGAACCCCAGATAAACCTAATCCTAACACTGTTATGTTATTACATTAGATAACAGTAAACTGTCCATATATTATAAATAGTGTCATTTTTAACAATTTGACAATAGTTCATGCTTGTTATGCATTTTGTATGAAATGGATGTCTGTGACATTTAATTTTCCTTTTTGTAAATGTGGCATGTAACGTTTTTTAAATTTTCTACTGATAACTTCATTTGTTGGTATATATTGTGAATGTTTTGTATACTTAAAAGAATGTTTAACTATGTTGAAGGACCTGCACAATGACAAATGATCAAAATAAGAATTATTTAGCGTCTAAGAAAACCTATAAGATAGCTGTCGCTCTTGGTGCATAAAGGGTGCTAATTGGGTACATAGTGCAATTAGGGTACTGTGACGTTAGTTTAATTTAGGCCACAAAATTTTTGTGAACTATGGGTCTACAAATTAATATTACCTGCTGCAACTACTTCAAAGACTATACCTTACCTTTTTGCGTTTGTGCTTTTTAAATCTGAAGAGAATAGATGGAGCGACAGAAGAATCTGCTGAAGACTGGGTACAGTCATATACTGCATCTGAATTAGATCCCTGGAAAACATTTATAAATATAATTCATATTTTATACAAGAGTGCACACTTTGAAGGTTCTTACCAAATCATTAATTATAACTGAGTTATATGTGATGATCTTTGAGAGAAAACTTTAAATTGGTCACTGAACTTAAAAAATGATTGATTGATTGTTTGCTTAACGTCCAATAATATATATTTCATGCATATTTAGAACAAGAACAAATCAATAACTAATCTCAAAGGTCTGGTCTGTTTAGGGGGTTGACAGGTATAAAGGGTAGGACATTTTGACATGCGATAAACAAAAACCAATATGTTTTGTTTTTTTTTAATTTTTGTGTTTTTGATTGCACCTCTCAGCCCAGTCATTCTGACATTGTATAAGAATAGGACACCATACCCTGTTTGCACTATCCCATTCCCATGTTCTGTGGACCACAAAATCAAGTCAAACTAATTAATTGACATACATTTAAAAAAGTACATATCATAATGAACATGTGTACTTAGTCTTGTGTTGATGTGACAAAAACTTCATGTTAAACCACCATAACCAAAAACTTTAATCTGATAATGTACTGGTTTCACCCATCCAGTTCTGTGTTCAGTGTACCGTGAATTGGGGTAAAAACTGTAATTTGGGAAACAATTTAAAAAATCAGCTGCGCCATGAGCGCATGATACGCCCGTCGTCTTGTGTGTGAATTTTTATGCAATAAGCATAAATAGTTTCTGACATACGGCGTGACATGCGAAAACCCCCCCTTTTTTTTTTACAAAAAACTCAATATCTATAAAAAAAAATTTTGAATCAAAACCAAAAAGTATACAGATCTTTAGATTAATATAACTAAGAAGTGTGTAAAATTTTAAGCAATAATCATAAATTGTTTTTGAGATACGGCGCGACATGTGAAAACACCCCTTTTAAAAAAAAAAAAATCAATATCTCAAAAATAAAATTTTGAATCAAAACCAAAAAGTATACAGATCTTTAGATTAATATAACTAAGAAGTGTGTAAAATTTTAAGCAATAATCATAAATCATTTTTGAGATATGGCGCGACATGTGAAAAACCCCTCCCCCTTTTTTTACAAAATACTCAATAACTCAAAAATAAAATTTTGAATCATCACCAAAAAGTATACAGATCTTAAGGTTAATATAACTAAGCAGTGTGTAAAGTTTTAAGCAATAATCATAAACTGTTTTTGAGATACGGGGCGACATGTGAAAAACCCCTCCCCCTTTTTAACAAAATACTCAATAACTCAAAAATAAAATTTTGAATCATCACCAAAAAGTATACAGATCTTAAGATTAATATAACGAAGAAGTGTGTAAAGTTTTAAGCAATAATCATAAATTGTTTTTGAGATACGGCGCGACATGTGAAAAAAAACACACACCTGTTTTAGTTACTAAGTCCCGTAACTCAAAAAGTTTTAATCTTATTTTCACCAAAAAGTATACAGATCGTTTGACCATCATAAGAAACAACTATCTTAAGTTTTATGAAATTTGGATAAGTCATTCTCAAGTTACGGTGCGACATGTTTACGCCGGAGAGACAGACGGACAGACAGACGGACAGACGGACGGACAGACGGACAGACGGACAGACAGACGGACGGACGCCGGACATTTGTATAACATAATACGTCCCGTCAAAAATTTGACAGGCGTATAAAAATTGATATAATGAACATGCATACTAAGTCTTATGGTGGTGCGACAACTTTATGGTAATCTATCTTAACCAAAAACTTAAACCTGATATGGGACATGGTACGAACTGACAGATTATTGGATGGAGGCACAAAAAGAAAACATAATGTCTCTACAATCAAAAATGGAGCATAAAAAGACACAACATGAGAAAAAAATATATACTCTAATCACACCAGCTGTGTTTAACAGTTAAATGTGTAGTAATTCTATCATGTGATACTAACCCTGATCAGTATAGGAAGATCTGTTTTGTTTATTATCCAGTATGGACTATAGATGTATAAATCTAATGACATTTTGACACTGGCATTAACTATCAAGGCCAAATGTTTGTTCGCGTTCTCATCCATTCCATCATAAGATGTCATGGTTACGGCTTTGAACTCTTCTAAATTCTGAGAATCAACTAATTCAAATATTCCTGTCCAATCACAACCTAGGTAATCCTGAAGCTGTAAATACACAAACATATTATTTGTCTAGTTCTCATCATTATAGAATAAAGAATATGAATAGAGTAAACTCTTTAGAAGATTAAATATATTGATAGCTAAGAAATGAATACACAAATAAGGTTTTTTTTTCATTTAAAATGGGATATAAGTCTGTAGTTTATTTATAATACAAAAAATCACCAAACATGCACTTCCTCAATTCTATTATATTCATATCCAAGTAGTATGTGATGTTACACAGTGAAACCAAAGTTACCTGTAAGTGTAGTTTATAAGATTTACTGGTTTCTACTGTATACAATGGTGTTGATTCTCCATGTGTCAAACTGCTGAATTTTCCTGCTCCCTTTAAAACAAAAAACATCTTATAAATTGCATATTCATTACATTTTAAATTCAATAGTTACTGCAAAAAGTAGGTAAATGTCAAAACACATAATTAACAGAACTTGGTGAAGATTATTTTTTAGATGACTTTGAAGGCACATTGTTTTGGATCCCAACAGCAAACAATTATTATAGATCAATCCATTGTAAATTTTCTGAATTGACAAACATGCAGCTTTTAAATAGTGGTGCCTTCCATAATCCATACAAACCATAAGTAAATTTGAGCTTGCTTCCAGTATCTGCAAGCATTTGTTTATAAAAATAAGAAGATGTGGTATGATTGCTAATGAGACAAATCTCCACAAGAGACCAAATGACACAGAAAATAACAACTACGGCCTTCAATAATGAGTAAAACCCATTGTTTTGTATAATTTTGCTTTTAATAAGTTGTCTCATCATTCTGTAATAGCAATGTTATTGAATTAAAGTGCTTTTTATTGAAGGAACTGTTGTTCTCCCACTGCTTGAGATCATACCTGGATGTGATCAAAGTAATATCTGCATGTGATCAAGATAATACCTGGCTGTGATCAAGATAAAACCTGGATGTGATAAAGATAATATATGGATGTGATTGAGACAATATCTGGATGTGATCAAGACAATACCTAGCTGTGATTGAGACAATACCTGGATGTGATTAAGACAGTACCTGGCAGTGATTGAGACAATACATGGATGTGACTGGTTGTGATCAAGATGATTCCTGGATGTCATCAAGATAATACCTGGTTGTGATTGAGACAATACCTGGATGTGATCAAGATACAACCTGAATGTAATCAAGATAATATATGGATGTAATCAAGATAATATATGGATGTGATTGAGACAATACCTGGATGTGATCAAGATAAAACCTGGATGTAATCAAGATAATATATGGATGTGATTGAGAGAATATCTGGATGTGATCAAGATAAAACCTAGATGTGATCAAAATAATATCTGGATGTGATTGAGATAGTACATGTACATGATCAAAATAATATCTTGATGTGATCAAGATAAAACCTGGATGTGATCAAGATAATATCTGGATGTTATTGAGATAGTACCTGTACGTGATCAAAATAATATCTTGATGTGATCAAGATAAAACCTGGATGTGATCAAGATAATATCTGGATGTGATTGAGACAATACCTGGATGTGATCAAAATAATACCTGGATGTGATCAAGATAATATATGGATGTGATTGAGACAATACCTGGATGTAATCAAAATAATACCTGGATGTGATCAAGATAATATCTAGATATGATTGAGATAGTACCTGTAATTGAGACAATACATGGATGTGACTGGATGTGATCAAGATGATTCCCGATGACATCAAAATAATACCTGGCTGTGATTGAGACAATACCTGGATGTGATCAAGATGATAACTGGCTGTGATCAAAATAAAACCTGGCTGTGATTGAGACAAAACTTGGATGCGATCAAGACAATATCTGGCTGTGATCAGGAAAATACCTGGCTGTGACTGAGACAATTTCTTTTCTGCATAGTAGATGGCTATGTAGATGATGTATCAGGACTGGATTATAACTAACCTCTAATGAGAACTGTAGATCATATGGTAGATAGTTATGAATCAGGACTGGATTATAACTAACCTCTAATGAGAACTGTAGATCATATGGTAGATAGTTATGTATCAGGACTGGATTATAACTAACCTCTAATGAGAACTGTAGATCATATGGTAGATAGTTATGTATCAGGACTGGATTATAACTAACCTCTAATGAGAACTGTAGATCGTATGGTAGATAGTTATGAATGAGGACTGGAGGTTTTAATACTAAGGTGAAATATGGAACTCCCTTAGGTACTTCTTGTCTTGGTGTCAACTTTTTACCGTCTGCAAGATACACCTGTATAAATATACAATACAATGTTTTAACTAATGAATTATGAGTTAATTTGAACAAGAATACTTTTATGTGTCAAAAGGACACCATGTCCTGCTTTTACTATCACATTTCCTTGTTCTGTGAAATGAAAAATATTGGACAAAATTCTAATTTGGAATCACTGTTTTGAATATAATTCTAAAAGTTCCCATCATAATGAACATGTGTACAAGTTGCTGTGCCCACAACTTCATGGTAAACCAGAACTATTACCTGATATGAGATTGACAAATGGTTGTTGCACAGACCGGAAACATAATGCTCTATACCATCATTGTAGTTAGGATATAAAAATAATACAATAGAACTAAGCTTTAGTACATAGATGGCAATCTCTATGCAATCAGTAAATTTGAAATTCCTGTGATTTGTGAATTTTTTTTCAATAGTCTTTGTTTTTCAAAACATTATCATACAGGTAGGAAATGACAACCAGACCCAAAATGACAAGCACATGATTTCCTTTATTTTTTAAAACAAATGGATACTAAGTTGATATTAAGTTAGGCTGATTTCATTAGGTACAGGAAAATTGGAAAAAAAAAACACTTGCCCTGTCTTTATCTTTTCAGAATTAAACAATAAATTTTTAGAATATATTTAACAACAGATAGTCCTGAGAAACCTGAAAGTATTTCGAAATTCAAATCAATCAAGAACTTATCACAACATGATAATGACAACAATGAAGCATCAAATCAAAATGATGGCAACAATATCTAAATTTGGAACCTTTCCAGACCGGTTATGAACAGAAACCTGTCACAAGTAGACTATTTACCATAACACCATAATTTTGACAACAATTTATAACAAAAAAAATTGTAATGGTTGGCATCTATGAGCTCATTAAAAACAAGAGTTTTTTAGCCTCTACTTAGCCTACTCCACTCTCTTTACTGAATTAATGACCTTTAATAATTGTTCTACTCAGATTTACAATTGTATGACAAATTGTCTACAGCATGAAAATCTGACCTTTATATTGAAGACTTTGTCAGCCTCATTTCCACCTGTGCATGTGTAAGTTTTGGCCCTTTCTTTTGTTCTCTGTATATCCTTCCACCAAATACCATTATTATGGATTTGATAACCTCTGAAAACATTTAAATTCCTTTGAAAACTTTACATTATTAGAAGTTTCTAATATGCTTTATGCCATGGTTTTGGGGGGGAATCTTTTGAATGTGGTTAATATCTTTTTCCCCATCTTCCCTCATTTGCACAGCATTTTCATTCATTTAATGAAAACATCCAGCAAGTTGAATCCTTGAACACAATCATTTTATATTTCCTAAACAATTTCTTTACAACATATTATTAGTAGTTGAAAACAGGTTGCAGATCATCTGGTGTCAAAGCAATTAACAAGTTTGTAGGATAACAACAATTTGAAACTATAAAGTCTGGGTTTTCATGAAAACATCTCTGACACATAAACTTCTAAAAACATGAGTAGCAGTTCTTAATGATTATTATAGCAGGGATTCTTCTAGCATTTTGCAGGTTCCAGTAAAAACAGACATTTCAATAGAGAATTTATTCAAATCATGGGGTTTTCCAAAAATTGACTTCTTACTTCACTAATCATGATGTTGGTATACAAATATAGAAAATGACATTAAAAGACCATTCCCAAAAACACCCTTGTAAACCCCTGCATGACAATTTCAATGTTCATTGTTAAAGACCTCTAGCAATTATACAAGCTTAAGACAAAGGAGGGCATTATGAACAATGTTTTAATGATATAAATATATTACTGAGATATATTTAGAGGAAACCATGTCTCATATGCATGCAATCAAAATATCTATTTCCAAATATGATATGTTTTTCAATTGCAGTGTCTTTATGTACTAACCTAAGATCTGTAGGAGCAACAAACAGATCTGAGTTATAAGCCAGGAACAGTGGGATGACAAACTCCTGTCCTGGTTGTAGTGTCTGTAATTTGGAGTATTGACCTAATTCTATGTAGGTCACACTGATCCCATACTGCTTCAGATCTTCAGTTTTACAGTAAACATCAACTGCAAAGGTTAAACTGTTCTCCATCTGAAACAGACAATGTGATTTAAGAATACCAATTCTATCCAAAATTAAATAAAAAAGTATGTAGTGGGAATATGAGTGGATTAAGTAAGAAATTGTATTTTTGTGAATATTTGATTTCGTGATTTTGCCAAAGTCTGCACACAAGCCTTTAGAAAATTTGCAGTTTGTTGAACATTTACCCACAAAAATAAATATTCCACCAATAATAATGAATTCACAGCATATGTAACAGTAAATTAAAATTCTATGGATGGTAGGTCCAAGAAAGAACTGCCTCCTAATCCCCTATGTAGATAAAAGACGGCAACCTAAATCTTCAGTGTTTTGCAGACTAATTATTTGCAACAAAAAGAAACCGCTTTTCTGAACAAATTTCCTTCAATTTGACAAAGTTACACCAGTTCATAGTTGTATGTTCATATGATGCAAAATTACCAAAGAAATATGTTGGCTGTTGGAGGGTTTTGGAAAGTCAATTCCTATCCTCTTACATCCATTTTACTAGAATAACCCAAAACGTTTCCCTCAAAACATTAAAAGTTTTTAGTTTTTGGAAATAAATATATCGTGAAAGAAACAATTGTTGTATATTCTATGTAGTATGACATCCAAACAAACCCACCATAATGAATCTAGATGCTTACCTTAAATGGAGACATGATTTTGATTACTTTACTACCATGAACTACATCTATATGTAATAGGTACCAGTACTTCGTGGAATGCTGTGAATTATAAAATGTTCTTTTCTAAACTATACATGTATTACAAGACTTTAGTCCTTATAACATGCCTCTTATTTCTGACAACAAATTCCACCTAGTATAACATTAACAATCCTTAATTTATTACTAAATTAAATATATTATATCAGCCATTTCATCAAGACATCGTGGTGCATTTATCAATGTTCAAGTAATGTAAGAATATCATTTCTTCCTTTTACTACCTTCTTTTACAAATGAAAACTATGGAAATTACTTGTTCAAGTCTTTGCTTTTGTGTTGAATACATCATACAAACCTTGTCGGGAGTAAGGGGAAATAACTGTAGACAAGCTCTCTTGTGGAATATTGTCGACGATAAATCAAAACCAAATATTGCTTCTAAATTAATGTCAGTATGTGTTTTTCATAAACTACATTAAAACCAGTTTAATAAAAGTATTATAAACTTTGTTGGTATGGTAGGGTTTTACTTAATTTGGATTTGTTTAAAATACTTTCAAATGGTTAGTCTGCCAAAGCATGCTGGTTCTGAAATTTTTTATCATATGACAACATTTCTAGAATCACAACATCAAGTAATATCTGAAATAACACTACAGTATTTCTGAAATACTAACACATTCTTTGTCATGCATATATCTAGTATGTAATTATATCTATGTAATTATATCATATAACATCCAACAACATCCAGTTTACCTTTCTGTCAATTATTTCTTCAGGCTAAGAACAAAAATCGTCATCATTATAAAAGGGCACTTTGCATTTGTGCCGATTGCCAATTCCTTTGTCGCTAAAAAATCTACTATTTGCACCACACACAATATTTCATTTGAGCCAAAATAAAATATTTCATTTGTGCCAATAATAAAGGTAAATAGTATGAATTATAGTAATATATTTTTACAATTCAATTTTTGTTATTTACAAATTTTCCAATACAGGCCTAGTATTTGGGATACCATTGGTACTGACATCTTAATTCTCATTTATGTTACCTGGAAAATTGTACAAACTAAAATATAACCTAGTGATGCAAATGAAAATACTAAAATGATTTTTTTTTTTAAAAATTGGCATTAAATAAAAAGATCCCTAGAAATTGAGTGCATGTACATTTCACCCAGAAAGTAAATCTTAAAAGGTTATAAAGATCCATAGGGAAAAATTTGAATAAAATATATAGAGTACATTGGCTAGAGGTATAGGGGGAGGGTTGAGATCTCACAAAACATGTTTAACCCCGCCGCATTTTTGCGCCTGTCCCAAGTCAGGAGCCTCTGGCCTTTGTTAATCTTGTATGTTTTTTTAATTTTAGTTCATTTATATGTTTTGGAGTTTAGTGTGACGTCCATTTTCACTGAACTTGTACACAATTTTATTTCGGGGCCAGCTGAGGACCACCTCCAGGTGCAGGATTTTCTCGCTGCGTTGAAGACCCATTGGTGGCCTTCGGCTGTTGTCTGCTCTTTGGTCGAGCTGTTGTCTCTTTGACATATTCCCCATTTCCATTCTCAATTTTAGTAGTTTATATTTCAGTATCAAGTTATTGACTAAAGAAGACACTTATGAAAGACTAAATCTACTAAAACTAACATCTTTGTTACGTTATTTTCAATGTGAAGTAAAATCTTTTTAAGTTGACTGTCAAATCTATGCTTTTGTGTTGAGTACAACATACAAACCTTGTCTGGAGTAAGGGGAAATAACTGTAGACAAGCTCTTTTGTGGAATATTGTCGACGATAAATCAAAACCATCAACCTTCAGATATAAAAAGAAATCAGCTATTAGGACATAATAAAAATTTCATAAAACTTATAAGAATACTTACATTATATAAGAAAATGATCAAAGTAGCATTTTAGCTAGTCATCACTCCCTCCATTTGAAATCTTGATGTGTTATTCTTTCCCTCAACAAATCTTGACAAATAACTTTAAAGAAATATTGGACTGCCATTTTCTGTCTTTAAGCTGTTACTGTTTCACCTTCTACACATGTATTTAGTGGTGGTATATTTGACCATATTTGACCATTACTTTATATTGTAAATCTTGCTGTTTTACCCTCTATACATGTATTTAGTGGTGGTATATTTGACCATATTTGACCATTACTTTATATTGTAAATCTTGCTGTTTTACCCTCTATACATGTATTTAGTAGTGGTATATATGACCATATTTGACCATTACTTTATATTGTAAGTCTTGTTGTTTCACCTTCTACACATGTATTTAGTGGTGGTATATTTGACCATATTTGACCATTACTTTATATTGTAAATCTTGCTGTTTTACCCTCTATACATGTATTTAGTAGTGGTATATATGACCATATTTGACCATTACTTTATATTGTAAGTCTTGTTGTTTCACCTTCTACACATGTATTTAGTGGTGGCATATTTGACCATATTTGACCATTACTTTATATTGTATGTCTTGTTGTTTCACCTTCTACACATGTATTTAGTAGTGTTATATTTGACCATATTTGACCATTACTTTATATTGTAAGTCTTGCTGTTTTACCCTCTATACATGTATTTAGTAGTGGTATATTTGACCATATTTGACCATTACTTTATATTGTAAGTCTTGCTGTTTTACCCTCTATACATGTATTTAGTAGTGGTATATTTGACCATATTTGACCATTACTTTATATTGTAAGTCTTGCTGTTTTACCCTCTATACATGTATTTAGTGGTGGTATATTTGACCATATTTGACAATTACTTTATATTGTAAGTCTTGTTGTTTTACCCTCTATACATGTATTTAGTAGTGGTATATTTGACCATATTTGACCATTACTTTATATTGTAAGTCTTGTTGTTTTACCCTCTATACATGTATTTAGTAGTGGTATATTTGACCATATTTGACCATTACTTTATATTTTAAGTCTTGCTGTTTTACCCTCTATACATGTATTTAGTGGTGGTATATTTGACCATATTTGACCATTACTTTATATTGTAAGTCTTGCTGTTTTACTTTCTATACATGTATTTAGTTGTGGTATATTTGACCATATTTGACCATTACTTTATATTGTAAGTCTTGCTGTTTTACCCTCTATACATGTATTTAGTGGTGGTATATTTGACCATTACTTTATATTGTAAGTCTTGCTGTTTTACTTTCTATACATGTATTTAGTTGTGGTATATTTGACCATATTTGACCATTACTTTATATTTTAAGTCTTGCTGTTTTACCCTCTATACATGTATTTAGTGGTGGTATATTTGACCATATTTGACCATTACTTTATATTGTAAGTCTTGCTGTTTTACTTTCTATACATGTATTTAGTTGTGGTATATTTGACCATATTTGACCATTACTTTATATTGTAAGTCTTGCTGTTTTACCCTCTATACATGCATTTAGTGGTGGTTTATTTAACCATATTTGACCATTACTTTATATTGTAAGTCTTGCTGTTTTACCCTCTATACATGCATTTAGTGGTGGTTTATTAAACCATATTTGACCATTACTTTATATTGTAAGTCTTGCTGTTTTACCCTCTATACATGTATTTAGTAGTGGTATATTTGACCATTACTTTATATTGTAAGTCTTGTTGTTTTACCCTCTATACATGTATTTAGTAGTGGTATATTTGACCATATTTGACCATTACTTTATATTTTAAATCTTGCTGTTTTACCCTCTATACATGTATTTAGTAGTGGTTTATTTAACCATATTTGACCATTACTTTATATTGTAAGTCTTGCTGTTTTACCCTCTATACATGTATTTAGTGTTTGTATATTTGACCATATTTGACCATTACTTTATGTTGTAAGTCTTGCTGTTTTACTTTCTATACATGTATTTAGTGGTGGTATATTTGACCATTTTTGACCATTACTTTATATTGTAAGTCTTGCTGTTTTACCCTCTATACATGTATTTAGTGGTGGTATATTTGACCATTACTTTATGTTGTAAGTCTTGCTGTTTTACCCTCTATACATGTATTTAGTGGTGGTATATTTGACCATATTTGACCATTACTTTATTTTGTAAGTCTTGCTGTTTTACTTTCTATATATGTATTTAGTGGTGGTATATTTGACCATATTTGACCATTACTTTATATTGTAAGTCTTGCTGTTTTACCCTCTATACATGTATTTAGTAGTGGTATATTTGACCATATTTGACCATTACTTTATATTTTAAGTCTTGCTGTTTTACCCTCTATACATGTATTTAGTGGTGGTGTATTTGACCATATTTGACCATTACTTTATATTGTAAGTCTTGCTGTTTTACCCTCTATACATGCATTTAGTGGTGGTTTATTTAACCATATTTGACCATTACTTTATATTGTAAGTCTTGCTGTTTTACCCTCTATACATGTATTTAGTAGTGGTATATTTGACCATATTTGACCATTACTTTATATTGTAAGTCTTGCTGTTTTACCCTCTATACATGCATTTAGTGGTGGTTTATTTAACCATATTTGACCATTACTTTATATTGTAAGTCTTGCTGTTTTACCCTCTATACATGTATTTAGTAGTGGTAAATTTGACCATATTTGACCATTACTTTATATTGTAAGTCTTGCTGTTTTACCCTCTATACATGTATTTAGTAGTGGCATATTTGACCATTACTTTATATTGTAAGTCTTGCTGTTTTACCCTCTATACATGTATTTAGTAGTGGTATATTTGACCATATTTGACCATTACTTTATATTGTAAGTCTTGCTGTTTTACCCTCTATACATGTATTTAGTAGTGGTATATTTGACCATATTTGACCATTACTTTATATTGTAAGTCTTTCTGTTTTACCCTCTATATATGCATTTAGTGGTGGTTTATTTGACCATTACTATATTTTATTCTTGTTACTGCTAAACAACATTTTAAAAAATTCCAAAATGTTTTAGAATCCGACATAACCATTTCTAACCTGAACTTTCAGTCGGTTGATGTCCATCTTGTCACCTGAGAGGTAATCTGGATCATCATCAAATACAAATGCTCCCGATGATGTCACCATGTTACCGAAGGCTGCCAGAGTCTCCGTTACAAAATCATCTGATCGGGAGAACAAACCATCTACGTCATCACTGAAAAATACACATAAAAGTAATCTGACCTTACACTGAATATAAAAAACCAAGAATGTATACAGTCAAAATCATCTGGATAGGACAACAATCCACTCATCCCAAAAATACATATAGTACAAGAAAATACATATAGTATAATAAAATACATATAGTATAATAAAATACATATAGTATAATAAAATACATATAGTATAAGAAAATACATATAGTATAATAAAATACATATAGTATTAGAAAATACATATAGTACAAGAAAATACATATAGTATAATACAATAAAAAAAGGACAATTTTTTTGAATAGACTCTTTTTTGTCTACATTATATCAGAAAAAAAACATTGAAGTTAAATAAATTGTGTTGTGCACAATGAAAGTTTGTACTGAAGATAATATCTAATTGCAGGACTTATGGGTGAAGAATGCCTCCTTTTTCAGAGCAAATTTATAGCATTAATATACCATACCTTAAGAGAATCATTTCACATTTGAATCCCACTTTTTACATTTGTATATAAACCAGAACCTACCTGCACTCTTCTTTAATATCAGGTAGATCAATCCTCTCATCGTTTTCATCACGTAGAACTATTTTGACCTGGTTATCATCTTTTCCTTGCCTTAAAACCTGACATTTCTTTATATGATTTTCATGGACCTAAAAACAAATTTATAGATTATCACATAAAATATAAATATTTGTCTTTGACAGAATAAGGTTGAATGTACATATTAATTTCATCTATTTAATTGGTCAACAAGTCGAACAGCCATTAATTCTAACATCCAGGATTTTTTAGGGGTCAAGTTACTTTTGATGCAGTATGGCCATTAATAATTTAATAGCTATGGCAGTACAGTGGCCTACAATTGCTTACTACCACTTCATTCTTACTCTGGTGGATAGTTGTCTCATTGGCCACATACCACATCTCCTTATTTTATATGGGCTAGCTGGGGAACAGTTTGAGTTATTAATAAACTCATCATAGATACCAGGATTAAAATTGTGTATGCAAGATGCTTGTTTCATCTACAAGAGACTTGAAGCAAAGAAAGTTGAAAGGCAAAAAGAAAATACAAAGTTGAAGAGTATTGAAGATACAAAATTCCAAAAGGTTTTGCCAAATAGAGCTAAGATAATCTATTTTTGGGGTAGAAAATCCTTAGTATTAACCTCACACCTTCTTTAATCCACATAAGTAACTGCACTTTATCGATTCAATATATACATACCTTGATATCAGGATGAAGAACCACCGAGGTGTGTAAACCAAGCTGAAATGTAAATAGTATATTCCTTTTCATGAGTCTTGATACTTAACAGTAAAGTTTGGGATAGATTTACTTTAGCATAAAACAATTTTAATGTGAGGTAAAGGATAAGGGTTGATACAACTCTAACTATATCTGACATGGAACCCCTAAAGTTTAAAAGAGACACATCCAAAAAAATTAAATCCGCTTTTTTTAATGGGAAAAAAAACCAAAAAACTCATTAATTGTATTTATGTAAATCACTATGTTTTAAGGTCCACTCTATATTTTCTATGGAATATTTATACACATTTCAAAATATATTTGAGTAAAGTTAATGTTTTACTGGTCTATTTATGCTAGTACAATGTTGATAATGAAACAAATCTTAAATCTTTCACAGATGACAACGGATATGTTCCAATTGTCGTAACTACAATCCCGTCCCCTTTTCCCTAATGTGACCTACCAATTAGACTTATCACAGAGTTTGTACTAACATGAGCAACATGAAGGGTGCCACTTGTGGAGCAGGATCTGCTTACCCTTCCAGAGCATCTGAGATCACCCCCAATTTTTGATGGGGTTAGTGTTGCTCAGTCTTTGGTTTTCTATGTTGTGATTTGTGTACTACTGTTTGTCTGTTTGTCTTTTTCGTTTTTAGCCATGGCGTTGTCAGTTATACTCATTCTACTTATGAGTTTGAATGTCCCTTTGGTACCTTTCGCCTCTCTTTTAAACTGAAATCCAAGTGTACATTGTATAGAAGTTTTTAGCAAGAAAGAAAAAGGTTAGGATTAAGAGATTTGTTTTTATTTGAAGACTTTTAACAAACCTGATTACTGATTTCAAATGCAGGTCTAGATTTACTCTCACCCTCTACAGCCTCAGGTGTCATCATAGCCTATAAATAAACAATATCATACATATATATTATACAGTAACTTGGATTAATATGACAATACATATTTCTCTAGCTTTTATTATGGTATAACTCTTATATGACTTGCATATCTACCAGTGGTGTAGCTGCAGTGTAGCTTTGTAAATGTGCTTACAAATAATTTTAGAAAGAAAAAAATTTTCAATAAGAATTTTACTTTAATTGTTCAGATTCTGGGAGGCTGCCACCCCCCAGACCCTATGCTTACAGTTTATTTTCCAGTGGCTATGCCACTGTCTACAAATACTTGAATGTAATTGGTCCATTAGAATTTCCCCCCTTGGTTTACACTTTGATAGACCATGTTGCTAATTTCGTAACCAAAGTAAACACTATGTTGATTCCACTGTGACCTATTCATGGGATGCTGTGATTCCATGAAAATTGAAATTGAAAAATACCCTACAGAGCTACTATTGCTATTCTAACGCATAACAAAAAGAAATTATACATTAGAGCTTAGAAAATGTATTAAAATAAAAATAAAATAAATTTCCGCAAAATTTCATAAATGATCTTGGTGCATGGCAAAACATCATACAAACAGTGTCAGCAGACCTGCCAACTATCCTGATTCAGAGGTGTTGACCTGAATTTTGAAATTCTTTATTACATAAACTGAAGACCTAAAAACAGACATTCAAATGAGTTAAAAGGGTATTTAAGCACATATATACTCATTCAAACAATATAGTAGTAGATTAAGAACACTTATGACAATATAAGAAGAACATTAGGTCCTCTTGCGCTTAAAATCCCCCATGGCAATTTTGAAAAGTTTGCAGGTATGAGTGTGACTATTGAAAACTTTCAAGTTGGAGGTTATTCTGTTGCTTGTACGCTACAAAATATGATAATATCTCTTTAAAATGTAATTTGTGACGTTTGTGTTATTTCATTTTATATTTTATTGCATTGATTGAACATTTGTGGATTTCAGCAATAACTCCAATAAGGAGTCATCTGATGATTTCAGCCATGTTTGCTTATTTGTTAATTTTGTCTTTTTGATCATTTTTCATAATAAAAGTTTCTCTGTATCTATTATAGGTTTCAAAATAATAGACAATAATGAAAAAAAATTGATAAAAATTTGACATTTAAGGACTATACTTAAAGACTATTATCTGACAATATTTGATGTAAATGGACAGCAGGTAGATCTCAACATTTTCAGCATTTTTTCCCCTTTCAGATTTTCTCTATTCAGAGTGGTTTTCAAGATAATTTACAAATCTTGCATTTTACCCCTATGTTCTATTTTTAGCCATTTTGGTCATCTTCGTTTGTCAAGCAGGATCATCAGATACATTTTTCCAAACTGCATACCCCAATAATGATTGTGGCCAAGTTTGGTTAAATTTGGCCCAGTTGTTTCAGAGAAGATTTTTGTAAAAGTTAATGGATGAGGACGACGGATGCCAGGTATTGAGAAAAGTTCACGGCCAGGTGAGCTAAAAATTAGTCGTGATAAGCAATAATAATATCCCAAATTCTAATTTATTTTGTCATTCAAAATAAACTAAATAAGTCTGCGACTTAAACAGTAACATAGCATACATTTTACTGTTCACGTTAAATATATCAAGTACTAGATCACATTAATATATCAAGAGTTCTCTGTTTTCAGGTCTATTGACATTCAGGAACCTTGTTAAATACTAATGCTCTGTATAACTTACTTTTGTAACATCAGTGACAACATCTATGGCCTGAGGTGTGACATTCAGTAGCAGTTGGTTCTGAGATGCCATGATAATGTAATATGACTGACTTACTTTTGTTACATCAGTGAGCACATCTATAGCCTGTGGTGTGATATTCAGAAGTAGTTGGTCCTGAGATGCCATGATAATGTAATATGATTGAGGTCTAGGTTCTTCCTTTTCTCCTTCCTCTGTCATATCTGACTGGGGCCCAGCATCTAATTCATCATACATGCTCTGATCTGTATAAAGGACATAATTTTATTTAAATTACTCTTTAAAAAAAAGGTCAATGCAAAGAGTATCAAATGTGGAAGAAAATAAAATGGTTAGAATTTTTTTATAACTTTGAGAAGTGATTTTTCTTGAAAACTCATGAATTCCTTGGACCACAGAAAATTTAATAATTGAATCAAATATAAAGGAATATAAATTCTAACACTAAATCCTTTTATCAATTCTGACACCAAATCCTTGTATTAAAATCATAACACAACATGTTAGTTTCTTATACCAACTGAGGAGTCCAAAGTTTTATAGATCATCTTTATTAAACATTGTTCTTCCATAGAAAAAAAAAATCATATTAATCAGGATTTTGATGATAAATTTAACATAACATTATTTCTGTAAATTTATTCTGCTATTACGTAATAAAGCATGAACTCAATTTCTGCAGATTTCTCTCTGAGCAATTTATACAATTAAAATGTAAGTGTTTATCTATAAAATATTATTAATTTGTTACAGCTGATATATCTGATTGTGTACTTCATGCATAATAGTTATGGTTGCTAATTTGTTATGTGAACCATGAATTCTATAGTAGCTATTGTAAAAATAGCAGCATACTGATTAAATTGATTTTTGTTCTCCTTTGAAGGCCAAAAAATTTTTAAAGAATTTTTTCTTTAATGTTTTTCAAGATATATTCATGTATAAATTTTTAGTATAAATCATCCGCTCAGCAGTACATATTCAATTATCGGTAATAACGACCCCCATTCAAAAATCGTGGATTCTATAGCTGTATACTGGTCAAATAAATGGGTGTTCTCCTTTTGTTGTGATTTGATCGGGTAGTACAAACTATTTCTATTCTACCAACAGAAAGTAAACAAAGATGATATAAGTTCTATGACCCACTTAGCACACAATCAAACTACATTTCAGTGTTCTTTGTACACATTCAAGTATATTAGCTGTAATGAAAATGACATATAATATAATATCAAAACAGTAACAAAAGAACCATGCACACAACAGGGTCAAATAACTAAATCTACAAAGCAGTAAAAAAAAACACCATCCCCCAAACAAAAGTAGGTAATCATTATTTACTTGTCAGATTTTCAACTAATTACAGAAACATGCAATTCTAGTTATAATTTTGGTCTTCATTTCATATTTAAAATAAGGTAAATTAATCAAGATACCCAAGCACCAAGTGAGTTATACTATTGTACACAAAATGCATATAAAGATTTGGGTTATCACCAGACTTGCAGGTCTTAGATGTTAAGTTAACATATAATACTAGAAAGATATTCTATAAGCGTAAAGGGGGTATCCTCTGTAAGTATAGTCATAACTAATTATTAGTAAATAACAACTTGGGTTATTTTAGGGATGTGTCTTTCTATAGGTCTAGTTTTTCAATCAAATATTATAATTTAACTTAAAATGCCAATCTAGTTTGATAATTGTCTGTAAAGGTTGTAACAGATAATGAAAATCTGACAAGTAAAAAAAACATAAAAGTAACCTTGACAACATGGTGTACAACAGGTAAAAAGTCTTTGAAGTCCGCCTGCAATAAAAGGTAAGATAAAACTAAAAGCCAAAAAGTAAACAAAACAAAAAGTCTTTTAAAAGTATATTGTAAAATAATAACTCAATAGTACTGTGTGTACAGTAAAAAAGCTTTACTTAATCTATTTAACACTCAAGCTGCTGAGGATATCCTAATATCTTATTTCAATATTTTTTGGACCACGCCCTCCACATAACTTTTTTCTACAATCGACCTGAATTTCCAAGTAATTAAAAAAAGTAGGATAAGAAGTGAAAATTCAATGTTATGACGATACTGAAGTGCCAGTATAAACAAAACTTATCATCATGGACACACAAGGTTACAGATGTCACAGAGGCCAATTCAGCCTTTGAAATTGTGACACGTTTTTGCAATGTAACAATTTAGACACTTTTGAGTGAGGAAAATAATCTGAAATGTTTGGGGGAATGAAATTGGAAATGTTTGGGCGAGACAAAAACAAGCAAATTTGACATGTTTAAGCAAGGTGGACACGTTTGGGGAGATGGACATGTTTCAGAGTGTTACATATATATTCTCCATGATTGAAAAAAAAAAGGTTTACACATGCAGTTCCATAATCCAAAATTAAAATAAAATAATCTTACTTGGAAGAAATGAAAGAAGAAATGTTCGTCTAAGAAACTCCATTCTGGCTAAATCAAACAGAATCTCATAATACAATTCACTAAGTTATGTACAACATGAAAAACCCTATGAAATCAATATTTTGTTCATGACAAAGAGTTACCCATACACCAGATGTACCCACAACATTTAGTTGCCCACAACATGGAGCTACCCATAACATGGAGCTACCCACAACATGGAGCTACCCACAACATGGAGCTACCCACAACATGGAGCTACCCATAACACCACATGTACCCACAACACCAAGTTACCCATTGCTATATGTACAGGTCCTTTAGAGTTATAAAGACAGGTTTATCTAGAGAAGGATCACAACATTTAGATGCCCACAACACCAAGTTACCCATTGCTATATGTACAGGTCCTTTAGAGGTTATAAAGACAGGTTTATCTAGAGAAGGATCACAACATTCAGATGCCCACAACACCAAGTTACCCATTGCTATATGTACAGGTCCTTTAGAGGTTATAAAGACAGGTTTATCTAGAGAAGGATCACAACATTTAGATGCCCACAACACCAAGTTACCCATTGCTATATGTACAGGTCCTTTAGAGGTTATAAAGACAGGTTTATCTAGAGAAGGATCACAACATTTAGATGCCCACAACACCAAGTTACCCATTGCTATATGTACGGGTCCTTTAGAGGTTATAAAGACAGGTTTATCAAGAGAAGGATCAACCAAGTCCCCATTATCATCATTCTCACTTATATCAGCATCCTCGCTGCTATCACTGTCAGAAAATATCCCTCCCAGTTTGTTGGTTATACTTTGTATAAGTCCGTCGGGTTCTGTGTCAGACTCACCCTGAATACTCCCCTGATGACTTAGTGATTCTGTAATAAGTCACTCTTTTAAAACAGGTAAACCAAACATATTGCTTGAAGTTTAATTACTTTACATTTTGTGACTCGTAGCATATTCTTAACAAAATTAGTGAATTAAGATTATAACTATAAATTAATCTCCCATTTTTTGTCTACACAAATAGATCCATTTTTTGGATCCAGGCAGATAATCCAAAAAAAAAAAAAAGAAAAAAGTTACCTCCCATTTTTTATCTAGAGCATTACCTCCCTTTTTTTATCTAGGCAGATAACTCCCTTTTTAATATCTAGGATGATATTTCACTTTTTGTAGAAGCTTCCCATAGTAATCTTGGAAGATAAATCATCTGTTTTCAATGATTTTCAGTCAATTCTTTGCAAGCATACACGTTATAAGGTAAAAAATATTGTTATGCTGTTAATTATTTAGGCCTTTTCATTTACAAAATGAGACATTTTAGAACTATGTAAAGAAGGACCAAATTGAAGTAAATGCAAAATCTTTCTTATCTTAAGTATAAAATAATCAAATATATTTACTGCATTTACCAAAACTTTTATCACTAGCAATTCTTGACCTGGTCCTGGGAAACTTGTGTCTCATGACAGTTTTCTCTACAATAGAATCATCCGTCTCTGATTCTGATGAACTTGACCTTCGTTTACTCTCCTGTAACAGTTTCTGGACATTGTTTCGGTAAGTGTCCTCCAAACTGAATTCGTCCTGGACATAGTTAAATGTCATAGGATAGCTACGATTCCTTATTACCTAGAATATAAAATATACACAATAAAAGTCATTGGATAGCTACAATTCCTTATTACCTAGAATATAAAATATACACAATAAACGTCATTGGATAGCTACGATTCCTTATTACCTAGAATGTAAAATATACACAATGAACATCATGGGATAGCTACGATTCCTTATTACCTAGAATGTAAAATAAGCATTATAAGTTTCCCATTAATCTGCAAATAAGTAATTCCTTGAAGTTGTAAACCACCACAGAATAACTAAATATACTACTCTAGAGCATCTCATTATTGAAAAAAATAGCTTCTATATCATGGATTCCCTACACGGACCTACCTTCATCACACATTCCCACGGTCTATACTGTCCTTCTTTTTCAGATACTTTCTCTATCAAGAGTTCCCTAACCTGACCTACCTTCATCACACATTCCCACGGTCTATACTGTCCTTCTTTTTCAGATACTTTCTCTATCAAGGGTTCCCATACACTGAGTTTTTCATTAAAATATCTGGCTTCCATCTGAATATCACTTGTCATCTGGAACTGTAAACAAAACAAGTATGTGTCATCTAAATTGTTTGCTGCCTATAAATTATGAATACCCTTTTAATTCAAACAAACTCATAATAGTTCTTATATTTTGCAAATATCTCAATCTTTTAACCTTGAAATTTGACATCGGACTCTGAAAAATAATGTGTGAGTGAATGGGTTCATTCAAATTAGCTATTCTTTCATACTTTTCTTTATCTTATAAATTTATAGACATTGTATTACAAGAATAAGGGACTAAACTGATTCCATAATGTACTTTACTGCATGATGATCTTCATATTACAAGAAGCCTTCAGGAATTAAATGAAGTGCCTTCTCTTAGTGTTAAGAACTGTGCCTCTTACTTGAATGCCCCTGACCTATTAATTCTATATCTCATTTAACTACCATCAACTCTAGTATTCAAACATTCCCTTAAGACTTGACTTGAGAGTTTTGTCCCCTGTTTACTCTAATTGATTTAAGTATTCTCCCCTCCCGTTAACTCCACCCAACTTAAGGCTTATTTTCAGTTTTTATAGAAACTCTATGATGAGAGTAGTAGATCTGAATAATTGAGGTTATGCCCCCTCTTAATCCTCACCTGCTTTTGTAAGTCAGAAATTGTTGCATCAATAGACATCTTAAGGTGAAGTAAATCCACATCATAATCTAAGTTCCTCACTCTGAAGTAGGAATTCATCTTTTTGATTTTCAATGTGATGGATTCTGTCGGAGCTTCTGCAGGCACAAAGGGATCTATAGCACTTCCTTCCTCATCTAGAATTAGTAATTCACACAGCATTAAGATTGTTTGAAAATAGTGATGTGTTAATAATGCAGTTGACCTTTCACTTGCTATATAATAGATGTTTCCCCTTTTATCAAGATAAAATGTTACAATATGTTGTGACAAACAAACTACAGTCAACTCTCATTATCTGTACGTCAGCTAGACCAGAGAAATATTTCGAGATACCTGTAGTTCGACTCAAAAGAATACCAGAAGTTTGACAAAGGGACACAATTCTTTTTTAGCTTCGGAAGGCTAAAATAAATGTAGCTGTATGTAATGATTTTGATGGTATATGAAATTCTGAAAATAACAACTGTGAGATTATCCCAATTTACAATACTCAATTAAAATGTAAAATAGAAACTCATAATACAAAAGGAAGTGGAGATATTGATCAGCTGATGTTTGACATATTCTTTGTTGGATTTGACTGACTAGTCTGTGTTTGGGAAGGGACATATAAACAACAAATATTACTTATTCTTAGCTGATCCTTGTTTGACTAATTGGTCTTTGATTATGTGAGATATAGAAAGAAGGGATACAAAATTTAAATTCTGGCCCAGCATTTTTCAGCTGAGGATGGTTTAACTGGTCAGTCTGTATTTAATATGGGACATAGTAGGGGCATAAAACGTTTTTTTATTTTTTAAATCTTATAAAATCTTACCAATTCTGGCCCTCCATTTATCAGCTGACACAGCTTTGACTGACCACATATCTGTTTCTGGTACTGGTTCTATCGATGTGTCATTTTCCTAGTTATAAATCAATATATTGTCTTTTAATAATAATAATTCATCACTTAATATACTATTACTTATATAAATGGAATGACAACTAATATGATAAGTCAAAGAATATGAAATCAGAATCTAACAAGAATCCACATTTCTTATGTGTCTTGAATGTCTTACTGGAGCATTCTAAACTACTTAAAATTAATATACCCATATACTTTGATCAAAAAAGAGAAAAAATAGTGTATATGAGTTAAAAATCACATAAAACTACAGAATATAACCAATAAATCAAAGGCACAGTACTTTTATTGTTGGTATTCAGCTTCACCTCCAATAAAATCATTTTTTCATATTCTAGAATCCATTCTGATGTAAACTTTCATTAAAATTTCCTTCATTTCTGACTTATTTGGCATTGTAATCATTTCAGCCATTAGATTTGAATAGAAAAGAAATGGTGTATCATATTCAAGACATAAAATCAATACATGCATTTGACAAAGTCGAAAGTAGAGGAACAGCCTTTTATCACTGTTCTTCATATTAACTCTAAAGTGAGGATTTCAACTCAGCAGAAATCTTACACCTAACTGTAATTTAAAGACTGACCCATCAATGCTATAATCTGTATGTGTAATGTAGATCTCTAGTTGGATGTATTACCTTTTTTTTCTGGACCAGTCAGTAATTTAGTGACATCAGCCATGAGATGTAATACTGTAGGTGTTATATAGATCCCTAGTTGGGTGTATTACCTTTTTTCCTGGACCGGTCAGTAATTTAGTGACATCAGCCATGAGATGTAATACTGTAGGTGTTATATAGATCTCTAGTTGGATGTATAACCTTTTTTCCTGGACCGGTCAGCAATTTAGTAACATCAGCCATGAGATGTAATACTGTAGGTGTTATATAGATCTCTAGCTGGATGTATTACCTTTTTTTCTGGACCAGTCAGTAATTTAGTGACATCAGCCATGAGATGTTATACTGTAGGTGTTATATAGATCTTTAGTTGGATGTATTACCTTTTTTTCTGGACCAGTCAGTAATTTAGTGACATCAGCCATGAGATGTAATACTGTAGGTGTTATATAGATCTTTAGTTGGATGTATTACCTTTTTTTCTGGACCAGTCAGTAATTTAGTGACATCAGCCATGAGATGTTATACTGTAGGTGTTATATAGATCTTTAGTTGGATGTATTACCTTTTTTTCTGGACCAGTCAGTAATTTAGTGACATCAGCCATGAGATGTAATACTGTAGGTGTTATATAGATCTCTAGTTGGATGTATAACCTTTTTTCCTGGACCGGTCAGCAATTTAGTAACATCAGCCATGAGATGTAATACTGTAGGTGTTATATAGATCTCTAGTTGGATGTATAACCTTTTTTCCTGGACCGGTCAGCAATTTAGTGACATCAGCCATGAGATGTTATACTGTAGGTGTTATATAGATCTTTAGTTGGATGTATTACCTTTTTTTCTGGACCAGTCAGTAATTTAGTGACATCAGCCATGAGATGTAATACTGTAGGTGTTATATAGATCTCTAGTTGGATGTATTACCTTTTTTTCTGGACCGGTCAGTAATTTAGTGACATCAGCCATGAGATGTAAGACTGTAGGTGTAATATAAATGTCTAGTTGTGGTAGAGCTATACTGTAGTGTGTCTTGTTGTCATTTAGTGAAGAAATACGGGAAAAATCTAAATTACATGGTTTTATCACCTGAAAAACATAGTTACCAAATGACACACAGATACATATACAACATTCAGATAGCTCATTCGACATAGTTTTTCCTTCTGTTTCTTAATTTCATAGATAAATTTCAGATTTTTATCATGTGCTTTACTTTTCTGATCAAAACTGCTTTTCTTTTTAAAACAAAATTGCATAGATGCAAGCATACAATATCTTTGGTGTTTTCTATTTGATTGTCACTTGGATATCTTAAATTACGAGCTAGAGGTTACAACCTACAATACAAAACTATTATAGATTTCAATTTTCTTCTTTTTATGGTTATGAATGTGATATTCTAAATTCTGATAGCATAAAAACTGTAAACCAATTTATCTAGGTAATACCGGTACTTTATTTCGTATTTGGCCCTTTACATCCCAATTCACAGTGATTTTCCCATTTTAATTAGAGCTAATTTCCTTATGCTTGTAGATTAAAACTTTGGTTGGCTTGCTTGCTTTGTTGTATAAACATTTGCTCAAGCATTGTAATTAAGATTGACATCTGCAAACAATATGAATAGGTGGAGTCAAACCTGTATACATTATATTTAGATTTGATTGGACATTATCAAATAATCAAACTTAACTATATACAGGGTTAACTCCGCCTACTTATATTGTTGGCAGATGTCAATCTTAATTACAGTGCTTGATAAAAACATTTATAAAAACAAAGCAAGCAAGCCAACCAAAATCTGGTTATAAAAGCATTATGAAATTTTATTGGTGTATTCATATAAGAGAATACCCAATTTTTACATATTCATAGTCACATTATTTTTCTAACAGTAATCATTATCTTTAAAATAGTTATGTATATCTGTTTTCTTACTTACAGAATTTTCATACAATTCAGATCCATGGAGGGAGGTATACATTTTCATTGATTTTATTGATGCCTGTATCTTCTGTACACTAGAATCTGTGTACATCTCAAACTCTATATCAGTCTGAAATGTAAAACATCAGGGAATTATATTGTATAACCAGTTATCTATTTCATTTCCAGCCTGAAATGCAACACTTTTTAAAAACACCTAGGACTTTTTATTGCACTATTTTTTTGTTAATACGATTAATAATACATCTATTTCAACATGCATTACCTTGTTTGAATTATTTTACATTTTCCTGTCGGGGCCTTTTATAGCAGACTATACGGTATGGGTTTTTCTCATTGTTGAAGGCAGTAGGGTTGCCTATAATTGTTTACATCCACTTTATTTAACCGTCGGTGAATAGTTGCCTCAATAACAATCATAGCACACCTTCTTATTTTTAAATTAAGGCTAAAGTCATCTTAATAAAAGGTTACATCCTTCAGAAATGATAACCCTTTACCAGCACCTTATTTTTCCTCAAATATACCCTGTGAATTAACCTTCAGAGCTAGATATATAATAACCATATGCATTATACCAATGTCGTAATGATAAAATAAAACTTACATCTAAGACTAAAATTCTACTGGTATCTTTCTCTGGATCAGCAAATAGAACAATCTTTGGCTGTTTAACAATTCCCTTCACTTGTAAGACTGAGTTATTAGGACTGGAATCCAGTTGATCTGATACTAGACTGGTTCTTTGCCTAGATTGGTCTATTGGTGGCACATCAGATTGGAACGCTGATTGGTAGAATTCATTTAAAGCCAATAAATACGGAATGTTTAAGTTAATTGTCACTTTATCCATTCTTATGTCAGCTGAAAAACAAAATCAAAATCATTATTTATCTGTCAATTTGCACAATTTATGGCGTTAGAAACTTGAGACCTAGGGTATCCAATTTCAACATCTTCCAACTTAATTATGCCAGATATATAACATAAATATGAGTGAAATGTATTAATCTCATCCTTTACAAATAATTGTAAATCAAATTAACCCAACCTCCTAATAAAAGTAGTAGCCTATCACAATAAGTATCCAAGTGTTGAATAAATCTAAATAAATATAACTGGTTTGCCTAAATTCAGAAGTAGTTTTCAAAAACAATGGAAAACACAAAAGCACATTTTGAAAATTTTTCTATTTTCCAAATCTTCAACATTATGGTGTAATACCACCAAATCATAGTACGTCACATCCGGTTGCATACGAAAATAGGTCGAAAAAAAATATTCCCTTGAATTTGACAGTTGTAGGTAATTGATCCTACATTTCATTGCAGTAAAACATTTCTGGGTCATAAACATATATCTTGGGTATTTCAAAGCACCATTGTTTTTTTATTTGGGGATTCTATAGAATATTTTGGAAACTTGAGGTTAAATGGTTACTAAAGCTTGTATACAGGTTAAAAAAGGGGGAAAATTTGATTGGTTAACTTCCAGTGATGGTTATTTTCTTATATGCAATGAAATGTTATGTGAAATTTTTTCTATAGTACTGGACAGGATCAAACTTTACTCATGCCAAGTATTTCTTTATTTGAAACAAAGATAAATTCTGCACAATTTTTTGAAAAGTGCAAATTTAACAAAGACTAATAGGGGAAAATCAATGGTGGTATTACACCTAATATGGGAAGCTGTACATGCACCTTTGACCTTGTGAGTACTCTCATGTGTTAAAATTTCTTGCTATTTAAGTGAAATATTACTAATAATGAAATATTCTGAGTGGATTGTGTCTCCAAAACACATTTTATGAGAAAATTTCCTTGAAATAGGACTTTACCATGAATATTAGTTGACAGAATAAGCCATACTTAGAGTTTTGGGGAGCTTTTTCTCCTTTTTTCTTATATTCTGCTATACTAGAAAATTTTTCCTAAGAAATACTTTAATAAATATATAGTTTTAAGTAAATGAAATTATTTTCAAAGCAGTAACAACAAATTATTCACCAAAAGAGAAGCTTTTTATGTCCCTCTCTGGAACGCGGCGTAAATTTAAGTTTTACGTAAGGACTTATTGAAACCTCCTTGGAGACAGTAAACTTTTATACGGATAGTTCATTCAGCTTGAATACTTCAATTAATCATTTATTATAACATTTCTATCATAAATAAGTGAAAGTTACCCCAAAATTTTTATTTATTGGCCTATAAAGTAGAAATTTTGAGGAAATGAGAGGTATAAATGGACCAAAAGAGACCTTATAAGGAAGACAAAGAGGTCCATTGGTAGTATTTATCATCCTAAAGTCATCTTTTGTATCATATTCAACTGTTTGTAGGCAGATGAGATAAATATTTGATCATTTATTGGTCCACACTATATTCTATCATGATGCGGCTTGGTTTGGATTTTTCGAAGAAATTTAGCTCGAATCGCTGCAGATGTCGTCTTACATTATACTAGATTTTTCTCAAACTATTGAAATGATTATGACAAAACTTGACAGGAATGCTTGAAATAACCAGTATAACAAAGGAAAAAAGTCACATTCAGTTTATTTAACAAAAAAGTCTTCTTTAGGTGTAATACCACCAAATCATAGTACGTCACATCCGGTTGCATACGAAAATAGGTCGAAAAAAAATATTCCCTTGAATTTGACAGTTGTAGGTAATTGATCCTACATTTCATTGCAGTAAAACATTTCTGGGTCATAAACATATATCTTGGGTATTTCAAAGCACCATTATTTTTTTATTTGGGGTTTCTATAGAATATTTTGGAAACTTGAGGTTAAATGGTTACTAAAGCTTGTATACAGGTTAAAAAAGGGGGAAAATTTGATTGGTTAACTTCCAGTGATGGTTATTTTCTTATATGCAATGAAATGTTATGTGAAATTTTTTCTATAGTACTGGACAGGATCAAACTTTACTCATGCCAAGTATTTCTTTATTTGAAACAAAGATAAATTCTGCACAATTTTTTGAAAAGTGCAAATTTAACAAAGACTAATAGGGGAAAATCAATGGTGGTATTACACCTTATAGCATGATGTACTGATAATATTGAAAACAAGATATTTGGATGGAGATGTAAACATGTGACTGACCTGAGGAGATATATCAGGAGACTGATTTTTGTTGGGGGGGGGGGGGGGAGGAGGGAGGATTGGTCTCATATCAGGGTGAATTGTGATCAGTAATTTTGGTTTCACATCAGGAAGGAAATTATCAATAAAATTAAAATCAGTGAAGGGAAAAAGTTCACTTTTAGTATATGTACTCCAGCTATATTATAAGGAAAGAAAGGTCCACACTATCAAAAAAGGTCCAGAGCCAGAGGTTTGCAGTCCAGTAGTTGTCTTTGGTTGCTGTTTCTCATAATTGTTATTTTTATTTAATGTCATCAACTTAAATCAAAGGGAGGGGGTTAGCACTTACTATGCTATGAGTGGTAGGGATGAGCTGGTGAAAAAGGTGACTATTTCAAGCTTCATGATATAACATTGAGAAATCAGAGGTCATATATGAAAATGTTGCTGATTGAGTCACAAGTATCTGTTATCAGTAATAGATTTTCATCTGAATTTTTTTTACAGATAGCATAAACACCTTAGTCGTAAATGCATCAGAATTTTGTCAAATGTAATAATCTCTCTATAAAAAGAGGTAATCACGATAGCTTTAGGTATATTATTTGTTCAAAATATTAGGTCTAGAAATATTTTTGTTTATATTCAAAGTATATGAAAAAGGGTGGGGTACTGAATGTCTCAGCTGCTGTACCTTACCATAAAAGAATTGAATTGGCCCCCTAAGATCATATGTATAGAGATAGATATAACTGACCTTCCTGATGTCCACTTGACCTTGCTTTATACACAACAGATATCAAAGGTAGGTTTTCTTGTTGAGATACCTGATGGCAGTAAAATATCCTGAAATCAAATCAGCATACATAATTATTTGTTTCCGTAGAAAAATATTCTAACTAATTCAAACAATCAATTGCAAGATCAGTATTATAAGTAGCTATAGCAATTATCTAAAAATGTATTTCACAACCATTACAGGCAAGGGTCCGGAAACGGTCATATTTGCCAGTCATGTCCTAAGATGAAACTATTTGTCCGAAACGAGTAATTGGGATTTAGGACAAATTTTATTTTTTTACAGAAGTAATTTCGGTCATTTCATTGACTCAATGTTTGAAATCGGATTTCTTAATCGCCATTTTGCACTTGTGATCACTTGTTTTTGTTTATAATCCCTTTCCTGTAATAAAACTGCCACTACAGTAGTTTGATAATCCTGAGGGCCCTCCTAATATCTATATCAATGCCTCCGGGAAACATTGGCTAATGATCGCTAATCACTTTTTACCTGTGGTTTTAATTCACACCTGACAGTGATCACAAGCTCAGAATAATATCTTTAAAACATTAGTTCCCTGACAAGTGTTATCATTATTTATTTACTTTTCATCAAAGACAGTCATCAATTCTGATTTAAAAATAAAATCTAAATTTACGTAGAAAAAAGTATTTTTTCATGAGTAACACATGTGCTTTATTTACTATGTAATACGCATGCGTGAAATTGTCTTCAACAAATTTAATATTTAAATCGTAAAATGCAAATTGATTTCATGCTAAATTAAACGAGTGCAACTATTATCTGTTATATTCAAACACTTTTAAAGGTAATAAAATAAAAAAGCCATAAAAAGCCGGTGATTTCCTGTCAATTTGATAAACAAAACAAATCCGGAAATGAATCCGGAATTATTCGTACTTTAAAATATCGCAAACTTCCGGTTTTAACTTTTGTCAAATCGAAAGAAACGTAAGCAATGTCTGAGAAATTAACCATTTTGAGTCATTAAAATCATTTCAATTTTAGACTGTTGCCTTCCCTAAACTGTCCTTCATGCGATGAAACAGCAATACAAGTTCGTCATGTTCGTTGATGCTATGAATATAGTCAAGTTGATATCGACAACTTTTCAAACATCTCAAAATGACCGAAATTGTCTGGAAAAATTTCCGGATCCTTGATTACAGGTCATGATAAGATATGTCCATTCTGTACAATGGTTAAAACTGATAATACCTGATATAAAGTAAAAAAGAAATATTTTAAGTTTGAATCACTAATTTTCCTTTCATTAATTTGCTATTTTTTTTTCATAGAAAAGTTTTTTTTCTCTTATTCTTAGTTGATTTATACCTTTCCTGACTTGCTGATTATTTTTATTTAATCAATGTATGGCTTGTTTGATCTGTTCTTATTGGTCAAAACTAAATTATGACATCAAATTTTTTTGCTTTCCTCTGAATTTCTGTAGTGCAAAACAGTCTGGTAAATATATATAGATTGTACCACTACATCGAGTGTGATACGATATTTCTCAACTGGAGACCGTTAGATTTTAACTATCTAAAATGCTCAGCGACCTCACGATTTAAATTTGAAAATCTAACTGTCTCAAGTAGAGAAATATTGTATCATACTCAATGCAGCGGTAGAATCTATATTTATTTACCAGACTGTTTTGCACAATATTTTATAATACACTGATGATTTTTTTCTATAAATAGTTCACAAAAAATTCTGTTTTGGTCATTAGTTTTGCTGTCATGTATTGAAGTTATAATGCTGTATGCAATTACTTATATTCTACTTTATTTCATATGCAACTTTTAATGACCAAGTTACTGTCCATCTTTAGGTTATACATACCTTTTAACAACTGGGTTACTGTCAGACATAGTGTCATCAAGAGACAGATTGGGTACCCTTACATTACTGTCCATCTTTAGGTTATACATACCTTTTAACAACTGGGTTACTGTCAGACTTAGTGTCATCAAGAGACAGATTGGGTACCCTTACATTACTGTCCATCTTTAGGTTATACATACCTTTTAACAACGTGTTTACTGTCAGACTTAGTGTTATCTAGAGACAAATTTGGTACCCTTACATTACTGTCCATCTTTAGGTTATACATACCTTTTAACAACTGGATTACTGTCAGACTTAGTGTCATCTAGAGACAGAGAATGTAGTGTAATATTAACATCCATTGCTATGTCATCTTCAGGGAAAGTGTTAACTCGGATGTTTAATTCTCCTATCTTACATAAACTTAGTCTATTCCTGTGGTAAATCTGAAACACAGATTAAAGTGTCCAATGCCAATATTGTTTTTGATAAGCTTTTAATATCTTTTTGAAAGCATTGTTCATAAACAGTAATTTTTATTTAAGTTACAGATTTGTAAGTAAATATGAAAAAAGGAGATTGTGACAACAAATTCTCAAAATGGCAACAAAATAAAGATCTGACAAATGCAAACATGATAATTTGTTTTTTATGTTACTGGTAAATCCATGTTCTCTCCATTATTCTATAAATCATTTTTAGAATAGAACTCTTGTGATTATAACAGAGATTATGAATTTATAAACAGCAAATATTTTTTCAAAATGAACAGGAATGCATGCATTAACGTGCTAAGCATACCTCCACTCATAATTTCAAGTATAAAAAGAAACAGGAAGTAGGTATCCGACAGATCTGAAAAGTTCTCGCTGTCTTGCAAATTACAACTCATTACTGTCAAGCTGCTTATCAAATTTGAAGATATTCTTTTCAGTAGAACCCTGAGAAAAGCGTGAATGAAATATTTGTTGAGTGGACGGACAGCAGGACAAATTGACTGACTGAAGGATGGACAAGGTGAATGCAATGTAGCCCCCACTCCTTTAGCAGGTATATAAAATTGCTACATAACTGTTATCAGTATATCAACTAATGACAACAATTCCTGTAAATCATACCTCGAGTGGAGAGGCTTCAATATCAGTCTTTTCATCAAATAAACACAATGTTAGACCTTGTAGTGTAACTAAAGCATTGTAAGCCGTCTCTGTGTCTGTGGTGGGTGAGTCAACAACATCTACTCTGGCTAATGGACTGGAACCTACATCTGTAAAAAGATTTTTTTAATTACATTTCCAAAATATTGGCCCGAGAACACAGTTATTTCTTAGAGCATATCTTTAAGACAAAAATCGCAAATTAAAAAAATCACACCTGCTCTATCCAAAAAAGATTTTTACAGTGTAGTGTACTACTATTGGGACAAACTATAGAAAAATCTATCAGCTCTAACTCAAAATATGCATACATACTAATTTTTGACGTTTTCAAACTGGACTAAATCATTGCTATATCTAATCAAAGCGCGAAAGCGCTGTAAAGGCAGTTAATTACAGGTTGTGTGTATTTTTAGTCCAGTTATATCATTATCTTGCATAGTAGTGTACTTATCAGAGGTGGCTTTCAGTATTTAAGATTTAGAGTTCTCTAATGATATTGAACAAGTTATATGAATGTCATATTCTGAGCACTATATGAAGGTGATTGTTCTCACTTGTTTATGAACTAGTGCATTATGTCCAGTTTGTACCTTTTTTATCTATGTTTATAGTCAAATTAGTTATCAAAGGTACCAGGATTATAATTTAATACGCCAGACGCGCGTTTCGTCTACATAAGACTCATCAGTGACGCTCAGATCAAAATGGTTATAAAGCCAAACAAGTACAAAGTTGAAGAGCATTGAGGACCCAAAATTCCAAAAAGTTGTGCCAAATACGGCTAAGGTAATCTATTCCTTGGATAAGAAAATCCTTAGTTTTTCGAAAAATTCAAAGTTTTGTAACAGGAAGTTTATAAAAATGACCATATAATTGATATTCAAATACTGTTTAAAATAGTTAGGCATTTTCTTTTTAGTAATAAGTAAATGTTATCAACTGTATTTTATTCAACTCTGCAAATGTGGTTTGTTACTGTTAAGTATGGATGTTTCATTGGCAATCATAACACATCTCCTTATTTATATAATGATCTATATTCAATGACCTCAGGTACAAAAAAAATGTATGTAACTTAACTATGATGGGAAACCTTTGACTTCTTTCTTTTATATAAACTTTTGATTTGGTACCATAGAACTATGTAGAATAAATGTACATTGCAACATGTCAACTCTTTCAATGACAATACTTTTTTAAGAAACTATAACTCCAAGCAAAATTATATTTCCAAGTTTAAAGTAATTTATGAATGAAAAAAGGAGTTCTTAATTAAGAAATAAACTGATTCGCTGAGCGCAGCTGGATACACCTGCAGAGGTCCAACCCTGAACAGTTGGGGCAAAAATGGACACAATATTCAAGCTTGATACAGGTCTGAATTTGGATTGTAATTAAATATTTGACATATTATAGTTTCTGAATAAATGTAGTCAAAGAACTTGAAATCGGTTATATGAATCGAATTTATATTCAATTAAAGATTTCTTGCTGTTGTGCAATACACTGTGCTGTTGCGCAATACTTAATAAATCTGTTGCCAGACTATAAACAAATAAAGTTCAATTTCTTCTCAATGTCATATTTGAAATTTATGAAAATCTATAGGGAGATTACATCAATAGCTATAAATAATTCACCAAAGTTTCATGCGAACTGCTTAAAGCATTTTTGAGTTGTTGTCCAACAAGAGTGCACACGCTGAAATGTCTCGCTTTCTTTACTAATCACTGATATTATATTGATAGTCCTTGATATAAAGCTTTATTACAACTGTCACATAAACATTAACCAAGAAAACCAAATATTGACCAATGAACCATGAAAATGAGGTCAAGTTCAGATGAACCATGCCAGGCAGACATGTACAGCTAACAATTCTTCCATACAACAAATATAGTTGACCTATTGCTTATAGTTTAAGAAAAACAGACCAAAACACAAAAACTTAACACTGAGCAATGAACTGTGAAAATGAGGTCAAGGTCAAATAAAACCTGCGCGACTGACATATAGATCATAAAATATTTCCATACACCAAATATAGTCGACCTATTGCATATAGTATTAGAAAAAAAGACCAAAACTCAAAATCTTAACTTTGACCACTGAACCATGAAAATGAGGTCAAGGTCAAATGAGACCTGCCAGCTAGACATGTACACCTTACAATCATTCCATACACCAAATATAGTAGACCTATTGCATACAGTATAAGAAAACAGACCAAAACACAAAAACTTAACTATAACCACTGAACCATGAAAATGAGGTCAAGGTCAGATGACACCTGCCAGTTGGACATGTACGCCTTACAGTCCTTCCATACACCGAATATACTTGACCTATTGCTTATAGTATCTGAGATATGGACTTGACCACCAAAACTTAAAGTTGCAGGCTCGACAAAAACAGGAAAATCCCCCCTTTTTTAATGAATAAAACCCCATAACTCAGAAATGTAAAATCTAAAATTTATAAAATTCTAAAGGGAGCTTACGGATTGATAATTTAGTCTTAGATGCAAGATTTTTTTATCAGTTGTTAGTGGCTTTGAACTAGCTGTCAGTAACTTTGAGTACTCTCAGATCTGTACTTAGTGTCTTTTTGTTGTTTGGATGTACAACTACCCAACCACGTCCACTTGTATTTGTATTTATCCATCTGATGAGTTAAGCCTCTTTCAACTGATTTTTATAGTTCGTTCTTATATTGTACTGTTACACCACTGTCCCAGGTTAGGGGGAGGGTTGGGATCCCGCTAACATGTTTAACCCCGACACATTCTGTATGTACATGTATGTGGCGTGCCTGTCCCAAGTCAGGAGCCTGTAATTCAGTGGTTGTTGTTTGTTTATGTGTTGCATATTTGTTATATTCGTTCATTTTTTGTACATAAATTAGGCCGTTAGTTTTCTTGTTTAAATTGTTTTACATTGTCATTTCGGGGCCTTTTATAGCTGACTATGCGGTATGGGCTTTGTTCATTGTTGAAGGCCGTACTGTGACCTATAGCTGTTAATTTCTGTGTCATTTGGTCTCTTGTGGAGAGTTGTCTCATTGGCAATCATACCACATCTACTTTTTTATATTTACATCAACAGATATAAACAATTCACCAAAGTCAAGGTGAAACAACAAAACTTAGTGGTAAGATCTCTGAAATGTTTTACATGGTACAAGTTTTTCTCATTGTAGGAGATTGTACGGTGACAGTAACACCTGTAACTGCTTATACCCATTTCTTATGCACTTTAGTTCGATAAACTCACTGAATATCATACCACATCTCCTTATTTTTATATGCATTACAATTTACATGTGCATGTAATTATAAATATATATATATCAGAACAAAATTCATTGCGTCACTTTTATTTATGCATCCTTTGGCACAATACAAGTTCTAAAATTACACAACATAGTACAACTAAATGTTATTTCAGATGAAAGTTTTGTTTCAGTTCCATTCATAGGATTTATTAGAATTTTGTATGTTTTGCCAAGTCCAATAATTCGCTCTATGTGCACATGTTAATTGGAGACTTTTCTATCCCGTATAAGAGTATTGGAACTAATTCTGTTTCTTTTTTTGAAAAAAGTTAGCAAACAAATCTTGCACATTTAAACCTTTGTCTGCCATCACACTGTCACCTGGATCACATAATTGAACTATTCTACATCTTTCAACTATTTCATAGTCACTGGTAGAACCAACATATGCATTAGAGACATAGTTGACTAAACCACCAGGTGTCGAACATACAAATATTTTCAGTGTTTCTGTTTTTATATGATGAAAAGGTTGCCTGAGCTCTAGGAGCTTTAGGTTTTATCACGGGATATTCTGTGTTGTCAATAATAATCCAAGTCGTAGGAAACTTTATAATTAATTTGAAGTTGGATGGTGAAAAATACCTGACTAAACCACTAGATGGCCAAGTGTTAGCCTCACACCACTGTTTAGACATAAAAACAATCCATGTATACACAATATTCTTAACACTAGATTCAATCTAGAATCTAGAAAGTTCAAAGTTGGTTGTATAATGCCTCAATTTCATCAAAGTCATAAAAAACTGATTTTCAACTGACACCCTATCAATTTGAAAATATATGTATCTCAAACAATGTGCTGCTGGACCAAGTGTGGTCAAAACAAATAAAAATTTAGTATACAACCCTTAACCAGTATAAAAATGCATGGCTGTGTCACATGTCTTCATTTCAAAATTCTCTGCTGAAAACATAGGCATTGATGGTGTTTGCATAATTCCATCTGTGAAGCTCAACATTAGCTCGACAGTTGGTGGTGGACAGTCATAAATCCTTTCTGCAATATGAATGACTTCATCAGGAAAACCAACTTTACAATCAAAACTTTCCTCTAGATTTCTACTACAATATTCATCAAGTTTGGTTCTTATGTTTTCACAGGAAACTGCCCTGATTTTTCTTTTTGCGGATGATTCAGTCTCTTGCTTGGTCCAGGAAAATAGGCTGGGAATGTCAGTAGACTTAAGTCTCTGAATGGTGGGTTTGCGCCCTGAAAAAGGTTATAAAACATTAGTTTTTTGATAATTAAATGAACTTCCATTAGCAATGTATACTTTGTATTACCTGGCGAAATATTAACTAGATTTATTCATTACAATCTGGATAAAACTATGTTTGCCTGATTCAATGTATGTTATGTAAATCCAAAGGACAAACAATGAGAGACTTATGCAACAAACGTACATTGTTTGTACCTAAATAACTATAATATAGATGAGAGCATGTCATTGTTTTGTTCCTGTTAACATTGTCATTGATATTTTTCAAGAAAGTCTATGAGGCATAGCTTATGCATTCCTGTCATTACTACATTAGCATAATTACTGCTAAAATAATTCTCAGTATGATATACCTCTTGTAAGAAATCATTATAATTGTAGCAATCACCAAAAAATCTCAAACAGATCACATTGAATCGTAATCCAAAAAATTATGACGTCTTGAATTAACCACCCCCTTTTATTCTAAAACGATAATTGCGGTTGTAAACAGACTTTGGTTTATTCGCATGGCGATTACATATATAACTATATATTTCAAAAAGAAAATAGAGTTTTACCATGAATAGTTTCCTGCACGTAGTCTTTTCAGTAAAATGTGCCTTGCAAACAACAGCTGATTGAGATGGACTCCACGATTTCATCGTGTTCTCGTCCAATCTGCGTATGGGCCATGGCGTTGATCCAACTTTTCCTTCTTTTTAAGTCATTTGGAAATGCACGTCCTCCTCTTAAATGACATCCAGGTACACAACAACAACAAGTACTTGGCATCGTTAATTAAAAATGTAACTGAAATAGTTGCACAGTGCAGAAACCGGAAATTGAGGAACAGGATCGGCTACCACGGCGCCACCTATTCAGGAACGATAATTTGCTACTTTATATAACTGCGAAATAACAATAACGTTAGACGGGTTCACGTGCATAAACAGAAATGCGCTTTAAATTGTATAATATAATTCATGTTCAGTCGATCAACGACTGAAATGATTTATAAACATATAGATTGCAGATAACACTCGAAATTAACCCGAGCTCTTTCCACACGGAATTCAAATAATTCTAGTTTGTCAATCGGTTGACTGCTTATAATGCAAAATACAAATATATTTAAAGTTTTTAAAACTAACAAAACACAATGATCGTTTCTCTATTTCCCAATGTAAATGAAATGAAACAAAAAACATTTTATATCACAATAAGAAGAGGAGAGAATTCAACATTTCCGGATCTACTTGGAGCCTAACGACCCCCCACGTAGATAAGATGGATATCGCGGAAGGAAGGATTAACCTGTCAACTAGAAAGGCATTAAAGCACTGCCTTTAAAAATTCAAGCTCCAATTTTTTTTACCATGTAATTTCACCCCCTACTTACTATTTTAAGCATAAAATATAAAGAAATGAATTTGGAAGGTGTGTGAAAAAAATTTGCAAGTTATACACTGCCCACACTAGGGACTCTATTTGTAAGCAACAGAAATCAAAGGACAATAACTGTGTCCCCGGACCTACTTTATTACATTCCAATATATTTCTTACAACAGAACACTTGTCAATACATATCTTTTTCTTGCATTCATAACATTTTTAAACCTGCAAAACTAACTAAGATTGAACACAGACTTACCTTGAACAGACTGTGGAGCACCTTCCTTTAAATTTTTCCTGAGTACATCAAACATCAACTTGATATCTGATTGTTGAACATTGATCTATAAAAGACAATGTAGATACATGGTTAATATTGTTTGTATAAATATGTCAAAACTATATTTGAGGGAAGGTCATGAAGTAACTTTAAAGGATAAATTTTGGTAACTGAGTTTTTTTCAAGGCAGCAAATGTCTGAAAGTCAAGGAAAAGGGAACTGCCTTTTCTACATTAGTTTTCTTTTTCATTAAATATAAAGCATATTGAATTTTAGAAAAAGTCAATAAAATTTCCTTGAATAACACAACAAGCTTATTTAATGTCTAAAGTCCCAGTCCCTGTGCCGTTTCTTACAAGCCCTATCCCCTACAATAAGCTTCATTCTACCTCTTATCCTAACTTCCCCCAACTCTTAACCTTTTTCTAACCAAAACCTTTCCCTAACATATTTACCTGAACCAAAGTAAGGGGTACTATGTTCTAAGACTCCCTAAAGTAAAAGAATGACAACCTGTGTTACCTTAATGAGAGCTACATCTCCAGATATGTTATACATCAGCCTTGATCTAAATGGTGCAAGGGCCAATCCAAAAGTTGCTTCAAAGTTCACAGGTTCAACAATATGATACAACATGTGGAATTCATTCTCCTTTAATCTGCCACTATAAAATAAAGAGATAAAGGTTCATCTCTGAACAAAACAAGATTTTTCATCCTACAGCTAAAAACTAAAAAAAAGGTATTGATAATATCAACATCATGACACAACATATAAAATTCATATAAGAAATTAGAAATCACTCCTAATAAATTATTTTCAGGACTGAAATCACATTTTTAATACAGTTGGCTTCGTGGAACAAATTAATAGGCTTAAATATGACTGAATTTAAAACTCATCATGGAACATGAAACAGCTGTTTCATATCAATATCTAGACTTTTTAGAAATTAGCAAAATCAGTTTTTTTGGGGAACCTATAGACAATTTAAAAAAAAAATATTATTATCGAGCACTTTCAGCAAATATAAAGATATCAAGTTACTGTTCTGTTTTTCATGAGGTTTAAAAAATCTTTGTAAAAAATTGGTCTATCTTATATATATATATCTCCCTGGGTCTACCCCTTTAAATGCTTAACTACCAAATGTAATTATCTCCCCTGGGGTATCCCTACAAATGCTTTACTACCAAATGTAATTATCTCCCCTGGGGTATCCCTACAAATACTTTACTACCAAATGTAATTATCTCCCTTGGGGTATCCCTACAAATACTTTACTACCAAATGTAATTATCTCCCCTGGGGTACAAATACTTTACTACCAAATGTAATTATCTCCCCTGGGGTATCCCTACAAATGCCAAGTTAGAAGCTTAAATAAACCATATTGTTCTACCTTATGCTGACTGATTAGAAAGGAACTATCCTTAATATGACAGATCTCATGACCATTCTATTCAAACAAGCATTTTCATGCACAAAGACAAAAAGGACTGGTTCAAATTCAGAAACATAATATCGCTATACCCTGAAGTTTAAATGAACAATTTTTAAGAAATGTTCAATATATATAAAAATAAGGAGATCTGGTATAAATGCCAATGAGACAACTTTATACCAGAGGTCAAATGAAGTGGATGTAAGCAATTATAGGTCACCGTACGGCCTTCAACAATGAGAAAAACATTTAAAAAGGCATATTAGGAAGCTGCGGTCAATAAACAATACTGCTGCAAGTTTATTCTTTTAAATTCATCAAAGCAAACTGGAAATATAACAGGATAACAAAGGGTATTCCTTCACACTTCAAGCTGCATAGTTAGTTAGATATCAACGGTGGTTATGTAGTAAACATGGATTCAAACTATTATGATAGGGAGGTATCAACTGTGGTCTTACCTCACTTCTGACATTATCCTCTTTCCACTAAAATATTAGTACTTGTTTCAATCTAATTCTTTTGTAATGTGACAAGTACAAAGACTCACTGTTAATTCAGAAATTTTTATGTGCATTTATTTTTGAGATTGTATAACAATGGAGAGAAATGAAAGATTAATTATTAGGATTTCAGGAAATACTGCATATAAATGTTTTCAAAAGTTTTTATTTTTGTGAAACCAATCACATTGCAATTTTCCCCCAAGATTAACGCATTGTTAAAGTTTCTGAATTTCCAGTATAGTGCCCCCTAGTTCTTTTTTTAAAAGAAGTGATTCATAGCAGTGTAATTTTTGTATTGAAATTTCATCAAAAAAATGCTTTCAATTTTTTCCAAACAATTGTCTTTCTGAAAAAAACATCATTCTTCAAATTTTTTTTACTACAGTTTGAAAGAAAATTGATGCTGAGCCAACAACACCATCTGAATGACGTTATCAGAAGAATCTTAAATTAATTCCAATTATACTTTTGATCATTTTTTAATTCTGGTTTACCTGTAATAAGCTGGCTTCGTAACTCATGAATTTTTTTACTGCTAAAAACAATTAAACAAAACAAACAAAAAATAAACAGAAGAAGAAACTGTAAAATGGAATACAAATACATCCTGTTGACAAAAGTAAACTAATACAGTATTGTTACCTCTGACTGGACCTATGAAGATATTTCAAATTTCTCTATAATCACCATGAAGAAATATAAAAAAAAAACCTGGTATTTCTGATTAAGGTTATGCAGGCTTCCGTCAAAATTGAGTATGGTATAAAAATGACAAAAACCTTAACTTCCACATTTCAGCAAAACATGATTGTAATTATAGAGATCAATATATGGAGTATTAAATTCTCTAGTATTATAGAGATCAATATATAGAGTATTAAATTCTCTAGTATTATAGAGATCAATATATAGAGTATTGAATTCTCTAGTATTATAGAGATCAATATATAGAGTATTAAATTCTCTAGTATTATAGAGATCAATATATAGAGTATTGAATTCTCTAGTATTATAGAGATCAATATATAGAGTATTAAATTCTCTAGTATTATAGAGATCAATATATAGAGTATTGAATTCTCTAGTATTATAGAGATCAATATATAGAGTATTAAATTCTCTAGTATTATAGAGATCAATATATATAGTATTAAATTCTCTAGTATTATAGAGATAGTTTACTATTTCATACATACCGTCTAACTTCCATTTCTTTCAGGTGAGCTATAAAATAATTCCAATCTTGCTCTTGGCCATTAGACAACACCTCTTTTTTAAATGAATTGTCAATTTCAAACATTCTGAATTGAAACATGAAAATGTCTGGAGATTTGGAATGTTTAGGTATCACAATGGTAGGCCTATGCATAGAAACTCTAACTGCTATCCTCATGGCTGATGGGTGAATTTCTGTCACCTGTAAAATGCAGAAAATATCTGTACGTCGTTTTATGAAATGACAACAAAAACACACTTTTATTTGAATTCTCTGGGGCGATGGTTGCATGCAAACGAGGTGCATGAAGAGCTTAAATGGCCCTAAATTTTTTAAGTTTTTTTAATCAGGCAAAAATACTTAAAATTTCACATAGAAATAGTTGTGATATTACTATCATTACAATCCCTTATTTATGCAGTTTGTGTTGTAATGCCGGTATTGGTCCATATTTCAGAATTTACTTTTGCCACTCCTCCTTTTGACTACATTTTGGATCATAGGTTGCGGCTAAGACTTTCCTCTAGCTTTTTAAAATGCATAAAATCATCATATTTGAGCAATATATCCAAAATGTGCTGCTTTTGGAGCTTGAAATGAACTCTTATAAAGAAATTTATTTTACCTAGCGTTTAGTCTTTTGAAATAAATCCATTTAAAAACCAAATTATGGACTGTTTTTGAAATTTTAAGACAAAGTTAAAATTCAGGGCAATATTTGGCCAAAAGTGAACCTTGTCCTTTTAATAATGTCAGAGACACACAGACCAGTAGAATCCAGAGAAGAATGTGTTAAACTCTTTCTTTTATCAGCATTTACTGATATTAAATCCAAATAACCATGTCATATTAGTCCTCTCTATATGTCTACTTTAGATTACCTGTTTTGAGACCATGTCCCTATAGGCATGGGCAGCTTCAACAATCTCAGGAGTCTTAAATGGATCAAAGAAACCCTGAAAGGATATCATATAAAACTAAAGTAAACATTTTGTATTAAAGCTTTTTGGTAGACATACTTATGGCAAATTTTCTTTAAATACTACAATAAGCGTAATATTCCATTACTGATTTAGTAAGTCTACCTATTCTAATTTCCTAATAGAATTTGCTGACTTCAAGGTTTTCAATTGAAGATGTCTAATTCTCAACCTGACTCTGAAGTCAACCTACTGTAATTTTTCAGAAGAACTGGCCAATTTATACCAATCCTAAACACACTGAAGTCTACCTATCATAATTTCCCAGAAGAACTTGCTGACATAAGCCAATCCTCAACACATTGAAGTCTACCTACCGTAATTTCCCAGAAGAACTTGCTGACATAAGTCAATCCTCAACACACTGAAGTCTACCTACCGTAATTTCCCAGAAGAACTTGCTGACATAAGTCAATCCTCAACACCCTGAAGTCTACCTATCGTAATTTCCCAGAAGAACTTGCTGACATAAGCCAATCCTCAACACACTGAAGTCTACCTACCGTAATTTCCCAGAAGAACTTGCTGACATAAGCCAATCCTCAACACCCTGAAGTCTACCTATCGTAATTTCCCAGAAGAACTTGCTGACATAAGCCAATCCTCAACACACTGAAGTCTACCTACCGTAATTTCCCAGAAGAACTTGCTGACATAAGCCAATCCTCAACACACTGAAGTCTACCTACCGTAATTTCCCAGAAGAACTTGCTGACATAAGCCAATCATCAACACAATGAAGTCTACCTACCGTAATTTCCCAGAAGAATTTACTGATATAAGCCAGTTGTAGATGTCCAATTCTCAGTCTGACTCTGTAGTCTAATTTTTCACCTATATTATCGTCTTTTTTCACAATTTTGTCTTTATGACTAAACTTTTCAACCTGTAATGTAGAAAACAATGCTTTTATTACATTAACTATTTTTAAATAACAATATTGAGCAAGCTGCATAATTTTTTCCTTTGGATCTTTTATATACAAATCAGATGTGATGTGAATGCAAATGAGACAACTATCAATTCAGACCCAAGGACAAAGATATTACCATTTTAAATTACAGCTCACTGTACAACCTTCAACAATGAGCAAAAACCAATACTGTATAGTAAGATACAATTGCCCCAGTTTGACAAAATGTTAAAAAATATTTTTTTACAGCTGAAAGATTGTTATTAGAAGTTTTCAAAGTTTTCATCCAAACTAACCACAATTAAGATTGTTCCCTTGGTACATTGTGATATGTTCTCCTTATTTTTATCATAACTTCTCCTTAGAGACATCAATAAGCTTAATGATTGATGACATAGAAGAATAGGTTGCAACATAAATCTTTAATCTCTTATTATTTTCCTCTTCCTGCCTAGTAATATTACCTTAAGGTCAAAGAATGGGTCATCTTCTTTCTCTATTATCAAAATCTAAAATAAACAGAAAAATATCATATAAGCTTGCAAATTGTTGGAGTCCTTAGTCTTGCATCAACATCATATTTTAGTATTGTTAAGTTTTATTCAAAGTCTTTTTATAATTCATATATTCAATCAATTCCATTTTATCAATCATTAATATACACTCTGTAAGAAAGCATAATTGGTCAAATCATTTATGGTGACAAAACAACTGTTTTAATTCCATTACAGAGAAAAAGTACATTTCTAAGAATCTTGGACACATGGTAGTTTGATACAGAGAAAATTTGATCAGATCTTTAATATAAATGCTAGTTTAATTTACATACACTAAAACAGAGTGTACATTTGGTCTAATCTAAAATGGACTTCTTGATATAATTTTTTATACATTTGGATAGTGTATGATATAATTTTACATACATTTGAATAGAGTGTAATCAGTGTATGGCATAATTTTATGAGCATTTGGATAGAGTGTATGCTATAATCATACACACATTTGGATAGAGTGTATGCTATAATCATAAAATTGAGAATGGAAATGGGGAATGTGTCAAAGAGACAACAACCCGACCACAGAACAGACAACAGCAGAAGGCCACCAACAGGTCTTCAATGCAGCGAGAAATTCCCGCACCCGGAGGCGTCCTTCAGCTGGCCCCTAAACAAATATATATACTAGTTCAGTGATAATGAACGCCATACTAAACTCCAAATTGTACACAAGAAACTAATTTAAAAATAATACAAGACTAACAAAGGCTAGAGGCTCCTGACTTGGGACAGGCGCAAAAATGCGGCGGGGTTAAACATGTTTATGAGATCTCAACCCTCCCCCTATACCTCTAGCCAATGTAGAAAAGTAAACGCATAACAATACGCACATTAAAATTCAGTTCAAGAGAAGTCCGAGTCTGATGTCAGAAGATGTAACCAAAGAAAATAAACAAAATGACAATAATACATAAATTACAACAGACTACTAGCAGTTAACTGACATGCCAGCTCCAGACTTCAATTAAACTGATTGAAAGATTATGTCTTCATCATATGAATATCAGGCACAATCCTTCCCGTTAGGGGTTTAGTATCATACACATATTTGGATAGAGTGTATGCTATAATCATACACACAATTGGATAAAGCGTATGATATAATTTTACGTACATTTGGATAAATGGACTTCTTGATATAATTTTACATACATTTGGATAGAGTGTATACTTGGTCAGATCTTTAATGGACATCTCCTTCAGTCTACAGTTAAATACAATCTTCCTATGTTTCATGATCAGCTGACTTTCAAATCCTGTAACAGAATATATATATAGTACAGTAAGCATCAAGAAATAATAGAAAGAGACTAAATTATTACCAGGAACCATTAAATGCAACATATATATTCACATATAAGCCAATACGATATTTATAAGTATATGTTTTCTCATTACTTTTACTCTTTAAGAACATTGCATTAAAACTCTTCACTAATTTGACTTTTAAATAAATTCAGCTAATAATTATATGCTTAAATACTGTTAACCAGCTTATATCTGGCTTAGGCATTTTCAGCTGACTTCACAGCGATTTATTTTTCACAGTTTTCTTATTTTCTTGTTTTACTTAAATAAGTGAAGCTCCAAGTTGTACATATTCGAGACAATTTTTATTCTGGTAATTTCTATCCTTGAGAAAATAAATTCATGAAAATTAGATAATTTACAGTATATCACATTGATTCCTGTAACAGATATAAAAAAAAAATTGGAGCTAAAGGTAATGATACTCTATTAGTTTCTCAAACTCTTTCACACTAAGCTGGAAATAGCCATAATGCATATGTGAAATGGTTTACACAATAATAATATCAAACTCCAAACCATTTCTTAAATTAGATGATTAGTAGATGAAAGTGATGGACACCTACTGTTTGTATAGACAGACAAGGAAGTTTCAGAAATCCGCCTACTCCATAAGTAAGGTTATTACAAAACACCAATCTCGAATTGTTTTTATGAATGAGTTATATGGGTTGATCTGAGGATTCTCCATATAAATGACCTAACTGAACAATCCGTTCTTACTGTGATGTAATAACATAAGCGTTGTGACATAGGAAATGCATAGTAATATGCACAAATATGAAAGTCGTCTATATAAAACTTCCGACCTTTGAATTCCATCTGAGAGAAATGTTTATCTATATTATACAGCTGTGGAATGAAATATGGGTGTAAATATCGCTTTACCTTTGAAATCCATCTGAGAGAAATGTTTGTCTATATTACACAGCTGTGGAATGACATATCCTTGTGTAAATATCGCTTTACCTTTGAATTCCATCTGAGAATAAACTGCTTCGCTGAGCGCAGCTAGATACGCCCGCAGAGGTCCAACCCTGAACAGTTGGGGCAAAAATGGACACAATATTCAAGCTTGATTCATGTCTGAATTTGGATTGTAATTAAATATTTGAAATCTTATTGGTTTCTGAATAAATGTAGTCAAAGAACTTGAAATTGGTTATATGAATTGATGAATTTATATTCAATTAAAGATTTCTAGCTGTTGTGCAATACTTAGTAAATCTGTTGTCAGACTATAAACAAATAAAGTTCAATTAATTCTCAATCAATGTCATATTAGAAATTTATGAAAATAAAAAGGGAGCTTACATCAATAGATATAAACAATTCACCAAAGTTTCATGAGAATTGGTGACAGCCTTTTTGAGTTATTGTCCGAAAACTGGAAAATCACGCCTTTTTTTAATGAATAAAACCCCATAACTCAGAAATGTAAAAAGTAAAAGTTATGAAATTTTAAATGGAGCTTACATCAATACATACAAACAATTCACCAAAGTGTCATAAGAATTGCTGAAAGCATTTTTGAGTTTTTGTCCAAAAACTGGAAAATCCCCCCTCTTTTTATGAATAAAACCCTGTAACTCGGAAAAGTAAAATCTAAAATTTATAAAAATCGAAAGGGAGCTCATGTCAATAAATATAAACAATTCACCACAATTTCTTGCAAGTTGGTGAAAGCATTCTTGACTTATTGTCCGAAAACTGGAAAATCCCCCTTTTTTTAATGAATAAAACCCAATAACTCGGAAACGTAAAATCTTAATTTTATAAAAAACAAAAGGGAGCTCACATCAATAGATATAAACAATTCACCAAAGTTTTATGCAAATTGGTTGAAGCATTTTTGAGTTAATGTCCGACATGTTGACGACGGACAGACGGACGGACAGACGGACAAAGGTATACCATAATACGTCCCGTAAACGGGCGTATAAAAATGTTTGCCTATATTATACAGCTATGGGATGACATATTTGTGTGTAAATATCGCTTTACCTTTGAATTCCATCTGAGAAAAATGTTTGCCTATATTATACAGCTGTGGGATGACATATTTGTGTGTAAATATCGCTTTACCTTTGAATTCCATCTGAGAGAAATGTTTGTCTATATTACACAGCTGTAAACTGACATCTTTGATACATGTGACGAGGTGTAATTTAATGGTGGGTTTGTCACTAGAGTCCACTGAAAAACAGTAAAACACAATCAAAACCTCACATAGAGAAATAGCAGATCAAGATATTCAAATAGATTCTTTGTTAGAATTAAATAAACTCATTACTTTATGTAAATGTAACATTTTACAAGATTGAAACACTATCAAGTTTAATAGCATTGTATAAATAGTATTTGTGCTGTAGGATGGCTGTGTCCACAACTTTTATTCTTATCACCTCTCACAATAAATGCTTCCATTATTTAATAATTTTCATTTCAATGAGTTGCTTCAAAAGTGATTATCAAACAACAGAATTTAAATTAGTAAAAACAACTTTATTCTGACAAAATCAGGACACTCAAGCTCTATTTAATAATGTGAGGAAAAAAGAAAATTTTGTCTCCTTATGGTGTTATGGAATACATTTTTGTCAAGAAATGTCTTGTAGTTTCTGATAAGAAATGATGGATTCTACGTGCCTTGCACTCCAGCAAAAATAAAGGGGAGAAAATCATGAGCATACATATTCTTCTCTTATGAAAAAACACAATATAATCAGTCAATAAATCATGTGATTTAACAACTAATAAATAGCATTCATACCTTCATCTGCCATTCCTTTAAGCATACCCGTAACTTGGTTTGTGTAGTTAGACAATCTACTCTCTTGTCGATGTAGAGTTGGAGGAGCAGGACGATTTACATCAAGTATCCTCAGATTTGGACCACTGTTCACTTTTTCTTCAAGTTTTGCAAATCTGTTGAACACAGGATGACAAATAAAAACATGTAAGTAGCATAAATATCTTCCCAAGAAACTTGTATGAAATTGTGGTAGACGAAAAAAAGACAATCCTAACAGATGATCATGGTAGCATGCTTGCCTCTAGTGCGGGAGGTCTTGGTATCAATCTCTGTCAGGATCAAACCAAATACTTTAAAATTGCTTCTCTGCCAAGCACGTAATTCTAAGGAGTAAGAGCAAACACTGGTCTGCTTGGAGCCAGAACAATGTCTCATAATATTTTTTTACAGCACCATTACGTCAATAAACGGCATTTTATTGGACTAAACCATTGTTAAAAAAAATACTAAACATCTCTGAAATTGAGAGTAATAAAATATATCTGTGTACCTTTCTTGCATGCTGTCAGCAAATTTCTTGAGTGAACCCATGACGGTCTGATCAAATATAACTGACACATTATGGCATGTGAAGCTTGCTGCATTCTCTATGTAATTGTAAACTTTTCCAAAATCAGGGCACTTTGGTAACACCTACAAAATATATAATCAGCAAATAAATATAACAAATGCAATTTTTAAAAGTAAACACAGCATTCAATGATATTGTGTTTGATTAAAAAGAGGTATAGGGTAAACGTCAATGAGACAGCAACCAAATGACAAAAATACATAAAAGTTACTGGGTAAGTATTTAACAATAGACATTTATTTATACTAAACTTTCAAATAAACTGCTGACACAGAGATAAGGCTATATGTAATTTTGATGTAAATTTGATAGTAGATGTATAATGTAAATGTTGAAAATAAAATAGCAATACTTTAACATTTAAACTATGACAAAATGCTCCGCTGGGCGCAGCTTGATACGACCGCAGAGGTCGAACCCTGAACAGTTGGGGCAAGTATGGACACAACATTCAAGCTTGATACAGCACTGAATTTAGATTGTGATTAAATATTTGACACAGCACAGGTTTCTGACACAGAATGAATGTGGTCTAAGAACTTAAAATTTTTTTAATTACCTATTCAAACCATATCATTATTATTTGCTTTTATATATGTAACACTCCCAAACGTGTCCATCCCCCCAAACGTGTCCGATTCCCCCAAACGTGTCCATTCTCCCCAAACGTGTCCGTAATATTCAATATTGCCCAAACGTGTCCGATTTCATAACCCCCAAACGTGTCCGATAATTGTTATTCGCCAAAACGTGTCCACTATTAAACGCCAGAATGTCTCACGTCTTTCAGCGCTAATACATGTATGTCTTAAATTCTATGATGGGGGACACAGTTGATGAAGTGATCATTTATTATCATTAGTTTGTACAATGCCGGTTATTAATGATTAGCATAATTGTAAATTTAATCTGTAACATATGAATTAATTTTTGACTGAAATTGCTTATTGTCCAGTTGCAATTATTTCATGCTCATTTAGAGCGAACATACAAATAATTCTAGTACAGTTGAATTAGTCGTTTACAATGTAAATTATTTTGTACTAATAAACTCCGATGATACTATTTATATTAATCCGAATATTGCACGGCGGGCTTTCAGCAGAATTGACTTCCTTTTTTTCAACAGTTCTGATATTTTAAAAGCTCTTCAAATCATAAACTGGTTATCAGGTTTTTTAATAATTTTTATGTTTCGAGCAACACTAAAGACACACGAACTAAACATAACGTCCAGTGCCAAATATTTTATGCATTATTTGAACGACATCATGTTAACAATAAATACTGTAGATAGATTCTATTATCATTCCGGGAATTAAGGATTGAGCCTAAATTTTTACGGTAATTCGGGATTAACACTAGTTGGGATTTTAATCTAAAATATTTAAGAGCGAGTAAAGACCGATTTTTGTATGACTTCAGTAAGAAACTACTTCAATCTCCGTTATGTTATAGAGTCCGTTTTAAATAAAAGTTGCGGAAATTTAAAAAAAAATCAGTGTTGCCTTCCAAAATACAAATGATGGCACCATGAAAGAGTGAAATGCTACAAAGGTTTTAATGCGCAAACAATGGGACATTCTCCCTACATGAGGTATTTGATTTAATATCTACAATTTAACTGAGCATGGCTGCTTACATTTACATCCAACATAGCCCCAACTTTTACCCTGGTTATACTGCCGGTTTAAAAAGACCTTGAAAGTAATTTATTTCTATCTTTTTATGAAATAGTAAAATGAGTATACGTTAATGAAAAAGCAATAACCAAATAACCTACGTATTTATAATATGGACACGAATGATAGTTCCAGTAAAAGAAAAAAGAAAAAAAGCTTGATATGGACACGTTTAGGGGATTTGACACGTTTGGGCGTTTATACAATTGACACACTCTGGCGCCCTTTTACAACTATACATGTTTTGCAGTTCAGTGACGTCATGTGGACACGTTTGGGGGAATCGGACACGTTTGGGGGGAAGGACACGTTTCTGAGTGTTACATATATAAATCAGAAATAACCAATTTAAAATGGAAAATTTTAATGAAAAAAAAAGGAAAAAAAGAAAAAAAAATCCCCCCCCAAATTTTTTGAACCCCCTTATGATTCATCACCCCCAAACTCAATCCCAGCCTTCCCTTTGAGGTAAGGTACCTGCAGTACAATTTCAGAGAGATCCATACACTTGAACACAAGTTATTGTCTGGAAACTAGAAAAATGCTTGTTTTTTGGCCCCAAATTCCTACACGTTTAGAGCAATTACCCCCAAACTCAAACCCAGCTTTCCCTTTGTGATATGGAACCTTGTAGTACAATTTCATAAAGATCCATACACTTACACACAAGTTATTGTCCTGAAACTAGAAAAATGCTTGTTTTTTGCCCCTTTTTTGGCCCTTAATTCCTAAAATTTTGAAGCAATTACCCCCAAAATCAATCCCAGCCTTCCCTCTGTGGTAAGGTACCTTGCAGTACAATTTCAGAGAGATCCATACACTTGAACACGAGTTATTGTCTGGAAACTAGAAAAATGCTTGTTTTTTGGCCCCAAATTCCTAAACGTTTAGGGCAATTACCCCCAAACTCAAACCCAGCTTTCCCTTTGTAATATGGAACCTTGTAGTACAATTTCATAAAGATCCATACACTTACACACAAGTTATTGTCATGAAACTAGAAAAATGCTTATTTTTTGCCCCTTTTTTGGCCCCTAATTACTAAAATTCTGAAGCAATTACCCCCAAAATCAATCCCAGCCTTCCCTTTGTGGTATGGTACCTTGCAGTACAATTTCAGAGAGATCTATACACTTGAACACAAGTTATTATCTGGAAACTAGAAAAATACTTATTTTTGGCCCCTTATTGGCCCCTTATTCCTAAATGTTTTGGGCAATTACCCCCAAACTCAATTCCAGCTTTCCCTTTGTGATATGGAACCTTGTAGTACAATTTCAGAAAGATCCATACACTTACACACAAGTTATTGTCATGAAACTAGAAAAATGCTTGTTTTTTGCCCCTAATTCCTAATATTTTGAGGCAATTACCCCCAAAATCAATCCCAGCATTCCCTGTGTGATATGGAACCTTGTGGTACAATGTCAGAGAGATCCATACACTAACACACATGTATGTCTGGAAGTTGCAAAAACGCTTATTTTTGGCCCCTTTTTGTCCCCAAATTCCTTAACTGTTGGTACCATAACCCCCAAAATCAATCCCAACCTTTCCTTTTGTGGTATTGAATCTTATGGTAAAATTTCATAGAGATCCATTCACTTAAACTAAAGTTAAAGTGCGAAAACCAATGTGTCTTTTGACGACGACGACGACGATGACGACGCCAACGTCATACCAATATACCACCGCAAAAAATCGGTCATATAAAAAATGAATAAAGTCAATGAACCATGACTGAAGGTGCATGGCCGAATAACCTCTGTAAAAATGAGAAATGCCAATACGAATGTAACTGTTTACAAAATACCAACCAACTTATCATTGGTGATTCCCTTTAAACTGACCTAAGCAAAGGTGATTAGTTTTTTTTATCTGATTCTGTCCATAGTTAATATTACCTGTCTATATAACTAAAGGTGATTAGTTTTTTATCTGATTCTGTCCATAGTTAATATTACCTGTCTATATAACTAAAGGTGATTAGTTTTTTATCTGATTCTGTCCATAGTTAATATTACCTGTCTATAACTAAAGGTGATCAGTTTATTTATCAGATTCTGTCCATATTTAATATTACCTGTCTATAACTAAAGGTGATCAGTTTTTTATCGGATTCTGTTCTCAGTAATTCTAAGTAAGCACCTGAGGCTCCTACAAAGCAGATCACATGACAAAAAGCATTAATTAACAGAAATGTATTCCAATCCTAACTAAACAATGACTGAACATGCAAACAAACAGCAACAAGAGTGCACACGCTGAAATGTCTCGCCTTCTTTACTAATCATTTATATTATGTTGATAGTCCTAAATATAAAGCTTTATTACAACTGTCACATAAACTTAACACTAACCAAGTAAACTAAACATTGACCAATGAACCATGAAAATGAGGTCAAGGTCAGATGAATCATGCTAGGCAGGCATGTACAGCTAACAATTCTTCCATACAACAAATATAGTTGACCTATTGTTTATAGTTTAAGAAAAACAGACCAAAACACAAAAACTTAACACTAAGCAATGAATCTTGAAAATGAGGTCAAGGTCAAATAAAATCTGCCTGACTGACATATAGATCATAAAATATTTCCATACACCAAATATAGTTGAACTATTGCATATAGTATTAGAAAAAAAGACAAAAACTCAAAAACTTAACTTTTTTTTTTACCACTGATCCATGAAAATGAGGTCAAGGTCAGATGACACCTGCCAGCTAGACATGTACACCTTACAATCATTCCATACACCAAATATAGTAGACATATTGCATACAGTATAAGAAAAACAGACCAAAACACAAAAACTTAACACTGAGCAATGAACCTTTAAAATGAGGTCAAGGTCAAATAAAACCTGCGTGACTGACATATAGATCATAAAATATTTCCATACACCAAATATAGTTGAACTATTACATATAGTATTAGAAAAAACAGACCAAAACTCAAAACTTAACTTTGACCACTGAACCAAGAAAATGAGGTCACGGTCAGATGACACCTGCCAGCTAGACATGTACACCTTACAATCATTCCATACACCAAATATAGTAGACCTATTGCATACAGTATAAGAAAAACAGACGAAAACACAAAAACTTAACTTTAACCACTGAACCATGAAAATGAGGTCAAGGTCAGATGACACCTGCCAGTTGGACATGTACACCTTACAGTCCTTCCATACACCGAATATACTAGACCTATTGCTTTTAGTATCTGAGATATGGACTTGACCACCAAAACTTAACCTTGTTCACCGATCCATAAAATGAGGTTGAGGTCAAGTGAAAACTGTCTGACGGCATGAGGACCTTGCAAGGTACGCACATACCAAATATAGTTATCCTATTACTTATAATAAGAAAGAATTTAACATTACAAAAAATCTTAACTTTTTTTTCAAGTAGTCACTGAACCATGCAAATGAGGTCAAGGACATTGGACATGTGACTGACGGAAACCTCGTAACATGAGGCATCCATATACAAAGTATGAAGCATCCAGATCTTCCACCTTCTAAAATATAAAGCTTTTCAGAAGTTAGCTAACGCCGCCGCCGTAGCTGCCGCCGGATCACTATCCCTATGTCGAGCTTTCTGCGACAAAAGTCGCAGGCTCGACAAAAACAACACATTTAGTAAAGTATATATTAAATGGTAAACATTGCAAAACATGTGTAAACTGACAGTAACCTGTGTTTGTACTGATAGTTTAGTTTCGTCAAAATAAATAAACAATGACGGAATTAAAAAAAAATTTCTGAAAATAATTAAGATTTGTTCTTAAATTAAACAGTGAAGGACATATGGTATATAACATCCTCCTCTTAAAGAAATATCTTTTGAATGGAAAAGCATATTATTCCAGCTATTCTAATATCCATCACCGGGGATTGAAAGTTTATTTTGTGAGGGAACTATCATAATTATGAATAATTTTATTAGTATTTTACAAAAAGATATGCAGTATACACAAGCATAAATTCAAGTTTACTTAATTACATTTAAATATCTAAATAAATAAAAAAAATCATATATTTACTACTATTGCAATATACATGTATTTGTATATTACATATTCATGTATAAGTTCTAAATAAAAAAAACTTCGAAATCCAAATATTAGATGTGTATATATAATTTGTAAAATTTCTTATTTGTAATAGTACATGAAATAGCATTTTCACCAAACACTTTTTCAGTCAATAAAATTAGTGTAAAACTAGTAAGACAAGCATAATTATCATACACATATTTTCTTTCAACTGATCAATACGATTTAGGTGCTTTCAAATAAAGGAAGAATTTGTCCACGTTCCAAACATATGACTGAGTACAGTTTACCATAAACCTGAAATAAGTCTAATTCTGCATTATCATCATGTGGTATGGGCTATTAACAATAAAGGAAAATACATAATGCCAAAAACAACTTTTGGCATGACATATTTAATCTCATTTAAGCAAATTTTATTTGAACCCATCATTTTTTCTTAAATTGCTTTTGTTACACTGATCAGTTGCAAGAATATATGTCTACAGATAACAATTATTAATTGAACAATAGCATTTATATTGTATTATCATACAGGGGCATGAATAGTACTAGAGCATAATTAAAAGAAAAAGTTGGTTTATAAGTATTATTTCAAGCACTAAACTTATGAGTGAAAGTAGTTAGTTCGATACACTTTTAGTAATGATGTTCTGGACCATCTGTGTATATACATATATGATCCGATCATACACATATGGTCCAGCTAATTAATATGATGAACGCTGAAAAGGTGTCACACAAATTAAGAGTTTCAAAAATGAAATTTTGACTTGTTCAATCACATGGTAATCATTGCTACATAATTAATCTAATAAAGTGAATATTACTTACAAGTTAGAATTATACTAAAATAATTTTTACATGGCCATTATCGATTTGTCCTAACAAAACGCAATATGTCGAATTTGGAAAATTACTTCTAGAAATATCTAAATGAATTGTTAAACAATAAGTCAATTGCCTCCTTTGAATCCTCTTTCTTTTCTTTTTTAAAATTTATTTTGGTGTTTAAATTTGATTTTAGTACATCATAATTACTTGAATGTTTCTTATGAAATGTTTTTAGTTAATTTGTTCGTGTATTCTTTCTCCAATTCATACCATCTTACAATGACAGTACGATCCTATGAATATGAGCAAGAACACATCAAATATATGAAAATAAGCAGAGATAAGAAGAAATTTGTTTCTGAAATCATAATTTAAACACTAAGAAAACAGAAAAAAAGTTCCTGCAAAGGAAGTTATAATTGTTCGAAAAATTCCTATATGGTCCGGCTCGTTAATAACCAAACGAGTATAATACTCATATGGTCAGACCATACAAATAAACGCATATGGTCATGGTCCAAATACTCATATGGTCTGGAACAATTACAAGGTTATCATGCTATGAAAAAAGTAAAATATCAAAACTTCCAAACTCCAAGGAAAATTCAAAACAGAAAGTCCCTTATCACATGGCAAAATCAAAAGATCAAACACATCAAACGAATGAGTGGTTTCTTTCTCAAGAACCACTAACAATTTTGAAAGTTTCCCCACCATCGATGTAATGTACCCTCAGAAGTATGATAAGACCCATTTGTTGACCCTTGTTACTTACTGCAAAACTGGTAAAAATAGTCATGCCTTTCAAAATTATGTTAATTTTATTGATAAATGAGTAAGTTCATATAATCCAGACACTTTAGTACAGAAAGATCATTTGAGATGTCGCTATAATGCTATGAACATGTCGAATTGACATATCTGATCAAAAATGGCCATTTTAATCATAGTTTTGGATAAAATAGATATGAGCCAAGGTCATATTCAAAAAGATATTTCAACACATTAACATCTTCGAATAACACATTTTGTTGTGAAATCTCTTTTTGGGAAAAGCTTTGGCTCATACCTAAATATTAATGACAAGATCTCAAAATGGGGTTATTTTTTGCAGTTTTGCAATATATGCAAGAAGTTTGAATCCTGAATGCAAATATGTGAAACAAAATTCAAAAAAAAACACTGATATCTGCTAGATTAATGTCTTTTGGTAGATTTCTAATACTTTTTTTATTTTCAAAATCAAGGACCCAAAACAGTGGCTTTATCATACTTCTCCTCTAAAGTGTCTGTGACAAAGGTTAGATGTAACAAACCCAAAAATGTCCCAACAGTCTACTTACTAGTCTCCACAGAATCTTTCATTATAACAACTATTCCTAATTATATTATAATAAACAAGCATTATATGTTTGTACATTGATTATTTGTTTGATAGCTGACATTATTGTGTCATTAGTAATTTTTAGTAATTTAGTAATTTATAAAATATTACTTTCATTTTACTATTAAAGAATAAGATCACATCTAAGATTTACAAAAAAACTATAAAGATACTTGATATTTTTGAGTAGTTACAAACTTGATGGTGATTTCTTAAGTGTAATATTGGTCAACACAGATTTACCTTAAAATTCCCTCGATTTTTACCATGAACTAGACGCACAGAGAATTCTATTCTGCCCACCTGTAGTTTATGCACAACAATAAAGACTCAAACTAAATATCAAAAATGCAAGTTAAGATTCTAAAGAAGAAGAACGCAATGTTGAATACAATTTTAAACCAGGTAACCCAGTCAAAAGTTGTGTGAACTATTATAGGTATGTGATTATTCAAGTAGATTTTTAGTGTAATTTATTCGAACTCTGATGAATCTAAATATAAAACTGTCACCATTCAGGGAAAATAATGGATGATTAAGGACCTGTCTGATGTAGTTTGATTTACTCAGTTCAGAAAAGATAAATTTTAGTGTACTTTTCCATAAGGTCCTATGTAAATAATGGATTTGAAAAATGAATGCAAAGTTAGTTTATCAAAATTCAATTTGAAAAACAATTTTTCATATAACTAACAAGTTAAATGTTTTATCATTAAGTTCAAAATAATGAACAAGTCTAATTTAAAGAATAGTTTGTTTAACATTGTTTAACCAAATGAAATATTACTTAGAACCTTGCATTAACTTAAAAAAAAAGGTACATTAATTTTGTACATCTATACAAACATAGAAGTCAAGATACTAGAGTTTATCTAAATTTTAAATTCAATTTCTTATTTATATTTCCTATAATGGTAATAAGAACATACTTTGATGTAATTTGTCAGCCATCTTGAATGCACCAACACTAGCATACATAGCGTATCCACAGTCTACTGGTTTCCCATTCTTATCTAGGTACATTGTACTGGCCATGTCAACAATAACAGGATCCAATCTAAACATCAGGTATTCCTTTCTTTGTTTCTCTTGTTGTAATGATAACTGTATCACAAGTTCTACGATCTGTATACGAATATACATCCTCATTCTGTTGTTGTCTGATAGATAATCTTCAACAGACCGTACAGACAGAAACCTGAAAAATAAAGTCCGTCATAAATATACATCCTCATTCTGTTGTTGTCTGACAGATAATCCTCAACAGAGCGTACAGACAGAAACCTGAAAGATAAACAAATCATAAATATACAATCTATCTAGTTGTTGGGTGATAATCTGCACACCTTACACACAGAAACCTGAAAGGTAACGAATCTTAAATATTCCTTGTTGGGTAATGCATGTACTTTGTGACATCTGAATACAAATTGTCTTTTTCATTCAAGGGTTGCATGTTTAAGTGTCCTTTTTTTAAAACTTAGATCACTCTTTGGCATAGTATGTTATACAATGATAATGTCCTTCTGGTGTAATACCACCATTGATTTTCCCCTATGTGCAGAATTTATCTTTGTTTCAAATAAAGAAATACTTGGCATGAGTAAAGTTTTATCCAGTCCAGTACTATAGAAAAAAATTCACATAACATTTCATTGCATATAAGAAAATAACCATCACTGGAAGTTAACCAATCAAATTTCCCCCCTTTTTTAACCTGTGTATAAGCTTTAGTAACCATGTAATCTCAATTTTCCAAAATATTCTATAGAAACCCCAAATAAAAAAATAATGGTGCTTTGAAATACCCAAGATATATGTTTATGACCCATAAATGCTTTACTGCAATGAAATGTAGGATCAATTACCTACAACTGTCAAATTCAAGGGAATATTTTTTTTCGACCTATTTTCATATGCAACCGGATGTGACGTACTATGATTTGGTGGCATTACAGCTAAAGAATGTAAGAATATCATAACATACCTGTTCCATTTATCATACTCATCTTCAGAATCATCAGAGGCAGAGAAAAAATTCTCATCTGAAAGTACAAAATTATCTATTAATGTGATTGTCCTCCTTTTATAAGCTAATTTGTTTTGGATGTTCTAAAAACATAACATTCGAATCTATTCATAATCTATCAAGCAAATTTTATGTATAGTTTTAAGGTTTAAACATGCAAAGAATGTGTGACATATTCTAAACAAGGATCATGACATGGGATTTAACATCAGAGCGAACATGACTATTGCAGAAATTGGGCAATAACGAAACAAAAGGGTCTCATACAGTCAGCATATATTATACAGTTTTCTGCACATTGATATTGAAAAATTTCAGCAGTGGGCCATAATGTGAACTTTTTTGGCAGTGAGCACAATGAATGAGCTAAAAAGCTCCAAATTCTATTGAGCAGCTTATACTTTACTTTCTCTAATTCTTACTCAATTTATCCCTTTCCTGACCTGTTGATTATTTTTATTTAATCAATGTGTGGGTCGTTTGATCTCAGTTCATCATTGCTCATAATTTGATTATGGATCATATTTTCTTGCTTTCCTCTGAAATTCCCATTGTGATGTCATGAAAAAAGGCGACCATGCCTGATGGCGTCATGTAGAAAGAACACATCTTTTTGCAGGTCATGAAAAAAGGATAAAGATTGTCTGCATATCGTCTAAATATCATAAGAGAAACAGATTCCACCACAAAATCTCATGCAATACGATATTTATCCACTCTCGACAGTTATATCTTAAATGTTTAAAACGCTCGGAAAGCCTCACGTTTTAAATTTGAACATTTAACTGTCTCAAGTGGATAAATATCGTATCACACTCGATGCAGTGTTAGAATCTATATGTATCAATAAGAAAAAACCTGACAAGCTGTTTATCAAGCTGGTCTTTCCCCCCACCCTTGTTTACATTTTTACTATTGACAAAAGTAAGCTTGATAATGTCTCCTCACACATTGTGACGTCATTGATAACTTCTCAAACATTGTGACATGCTGGTAAGTTCTACTCATGTCTCAAAGCCTTGATACTAAAATTATGGAGCAGGGTGATATCAGCAAAGGGAAGGACAATAATATCATGTTATTACCTGCACCCCTGGGATAGAAAGGTCTATAAGCAGGGTGATATCAGCAAAGGGAAGGACAATAATATCATGTTATTACCAGCAACCCTGGGATAGTAAGGTTTACAAGTAGGGTGATATCAACAAAGGAAAGGACAATAATATCATGTTATTACCTGCACCCCTGGGATAGTAAGGTCTACAAGCAGGGTGATATCAACAAAGGGAAGGACTACAATATCATTTTATTACCAGCACCCCTGGGATAATAAGGTATACAAGCAGGGTGATATCAGCAAAGGGAAGGACAATAATATCAAGTTACTACCAGCACCCCTGGGATAGTAAGGTCTATAAGTAGGGTGATATCAGCAACTGGAAGGTCAATAATATCATGTTATTACCTGCACCTCTGGGATAGTAAGGTCTATCTGCTACAGAATCATCCTCTGGAATAGTAGCTTCTATCATAGTCCGACTCAGTATTGTTCTTCTTGTCCTTCTTAGTAATGTTATGTCTGGTTCTAACTGGATGTCTGTTGGATCCTAAATATAGAAATATACAGGTAAAATTGAGTATATCCTCAATAATGTGATGAATTCTAAATATAGAAACATACATGAATAAACAGCTGCGCCATGAGCGCATGATACGCCCGTCGCATTTTTTACGAATAAAGTTCAATAACTTCTCAATGTCATATCAGAAATTTGTGAAAAACTAAATGGAGGTTAACTTAATTGATATAAACCAGTCACCAAAGTTTAATGAAAACTGCTTAAAGCACTTTAAAGGTATTGTCCGAAAACTAGAAAATCGCCCCTTTTTTTATGAATAAAATCCCATAACTTGGAAGAGTAAAATCTAAAATTTATAAAAATTGAAAGGGAGCTTACATCAATAGATATAAACAATTCTCCAAAGTTTCATGAGAACTGCATTTTTGAGTTATTGTCCGAAAACTGGAAAATCCCCCTTTTTTTTAATGAATAAAACTTCATAACTCGGAAACATAAAATCTAAAATTTATAAAAATCAAAAGGGAGCTCATGTTAATAGATATAAACAATTGACCAAAGTTTCTTGCAAATTGGTGAAAGCATTTTTTAGTTATTGTTCGAAAACTGGAAAATCACCCCTTTTTTAATGAATAAAACCCCATAACTCATAAACGCAAAATCTAAATTTTATAAAAAACGAAAGGGAGCTCACATCAATAGATATGAACAATTCACCAAAGTTTTATGCAAATTGGTTGAAGCGTTTTTGAGTTAATGTCCGACACGTTGACGACAGACGAACGGACGGATGGACGGACAGACAGACGGACAACGGTATACCATAAGATGTCCCGTAAACGGGCGTATAAAAATTGAATCTGTCCTCAATAATGTGATGAATTCTAAATATAAAAATATACATGACTAACTGAATCTATCCTCAATAATGTGATCAATTCTAAATATAGAAATATACATGACTAACTGAATCTATCCTCAATAATGTGATCAATTTTAATTATAGAAATGATTGATTCTAAAGGACGGCTTTATCAACTTACCAGTTTAGGGGGAACAGTCCCTATAGAATCCATCTGATCTTCCAAAGCTATAATCCTTGGTTTAGGGAAGTGGAACACAAACATGTATAGTATCAACAACTGTTCATCTGTCACGGTCAACGTCAAGGAATGTAGCTTTATATCAAACTTATGGCTGGAAGACAATTATAATGTTATTATTAAGGAATGAGTGATTATGATCCTCTAGTTTTGTTATTGTGTAGACAGATACCATCCCACCCAATCAAAGTCAAGGAAGGGAGCTTTCAAATTTCAAGTTATTCTACTACTATTGTTTTTATCAGTTTAATTCTAGAAATCTTCAGTATCATCACTTTCTGTATAATAAATAAATAAGTTCAATCTTGTATCTAAGTTAAATAAGAGTATAACAAGAGTGATTTTTCAGTTCAAATGGCAAATGAAAAATGACAATAAATGAATTGATTTGAATTATTTATTAATTTTCATTTTTAAACTTTAAACTAACATATAAGCCAGTGTCTGGCTAAAATGTATTTCTTGTAGTTTTTTCAATGGCTTATATTTCAAGCTTTATGTCAGATAATTAGAAATTGCAAGCAACATTTCTAAGTTTGTATCAAATACACAGGCCCAAATTTATGTAAACATGGTCATTCACTGATTTACATTAAGAATTAGGTGTATTGTTATGTAAGGATATTACGCCTGGATTTCTGTTGACCAGGCATACTCATATAAATATTCCGCCTAATTTTACCCTTGGTTTCCGCCTGGTTTACTCTTGGACATGCATTCTCTAAATATTGCAATGACGCCAGGTTTAATTAAAGAACCATTGTGAGCACGCTCACATACCCCACATCCCCACATTGTCACTGGACAAACAAAATCTCACCAGATTCCTAAGTTCAAAGACTCATAACTCTACAAAAGTCAACTGATAAAAATTTTCTTGTGAATATTCACATGAACATATTATGTCCTTATTATCTACAAAGTTTCATGAAATTCTGTTGTGTGGTTTCAGAGGAGTTGCAATGACAAGACCAGGACTGATGGACGCAACTTTGTTGCCTGGGGTATAATAATGAATTCTACGTTAGATGTGATACTTGGACTGTGATCTATCCATTGTTAATGGTAGTATAGATACTTACTGTGGATGGTTATAATTATCAGACATACTGGTTTTGTAGAAGGCTATTTCTAACGAAGAGTTTGGTAAGATATGATACTTGGACTGTAATCTATCCATTGTTAATGGTAGTATATAAAACTTACTGTGGATGGTTATAATTATCTGACATACTGGTTTTGTAGAAGGCTATTTCTAACGAAGAGTTTGGTAAGATGTGATACTTGGACTGTGATCTATCCATTGTTAATGGTAGTATAGATACTTACTGTGGATGGTTATAATTATCTGACATACTGGTTTTGTAGAAGGCTATTTCTAACGAAGAGTTTGGTAAGATGTGATACTTGGACTGTGATCTATCCATTGTTAATGGTAGTATAGATACTTACTGTGGATGGTTATAATTATCAGACATACTGGTTTTGAAGAAGGCTATTTCTAACGAAGAGTTTGGTAAGATGTGATACTTGGACTGTGATCTATCCATTGTTAATGGTAGTATAGATACTTACTGTGGATGGTTATAATTATCAGACATACTGGTTTTGTAGAAGGCTATTTCTAACTAAGAGTTTGGTAAGATGTGATACTTGGACTGTGATCTATCCATTGTTAATGGTAGTATAGATACTTACTGTGGATGGTTATAATTATCAGACATACTGGTTTTGTAGAAGGCTATTTCTAACGAAGAGTTTGGTAAGATGTGATACTTGGACTGTGATCTATCCATTGTTAATGGTAGTATAGATACTTACTGTGGATGGTAATAATTATCAGACATACTGGTTTTGAAGAAGGCTATTTCTAACGAAGAGTTTGGTAAGATGTGATACTTGGACTGTGATCTATCCATTGTTAATGGTAGTATATAAAACTTACTGTGGATGGTTATAATTATCTGACATACTGATTTTGTAGAAGGCTATTTCTAACGAAGAGTTTGGTAAGATATGATACTTGGACTGTGATCTATCCATTGTTAATGGTAGTATAGATACTTACTGTGGATGGTTATAATCATCTGACATACTGGTTTTGTAGAAGGCTATTTCTAACGAAGAGTTTGGTAAGATGTGATACTTGGACTGTGATCTATCCATTGTTAATGGTAGTATAGATACTTACTGTGGATGGTTATAATCATCTGACATACTGGTTTTGTAGAAGGCTATTTCTAACGAAGAGTTTGGTAAGATGTGATACTTGGACTGTGATCTATCCATTGTTAATGGTCGTATAGATACTTACTGTGGATGGTTATAATTATCTGACATACTGGTTTTGTAGAAGGCTATTTCTAACGAAGAGTTTGGTAAGATGTGATACTTGGACTGTGATCTATCCATTGTTAATGGTAGTATAGATACTTACTGTGGATGGTTATAATTATCAGACATACTGGTTTTGTAGAAGGCTATTTCTAACGAAGAGTTTGGTAAGATGTGATACTTGGACTGTGATCTATCCATTGTTAATGGTAGTATAGATACTTACTGTGGATGGTTATAATTATCAGACATACTGGTTTTGTAGAAGGCTATTTCTAACGAAGAGTTTGGTAAGATGTGATACTTGGACTGTGATCTATCCATTGTTAATGGTAGTATAGATACTTACTGTGGATGGTTATAATTATCAGACATACTGGTTTTGTAGAAGGCTATTTCTAACGAAGAGTTTGGTAAGATGTGATACTTGGACTGTGATCTATCCATTGTTAATGGTAGCATAGATACTTACTGTGGATGGTTATAATTATCAGACATACTTGTTTTGTAGAAGGCTATTTCTAACGAAGAGTTTGGTAAGATGTGATACTTGGATTGTGATCTATCCATTGTTAATGGTAGTATAGATACTTACTGTGGATGGTTATAATTATCAGACATACTGGTTTTGTAGAAGGCTATTTCTAACGAAGAGTTTGGTAAGATGTGATACTTGGACTGTGATCTATCCATTGTTAATGGTAGTATAGATACTTACTGTGGATGGTTATAATTATCAGACATACTGGTTTTGTAGAAGGCTATTTCTAACGAAGAGTTTGGTAAGATGTGATACTTGGACTGTGATCTATCCATTGTTAATGGTAGTATAGATACTTACTGTGGATGGTTATAATTATCTGACATGCTGGTTTTGTAGAAGGCTATTTCTAACGAAGAGTTTGGTAAGATATGATACTTGGACTGTGATCTATCCATTGTTAATGGTAGTATATAAAACTTACTGTGGATGGTTATAATTATCAGACATACTGGTTTTGTAGAAGGCTATTTCTAACGAAGAGTTTGGTAAGATATGATACTTGGACTGTGATCTATCCATTGTTAATGGTAGTATAGATACTTACTGTGGATGGTTATAATTATCAGACATACTGGTTTTGTAGAAGGCTATTTCTAACGAAGAGTTTGGTAAGATGTGATACTTGGACTGTGATCTATCCATTGTTAATGGTAGTATAGTTACTTACTATGGATGGTTATAATTATCTGACATACTGGTTTTGTAGAAGGCTATTTCTAACAAAGAGTTTGGTAAGATGTGATACTTGGACTGTGATCTATCCATTGTTAATGGTAGTATAGATACTTACTGTGGATGGTTATAATTATCTGACATACTGGTTTTGTAGAAGGCTATTTCTAACGAAGAGTTTGGTAAGATATGATACTTGGACTGTGATCTATCCATTGTTAATGGTAGTATAGATACTTACTGTGGATGGTTATAATTATCAGACATACTGGTTTTGTAGAAGGCTATTTCTAACGAAGAGTTTGGTAAGATGTGATACTTGGACTGTGATCTATCCATTGTTAATGGTAGTATAGTTACTTACTATGGATGGTTATAATTATCTGACATACTGGTTTTGTAGAAGGCTATTTCTAACAAAGAGTTTGGTAAGATGTGATACTTGGACTGTGATCTATCCATTGTTAATGGTAGTATAGATACTTACTGTGGATGGTTATAATTATCAGACATACTGGTTTTGTAGAAGGCTATTTCTAACGAAGAGTTTGGTAAGATATGATACTTGGACTGTGATCTATCCATTGTTAATGGTAGTATAGATACTTACTGTGGATGGTTATAATTATCAGACATACTGGTTTTGTAGAAGGCTATTTCTAACGAAGAGTTTGGTAAGATATGATACTTGGACTGTGATCTATCCATTGTTAATGGTAGTATAGATACTTACTGTGGATGGTTATAATTATCTGACATACTGGTTTTGTAGAAGGCTATTTCTAACGAAGAGTTTGGTAAGATATGATACTTGGACTGTGATCTATCCATTGTTAATGGTAGTATAGATACTTACTGTGGATGGTTATAATTATATAATTATCTGACATACTGGTTTTGTAGATGGCTATTTCTAACGAAGAGTTTGGTAAGATGTGATACTTGGACTGTGATCTATCCATTGTTAATGGTAGTATAGATACTTACTGTGGATGGTTATAATTATATAATTATCTGACATACTGGTTTTGTAGAAGGCTATTTCTAACGAAGAGTTCGGTAAGATATGATACTTGGACTGTGATCTATCCATTGTTAATGGTAGTATAGATACTTACTGTGGATGGTTATAATTATCAGACATACTGGTTTTGTAGAAGGCTACTTCTAACGAAGAGTTTGGTAAGATGTGATACTTGGACTGTGATCTATCCATTGTTAATGGTAGTATAGATACTTACTGTGGATGGTTATAATTATCAGACATACTGGTTTTGTAAAAGGCTATATCTAAAGAAGAGTTTGGTAAGATGTGATACTTGGACTGTGATCTATCCATTGTTAATGGTAGTATATAAAACTTACTGTGGATGGTTAAAATTATCTGACATGCTGGTTTTGTAGAAGGCTATTTCTAACGAAGAGTTTGGTAAGATGTGATCCTTGGACTGTGATCTATCCATTGTTAATGGTAGTATAGATACTTACTGTGGATGGTTATAATTATCAAACATACTGGTTTTGTAGAAGGCTATTTCTAACGAAGAGTTTGGTAAGATATGATACTTGGACTGTGATCTATCCATTGTTAATGGTAGTATAGATACTTACTGTGGATGGTTATAATTATCTGACATACTGGTTTTGTAGAAGGCTATTTCTAACGAAGAGTTTGGTAAGATATGATACTTGGACTGTGATCTATCCATTGTTAATGGTAGTATAGATACTTACTGTGGATGGTTATAATTATCAGACATACTGGTTTTGTAGAAGGCTATTTCTAATGAAGAGTTTGGTAAGATGTGATACTTGGACTGTGATCTATCCATTGTTAATGGTAGTATAGATACTTACTGTGGATGGTTATAATTATCAGACATACTGGTTTTGTAGAAGGCTATTTCTAACGAAGAGTTTGGTAAGATATAATACTTGGACTGTGATCTATCCATTGTTAATGGTAGTATAGATACTTACTGTGGATGGTTATAATTATCAGACATACTGGTTTTGTAGAAGGCTATTTCTAACGAAGAGTTTGGTAAGATATGATACTTGGACTGTGATCTATCCATTGTTAATGGTAGTATATAAAACTTACTGTGGATGGTTATAATTATCAGACATACTGGTTTTGTAGAAGGCTATTTCTAACGAAGAGTTTGGTAAGATATGATACTTGGACTGTGATCTATCCATTGTTAATGGTAGTATAGATACTTACTGTGGATGGTTATAATTATCAGACATACTGGTTTTGTAGAAGGCTATTTCTAACGAAGAGTTTGGTAAGATATGATACTTGGACTGTGATCTATCCATTGTTAATGGTAGTATAGATACTTACTGTGGATGGTTATAATTATCTGACATACTGGTTTTGTAGAAGGCTATTTCTAACGAAGAGTTTGGTAAGATATGATACTTGGACTGTGATCTATCCATTGTTAATGGTAGTATAGATACTTACTGTGGATGGTTATAATTATCAGACATACTGGTTTTGTAGAAGGCTATTTCTAACGAAGAGTTTGGTAAGATATGATACTTGGACTGTGATCTATCCATTGTTAATGGTAGTATAGATACTTACTGTGGATGGTTATAATTATCTGACATACTGGTTTTGTAGAAGGCTATTTCTAACGAAGAGTTTGGTAAGATATGATACTTGGACTGTGATCTATCCATTGTTAATGGTAGTATAGATACTTACTGTGGATGGTTATAATTATCTGACATACTGGTTTTGTAGAAGGCTATTTCTAACGAAGAGTTTGGTAAGATATGATACTTGGACTGTGATCTATCCATTGTTAATGGTAGTATAGATACTTACTGTGGATGGTTATAATTATATAATTATCTGACATACTGGTTTTGTAGAAGGCTATTTCTAACGAAGAGTTTGGTAAGATGTGATACTTGGACTGTGATCTATCCATTGTTAATGGTAGTATAGATACTTACTGTGGATGGTTATAATTATATAATTATCTGACATACTGGTTTTGTAGAAGGCTATTTCTAACGAAGAGTTCGGTAAGATATGATACTTGGACTGTGATCTATCCATTGTTAATGGTAGTATAGATACTTACTGTGGATGGTTATAATTATCAGACATACTGGTTTTGTAGAAGGCTACTTCTAACGAAGAGTTTGGTAAGATGTGATACTTGGACTGTGATCTATCCATTGTTAATGGTAGTATAGATACTTACTGTGGATGGTTATAATTATCAGACATACTGGTTTTGTAGAAGGCTATTTCTAACGAAGAGTTTGGTAAGATGTGATACTTGGACTGTGATCTATCCATTGTTAATGGTAGTATAGATACTTACTGTGGATGGTTATAATTATCTGACATACTGGTTTTGTAGAAGGCTATTTCTAACGAAGAGTTTGGTAAGATGTGATACTTGGACTGTGATCTATCCATTGTTAATGGTAGTATAGATACTTACTGTGGATGGTTATAATTATCAGACATACTGGTTTTGTAGAAGGCTATTTCTAACGAAGAGTTTGGTAAGATGTGATACTTGGACTGTGATCTATCCATTGTTAATGGTAGTATAGATACTTACTGTGGATGGTTATAATTATCAGACATACTGGTTTTGTAGAAGGCTATTTCTAACGAAGAGTTTGGTAAGATATGATACTTGGACTGTGATCTATCCATTGTTAATGGTAGTATAGATACTTACTGTGGATGGTTATAATTATCAGACATACTGGTTTTGTAGAAGGCTATTTCTAACGAAGAGTTTGGTAAGATGTGATACTTGGACTGTGATCTATCCATTGTTAATGGTAGTATATAAAACTTACTGTGGATGGTTATAATTATCTGACATACTGGTTTTGTAGAAGGCTATTTCTAACGAAGAGTTTGGTAAGATATGATACTTGGACTGTGATCTATCCATTGTTAATGATAGTATAGATACTTACTGTGGATGGTTATAATTATCAGACATACTGGTTTTGTAGAAGGCTATTTCTAACGAAGAGTTTGGTAAGATGTGATACTTGGACTGTGATCTATCCATTGTTAATGATAGTATAGATACTTACTGTGGATGGTTATAATTATCAGACATACTGGTTTTGTAGAAGGCTATTTCTAACGAAGAGTTTGGTAAGATGTGATACTTGGACTGTGATCTATCCATTGTTAATGGTAGATGCCAATCCTCATCTGAAAATAAGATACATTGAGGTAAAATCAGATACACTGAGGTAAAATAAAATACATTGAGGTAAATAAGATACATTGAGGTAAAATAAGATACATTGAGGTAAAATTGTACTGTGGATAATGTAGTCTCAGGACCGAGAACCTTATCTAAGACAGGCGATTCCATTTACTGAAGTTTCAATGTGTGTCCTGATACTAGAACCAAGTTTATTTGGGTTCCATGTTCTTATAGGGTTTGAAATAAGAATCCAATACGCTATAGTAAATATATTAGTTGGAAATACTCATTTTGATCCGAAACTATCTTAAAATATAAAAATAATGAGATGTGGTATGATTGCCAATGAGACAAACACTATCCACCAGAGTTCAAATACAGTGGATTATACCTATTATAGGCCACCATACGGCCTTCGAAAATGAGAAAAAGCCATACTGTATAGTCAGCTATAAAGTTGGTTAAGAGAATATTTAGGAAAGCTTAGATAGTTATTCATGTTTCATACCCTGAAAGGTGTTTAATTCAAAACATTTAAGATAATTCCACTACAAACAGTTAGTATCTTTGAGCTGATGTTATTTGTGACTAGTACAATCAGTTAACATCAGTTTGATAACAATATTTACTCAGATAGATTATTGGACACAGGCAAATCCTAATTCAAGCAGAGTTTATGAACAGATAATATCTAAAAATAAACTTGGACTAGACATAAGGCATCAAAAGCAGTATAAATTCTTAAGGAAAGTAAAATACACATACTTGAATCAGCAACTAAGATTTCTACTTCTGTAATTGTCACTAAAAACTTGTCATATAACTTCTCATGGAGTTCCTCTGTTGATGGATTCTAGAAGTAAATACAACAGAAAATTAACATCTATTGATATCCATCATTCTCAGAATTGTACAATCATAAAAAGTCTGCAATTTGTACAACCATAAAAAGTCTGCAATTTGTACATTCATAAAAAGTCTGCAATTTGTACAATCATGAAAAGTCTACAATTTGTACAATCATAAAAAGTCTGTAATTTGTAAAATCACAAAAAATCTGCAATATTTATAATCATAAAAAGTCTTTAATTTGTACAATCATAAAAAGTCTGCAATTTGTACAATCTTAAAAAGTCTGCAATTTGTACAATCTTAAAAAGTCTGCAATTTGTACAATCCTAAATATTCTGCAATTTGTATAATCATACAAGAATTTTCAACTACTCTTAATTCAGAAATTTTTGCGTGCCTTTATTATTATTAAGATTTTTGTAGAATGGACATAAATGATTGAGTTAAGCCATTTTAATTCATATTTTATAGTGTTTCTTTCTATGTTGTGATGTTACACTATTGTTTCAGGTTGGGTGAAGGTTGGCACCTATTAAAACGTTTAAACCTGCTGCATTTGTTTGCACCTGTCCTAAGTCAGAAACCTGATGTTCAGTGGTTGTCGTTTGTTGATGTGGTTCATAAGTGTTTCTCGTTTTTTATATAGATTAGACCGTTGCTTTTCCTGTTTGAATGGTTTTGCACTAGTCGTTTTTGGGGCCCTTTATAGTTTGCTGTTCTGTGTTAGCCAAGGCTCCGTTTTGAAGGCCGTACTTTGACCTATAATGGTTTACTTTTACAAATTGTGACTTGGATGGAGAGTTGTCTCATTGGCACTCATACCACATCTTCTTATATCTAATAAATGCACAATTAGTTATTGTGATTTCAGGAGAATCTGCATAGTGATGTCTGTATCAGATATCAGAATGTCAGTTCTTATTATTGTGATACTTACCCAGTCCATTATTCACATTAATAAAAACCTCACAATAATTTCTGAATTTACAGTATCTTTACATCAAGTGTTTTCATAGTTTTTTCGTGATACTGATTGGTTTTTGAAGTTTGTTTTTTGGATGTCAACAAACTTGAAATAATGCCTACTTCAATAGTAACTACATTACCTCCAGTGATTTGGATTTGTCTTGTAAATCACTCCTTACAGTAAACGTTCCCAGATCTATTACCAATACATGACCTTCCCTGTAAAGGTAAATTGATAACACATGCAGACTGACCAAACAAAAATATAAATAAATTTCTTAAGCAGGTTTTGTTCCAATTGTCAAAATTAATGAATTTTTCGATAAATTACTGTAATTTTAACAACAAAAAACCAAACTGATCAATTTCAGTGTGAAGTACCATACCATTTTTATAAATAAAAATACTCTTCTCTAAATAACAGTAGGTATTTAATATTTTTATTTCATAAAAAGCTGTTCAATTTTGAAACAACTGTTTGTGAAACAAGTTATACAAATTTGGTTTGAGAAAATTGAAAAGAATTTGAAAGAAAGCTTACTTTATTGATACAACATTGTAAAATCCCCAAGAGTTAAAGCTCAATAAGGTCAATTTCTGTATAAAATTTAACAGAGACAGTTTTATAACTTTTCTTCACTCACAGGACTTCAAAATATTTACCTTTCACTATCACTTAGTGTTCCTGTTTGTGGAATGACAATATATGGTGATTTCATGTGAACAGATATATGGAATGTCTGAAATAAAAATAGTATTGGTATGAAATGTTTTTATACACAACAAAATGTCATAACATCATCAATATAAATATAAACTTTTTATGATTCCTAGTCCAAATAATCATGAATAGTTATAAGAAGATGTGGTATGAGTGCCAATGAGACAACTCTCCATCCAAGTCAACCATAAAAAAGTAAACCATTATAGGTCAAAGTTCGGTCTTCAACACGGAGCTTTGGCTCACACTGAACAGCAAGCTATAAAGGGCCCCAAAAATTACTAGTGTATAACCATTCATACGGGAAAACCAACGGTCTAATCTATATAAAAAACGAGAAACACTTATGAACCACATCAACAAACGACAACTACTGAACATCAGATTCCTGACTTAGGACTGAAGTCTTGAAAGGCTATTTCAATCTTTTGCAGTGGAGGGCATCACAGCAAAAAATTAAAATAGCCTTTCAAGACGTCATAATTATTTGGACTAATGGTTCCTGAAGACAGCAGGATATTGCAACCCACAATTAATTCGTCGTCCAGAGCTTTGTTTTATGATGCAAAAGGATGTATATATACAGAATTTGAAAACTGTTCCTACTTTTACAGTTGCAACTTATAGATCTTTATTTTATTCTATCAAGAAGCATGTCTCAACTAGTACTGAATTTGACAAACCATCTGAGCTATTACAGCCATGGAAACTTGCAGATTTTTGCTCTAAAGCACATAAAATCTGTACTTCACAAATATTTTGAAATTCAATCACTATTTTGAACTTTAATCACTGCATATATAATTCTTTGTTTGATTCTGTGAAGAAATGTATCTAATATAACATTGAGAATGGAAACAGGGAATGTGTCAAAAAGACAACAACACAACCAAAGAGCAAAAAACAGCCCAAGGCCACTAATGGGTCTTCAAGACAGAGAGAAAATCGCACACCTGGAGTAGGACTTCAGCTGGCCCCTAAACAACAATGTATACTAGTTCAGTGAAAATGGATGTCACACTAAACTCCAACTTATATAAACCAAAATTAAAAAAAGACCATACAAGAATAACAAAGGCCAGAGGTTCCTGACTTGGGACAGGTGCAAAAATTTGGCGGGGTTAAACATGTTTTGTGAGATCTCAACCCTCCCCTATACCTCTAGCCAATGTGGAATAAATAAACAAAGTAATCTGTATAGACAAACTTCTAAGTTAACCAGTGGCAAGTTGTGCACTATTGCTCAAAACAAATGTTCTGTAAATTCAGAAATTATTGTTGTAAGGTTTTCATTATTGCGGATAATGCGACGGGTGAGTATCCCAATAATAAAAACTCACATTCTGAAATCTGATGCATATATTTGTATGCAATTTTCCTATATTCAAAATAATAATTCTCACATTTAATCTGTCATGAGGAAATCACAGTAATAAATGCAGGTAACAATTTCTGAATTTACAGTATATGAATTGTTTTTTTTTTTACACATCTTCTAATTCTTGTATTGGTAACTTACAGATTTTTGATCTATTGCATAAAGTAGTGTATCTCTACTGTACTCCACAAATCCTCTCAATTTAGCCATAGCTATTTCATTCAGGTCAACCTCACTTTCCTTGTCTGGAGTTTGGAAAAATGATAAAACTTGTGTCACAGCATGCTGAAATAAAAAGGTCAATGAAATTCTATATATTCAAAACCAGTGAAAAATTGCAAAATCTACAAAAACAAACAGTGTCCATCCTTATAGTCTAACTGGACAATTTCTAGATCCTTGGTTTGCAGATAGATATTTTAATATTTGTTTAATGGTATTTGCATGAAATTGTTGTCATTAAAGAATTGCTGTTGCTATTGGTATAAATTTTGGTCTTTTATTATCTCAATATTAAAAGAGATTGTTGTATTATGTATATCTATGATCATTTCTATTTCAATGTATATCTACCCCAGACCTAGATGGTCAGATTTGGCATGTCCTTTTTTTCAAATTTAAGATTTTCATATTTGTTACTGAACATAGCTTCCAACTGTTTTGGTTCCTGCACCACTGATGAATATTATGTACCGGTAGTTGAAATGCATGCCTGGTCTTTTAAACTGTTAGCATGGTATCTTTGATAGATTTTTTTGAAACCATCTTCCCATTAATTTGAAACAAACCTCATCATAAAATATTTCTACAGGTCTAACATTCAGTATCAGGGCCTGGTCAGCTTTATATACATAAGGCAGTGGGTTTAAGTAATAGTCCAACATAAACATCTGTTTATCTGTAGCTAAAAATATACACACATGTATGGGTTAAAAATAAAATATGGTGTATCCTTCAGTATGATATCATAACTAACTTCTTTGACATATTCATAACAACAGTCTCAACATGAAAGTGTAACAGAACCATCATAGTATAGCAGGCATTTCAGCCAAACCTCACAAATGTACCAATGTCCCCATAGTAAGCAATGGCAAAGGTCTATGATTTGAACTTGAAAACCAAAGAAATAATTTGGATAACAAAAACAAAATATGCAGAGCACAACTGAATTATTTGGTGAAGATATGGAAAAAGTAAAAAGATCAGTTAAATTCATTCACTACCTTGCCAGACTCTGAGCTATTTTGAGATTGACTTATTGTATAGACACTTGTTTTTTGTTGAAGACCTTATTTTGACCAAACAATGTCATTTTGTTTTCTTGCTAGGTTGCTGCCTCGTCAAACCCCATACCTCCTTATTTTCAATAAATTTGCTAGGCTCTCAGACAACCTATCACTACGATTAAGATGTTGATGAACTTACTATAAAGTCCTCCATTAGAAGTCAGGATTGTGAAAGGTTTAAATCCAAGTGTAGCGCCCTCTATCTTGAATCCTTCTGTTTTACTCAGAATTCTGAAATTGGACAATATATAATTATAGATTTTAAACAATGATTAATCAATCTTAATCTAAATGTCAAAATACAACAAGAGTATGTGTCCATAGGACACCATGCCCCTATAGTAGAGGTCTATTGTTGATTACGTATACGTACCTTACACCTTTCCCTTCAGGTCTGTTCTCGTATGAAGTCAGCATCTCACAAAGTGAGGCCTTCAGGATATTTCTCCTGTTACTACTCAGTGTAACATCAAACTGTTTTATTTCTAACTGTATTTTGTAAGCTATGTACTACAAAATATAATGAAACGACAATTTTACTGAATAGATCAGATATGAAAGTGTATAAAAGATTTACTGGTCCAATTCAGTGTTCAAAATTTACTCGCATTTTTTTTTTAGAATTGTGTGTAGAATGGAGCATAAAAAAATTCAGATGCATTTTTTTTATGGTGTTTTCTTTTATGTTTACCCTTCACCATCTTTTATTCATATTATATATGAAGGCTGTACATGAATGCTCAAACTACTTTCAACTTTTAACTTTTAAATTATATTGTCCAATCAACTTTTAAATTTCTATGGGTGTTATATTCAACTTTCTAAGTGGCATAAACATTTCTTTAATTGTGGTATTGTTGATAAGCAAATTGCTTGTATCACATCGGTAGTAATCAAATACTTATATAAATAAAAAATTCTACTAGTTCTTTAGACCCCACCCCCCACCCCATGCCCTATCTACTTAAAATTACAAAACCTTCACAAATCTATCAATATTTACATCGTCAGGTAATTTCTGTTGGTCTGCCTCCTCTTTGTAACCAATCTTATCATACAATTCTTTCTTTTCCACTTCAGACAGTTCTCCCCATATTCCTGTTAATACAATTTCATATTAATTGTCAACATTTTGATTTTGCCAGTATCAGCTGGTGTTTTCTAACACAATCTGACTATAAATATACATTTAAAAATAATTAAAAAACATGAGAAGTACCCTTGACAAGTAAAGAATGTACTGGTTGATTTTTTTCTTTCTGGGAAAACATGATTTATCTACATGTATTATGATTAGTTGTAATTGACTTTGAGTAACTATGAGTCCTCTTAGATTGGTACTTTGTGTCTTTTCGTAACTTTTGGTGCTTTGTGTTGATCTAATGAGTCAATCCTTCTCCATCTGATTTTTACAGTTTGTTCTTATGTTGTGTCCAAACATGCTTAACACTGCCACATTCTGTATGTGTCTGTCCCAAGTCAGGAGCCTGTAATTCCGTGATTGTATGTGGTTACAGTCTGTCATATTTCTTTTTCATTTTTTGTATTATCATAAATCAAGCCTTGCAATAAGATAATAAGAATACTGTTAATTCAGAAATTTTTGTGATGTTTTTATTATTGCTACAAATTGCCATATGATTGGTTTCACAAAAACAAAAACTGTCATTTTAAATTTTGTTGGCACAATTTGAATGCATTATTTCCTGAAATCACAATAATTCTTTTCTATTGTCAACCAACGCAATAATAAATGGATGAAAATAATTCTGAGTTTACAGTATCTATCTCCTCCTTAGATTCCTGACTTCTTAATGATAGCTACCTGTTATTTTACTCCTCAATTCTCCACCTCTTTATATCTTATACTTACTTTGTCAAGTGGGGTTCCATTTCCTCCTAGCTAACGAGTGAGACTGCCTCTCCATGTCCATCTTATTTATCTCATCCTCTAGGCTCTACCCCTCTACCCCTTTACCTTATACCTACCATCATTATCAGGTACTTTCATCTCCTTTTACAACTCCTGCTTTTTGTTTTGCAATCTAATACCTTACAGTTCCCTACACCTTAAACCTACCATCCTTGTCAGGAGTTTCTTCAGACTCCTGACTTCACACCTTAAACCTACCTTCCATGTCAGGAGTTTCTATCTCCTCTTCAGACTCCTGACTTCACACCTTAAACCTACTGTCCTTGTCAGGAGTTTCTATCTCCTCTTCAGACTCCTGACTTCACACCTTAAACCTACCACCAATGTCAGGAGTTTCTATCTCCTCATTAGACTCCTGACTTCACACATTAAACCTACCGTCCTTGTCAGAAGTTTCTATCTCCTCTTCAGACTCCTGACTTCACACCTTAAACCTACCATCCTTGTCAGGAGTTTCTATCTCCTCTTCAGACTCCTGACTTCACACCTTAAACCTACCGTCCTTGTCAGGAGTTTCTATCTCCTCTTCAGACTCCTGACTTCACACCTTAAACCTACCATCCTTGTCAGAAGTTTCTATCTCCTCATCAGACTCCTGACTTCACACATTAAACCTACCGTCCTTGTCAGGAGTTTCTATCTCCTCTTCAGACTCCTGACTTCCTCCCCAAGGCCACCACCATGACCCTTCTGACTTCTCTTTTTTCTTTCTCTTTGCTCTTTCAGGTGCTCTCCTCTGGAACTGTAGCACAAATTTGTAAATATATGCTCACAATTAGGTGAAATAAATGTATGTAAAATACCAAAAAGAAAGTAGGGTAAAATTAGCAGTGCCAAGTCAGCAACTTTATCACTTGTTGTCTACATGTATAGATCTTAGTATTTTTGTCTATTAAGGAGTTTGATGTTGATGGTAAATCTCTGGAAGTCTGTGATTTAAAGGTTTCATAACAAGTGAGAAAAAAGATATTTTTCATTGAAATTAAATAACGATTGATTGATTGATTGATGATTGCTTTACACCCCATCAGTGTTAAATAATGAGAGTTGATGTCAAGCTATATTCAATTCTCACATGAAACCTGTCTTTCACATGGTAAAAATTCTATGTGTGTTAAATCCAAAATTCTGTGAAACATTGTTCTTTCTATGGCACCTAAAACATTATGACTTCAAAGGTTAGCTTCTGGCCCAAATGTAAATATCAAACCTTTCTATGTATAGGCTTTAGAAAAGGATAAATGTAGACAAAAAGAAGATTTTGATGTGAAAAATGTGACTATTTTGTTTATTTTTTGAAGAACAAACATATGGCCATGGAGGAAAAGTAGTTCCTCTTGACCGTTGCTAGTTATCATTGACATAACAAATATACAATTTTGTCTTACGTTGCAAAAAAGGCTAACCAAATTTAAAAAAAAAAAATTTCAGTGTGATATGAGAAATATTTCTTCATGTCAGAAATAGATAACAGGCCACAACCATAAGAGAAAGATTTATAATTATTTCTATCACATGCCTTGAACAATTTTGTGGTAATAACACAAAGAGGCATGTTTGAGTGGAATGGAGGCTAGGAAACTTCTGATTAGGATAAGTACCTCAACTTTAGCATCCTCTCTGGCTGTCATGATGTTATGTACATCCATCTCATATTCCAGGTCTTTACAACGTTTTGTAATATTCTCATCGTTAGGATTCTCCAGGTGTTGAAGGTACAGGTGTTTGTAATCTTTAAATTGTTGTCTTTAAAAAGAAATTTTGTCAGTATCATTCAAAAATGCTGACATGTAACAAAATTTGACCAAAACTGATTATTATTGATAAATTTGTGATCTGTAATTTAAGCAAAGCAAAATTAAGGCCATCAACTTTTATTTTGTCTCTGGAAAATAACTTAGTTATTTGTTTATTTCTTTTAACTTGTTTTATACATGCATCAATTAAAGGACTCATTGTACTATTGGAACAGATTTCTTTGGGCAGCTGAACTTTCTTAGTTAAATTCTCAGCATTTTGATAAATTTTTTAATATTTAATAATTTTATAATTTTAAAGCTATAAAATATTCTGATTAACTGAATAATTGGTGGTTACTTTAATGTCGTGTGAGAATAATCAAATGCATATTGGCATATTACCATACTATATTATATACCTATAAACAACAATTTTTGGCCAGGAGAAGGGTCTGATTCTTTCCTGTAGTACCGATTGGTAGGCATATTTCCACCATGATTTGGCATTGCTGACAGGACGTACATTTGGATTTGGACGGTATTTTCTGTATTTCATATTAACCCTTAGTCTATCCACTGCATCAAACCATTTCAGCATACTAATATACTATAATTATATTGAACAAATTAAATAGAAGATAATTGAGATAAAACTTGGAGACTTCTTATTTTTGCTGAAAGGTGTGAGAACTTCAAGTAACTATGAAGATGAAGTACAGCAATGAAGCTACCTGTACAATATGCTATGAAAGTAAGTTTACTGTACACCAACTTACTTTCACAGATACGTTTTTCCTGCTTAGCACTTTCTAGGCAACTGCACTGTCATTTTATTTTAAGATTTCTAAATTTGTTGATGAATTTATATACAGTGATATATGAGAAGATACAAGTATAACATAATTGGGACAAATTTATATTTATATTTTTTTTCAACTTTCAAAATATGGTTAATAATTCTAATTCGTTCGCATTAAATAAGTCTGTTTACAGCATCATAATGGTAACAAGATAACTATATAATTTTTCAAGTAATACAGCCTGCTTGAAAATTCAATTATAAAATATATCTGTTGTCATTTCATGTAATTGGTAATAAAACTTCCATACCTGTCTCCTGGACAAGTAACAATCAATACATTTACATGATTCAGGGGGAGAGAACTGGATGTAAAGTTTTGGCATCTGTAAATCATCTGTGTTGTTCATTATAATCTTTGCCTCAACTGATACTGGCTTTAAAACTAAAAAGAAAGAGGATGCTCTTTTCAAGAAAAATGAAAATAAGTTGATTCATTTAATATCTTTTTACACAAAATAATGGTTTTGGTATGAAATGAATGACCCCTTCATTTAATAAGATGGGGACTTGGGCCCCTTCTGGCATCACAGGCACATCAGTATGCCAGCCTGTATATCTTTATAGGCTATATTCCAAAAATCTTCTAAACACCTGTATGAATCATACACAAAAAAGGCCCAGGCAAAGTTGTTGTATAACTAAATGCCACAAGTAAACAAAGTCCACTAGTAAATGAATTTTGATCTGAACAGCTCTTCAAAGACTGAACAATATATCATTAAGTCATTGTCAGTCTTTTAGTGGATTTTAAGACTATAACACTGCATTTAATTCAGTACTGTTTAAACAATTCGCTTGCAGTCAAATCAGATCTGTTTAGTCTATGATAAGACTTTTTAGTAGTTGTTATTTATCTGTTCACATCAACATCATATTGAATTGTCTAAAAAGTTACTGAACAGTACTGAATTGACTGCCAAGTGAAATGAGAATATCTTTGAAGTATCTGATGCATCAACATTTCCAATCAAAACAATTGAACATTAAAGGCTTCTCTGAACTGGCAATAGGCAATGTTTAAAATTTAAACACACTTTCTGGACTTTGTTTTAATATAAAGCCTAATTTTAATTACAACTTTATTTTCAAAAATACAGGCTGTAATATAGTGGTTGTTGTTTGTTGCTGTATATCATATTTGTTTTAGTTTCTTGTTTTGTGCATAAATCAAGCTGTTGCTACTACATTTGTCATGTCAGTAAGGGCATTTTATAGCTTGCTATATATGCAGTATGGGATTTGCTCATTGTTGAAGGTGGTGAATCTCTGGTGGATAGTTGTCTCATTGGCAATCATACCACATCTTCTTATTTTAATATTCCAATAAAAATCATTATCACTAATATAAGTAATTTACATGTATGTAAAGAATAATCTCTAATCCCCTGTGTTGTACTTACTGTGCTCAAATTCTTCATCTCTTATCCTGTTTGTACTGACAGCCATCTTTAGTAAATCCTAAAGAATATGAAATAAACTATTCAGAAGGATAAATAGGATTTGAATTTACTGAGCATCTTATATTATTTTGACAAATAATCAAACTGATTAATGGATCAAACAATTATTGTTTGCTTAACATCAAGTGGAGAGTATGTCATACATATTCAGTATCTAACTTGTTTAGAATGTGATAAAAAAGAAGTTCTATTTCAGAAACAGATAAAACTTTACCATTTTCACAGCAAAAGCTTGTTTAGATGCATATGGTTACAAAAGGTTTAAAAACAATGTTTGTTGTTTGTTGATCAGCTTTCCTACTCTAAAAATATTTATTTTTAACAACTATCACTTTTTTTAAAATGCTCTTGTAACAATTAAATAAAATTGGATAAATTCATTAAAACATCATCATTTCTTTGCTGTAAATGTCATAAACTTTACTTTACTATGAACATTCTAGTTTGAATTGTTAGCTTAATCACAAAGTCAAGTGGAAAATCTTGGTCAAATACAAATATATAATTTTCATTTTTCATATTAATCATTGAAGTAAATATATTTGCAAGGTGTAAATGATCCTGTACCTTCCATTTTCCACTTTTGATCCTTTCTGGTTTTCCAACTAAGTCTAAATCCTTCACACAATGATTCCAGTATAGAGATAAATTTGTCAGTTTTCCAAGCTGAAATAAATGGTAAGTAATTATCAAGTAGGAAGCATACAGAGATCTTACATAACAGGAGATTGTTAAAGCTGTATGTTTACCTCTAAATGCATGTCTTTGTATTGTTAGAGTCTTGTCTCACAAATACTTTTATTCTTATGCAACAAATATTATTAATATTAAAAAGTCATTTTATACTGTGTTTTTATAGTTTCTTGTTTAGCTACAATATTTCTCTTTTACTCACTTCACTACTGATATTAAGTCTCTACAGGTATTTGACTAGGTTTCATCCTTCTTTTTTTTTTCCTCCTATTTCTTTTTTTCTTTTTGTAAATTTCTCATTTGTCATAGATTTATATACATATTTCATAGTCAACAGAAGTAGCAATTGGTGGATGTGGGTTGGTATACTACCAAAATCAGATACAAACAGTCAAAAGTACCATCTGGTTGACTATGGTTGGGGAGGAATGTAAGAACCTGAGTCAACCAATCACAAACAATCAAAATAGAAGTTTGTTCTTACCTTATGAAGAAGTGTAGCTTGACTGTCCAGTTCTGTTTCTTGCCAGTTTTTGTCTGTAGTATGAACTGTAAATTGGTTTAGTATTCCACCCATGGCAAAGGAATAGTCTCCGTGTGTAATAGAATCCTCGTACCTCACGTGAATGTTGCTGACGGTGATCTAAATAACGAGGAAATATCACTAGATGCTCAATATGCATACTCCTCATCAATATTCTCCATTGTACACAAAACTTCATGCTTACTTTTCTATAAAACCCCTTACAAACTTAATTTTATTTTTTTCACAACAGCTTTTTCTTGTTTTTACATGTACAATGTATTTTGATAAAATAGTTGGAAAAAGAAAGAGGTGTGTTGGATGTACATATTTCTCCAGTAGAAATATCAAGGTCTGAAAACCAAAAAAAATATACTGTGTAAACTCAATGATTGTCTTTGGCTTTTGGCGTCAATGGTTGGCTGTCTAATTGACTAATACTCCACATCATCATGTATTACCTTAAAAATGTGTAAAGGGTTCCATGGAAATCTGTTGCTACTTTCGGTATTAAAGTGTATTGTTGACTGATAAAAACTAGGTTCATTTATCAGTAAAAAACAGAAAATCTTTTTAAAAAATTAATTTCTTTCTACAGATGCTATTCATTTTCAAAATTTTGCTCTGTACATTGCCTTTGATCATTAATAAATGGAGAATGTGTCCATGGGCCACAGATGCCCCTGCTTGTAAATATGCATAAGTCAACTTCCACATACGAATGCAGAATTCACGTAGCTAAGACCGTTTTGTGATTATAAGCATAAGTTTCATAACATTTGGTTGAGGTAAACTAAAGTTAGAGAACGGAAACGACAGATTTAGCATTTTTTTTATTTATAAAGGGGCATAACTCAAGAACGGTAAAAGTGACGCCTTTAAATTTCAACTTGATCTGTGTTTTGTGGTAATAAGCATTGTATTTAAGTTTTATATAACATTTGGTTGAGGACAAACTAAAGTAAGAGAAACGGAAACGAAAGATTCAGCAATATTTATGTTTATAAAGGGGCAAAACTCATGAACGGTAAAAGTGACGCCACCCAATTTCGAACTTGATCTGTGTTTTGTGGTAAAAAGCATTGTGTATAAGTTTTATAACATTTACTTGAGGCAGACTAAAGTTAGAGAATGGAAACGAAAAATTCAGCAATTTTTATGTTTATAAAGGGGCATAACTTATGAACGGTAAAAGTGACGCCACCCAATTTCGACTTTGATCTGTGTTTTGTGGTAATAAGCATTATGTATAAGTTTTATAACATTTGGTTGAGGCAAACTAAAGTTAAAGAACAGAAACCAATTTTCAGAAAGGACAGATGGGACGGACGGACATGATGGACGACAAGGGTAACACTTAATCCCATCCGCTTTGGCAGGGGTATAAAAAAGCTTTTGTCCAAATTTTGTAAACTTTTATGAAGGTTTGACTGAACTTAAATGCTGAATGTAGGATCATTGAAGACCCATTGGTGGCCTTCGGCTGTTGTCTGCTCTATGGTCGGGTTGTTGTCTCTTTGACACATTCCCCATTTCCATTCTCAATTTTATCACTATAGCTTGCTACCATGACAAAATGTTGCAGGCTTGACTACAAATGGTTGAATCTTCCAACGAAGAAGTGTATTGCCTACCATCTCCGGATAATATAAGCAGAAACAGGTAAGTTCATTTTTTGATCCTGAAAAACTAAAAAAAATCACACGGGTAAAAAATAAAGGTACATGACCTCATGTTCTGAAGACAAATCTGTTTAAGGAGTTGGTTGAACTCTGTGAAGAAATTTTCAAGGGGTCACCGATTAGTGACCAAGAACAAGCAGATGACAATGACGATGAGTTTGAGTTCACATTTACTATTAAAGATACAGTGTAACAAGGTCATAACATGTATAATGTACTTATAACTGACTTAATTACCGTAATGTTATTGAGAACGTATTTCCAAATCTTCTCAAATAACCCTGGGTTCTTCTCTGCTTGGCTGGCTGTAAAATACAAACCAAATTAAGAATTGAGACACTAAAGGTCTTTTAAATGAAAACCAATATAATTATTTAAAAATAAGAAGTCTACTTGTTGAGTATTCACAAATCAATTTCTCATATTCTTCAACTTGGGAAGTGGAGTAATGGCATGGAGTAAAACATCCATTTAAGTAAGTAAATTCATTAACATTCAGAATTAAATAATCTATAAAATTCAAAGAAAACAAATATATCTAGCTTATATAGAAAATATTGTCTGACACTCTCACTTGTCTGAGTTTAGTTTTTACATTTGTGATGAGGTCCTCTCTGTAAAGTTATTACAAATCAACTTTCTGATAGGTTGTATCTGTAAATGTATTACTAACCAACTTTCTGATAGGCTGTCTCCTCAAATGACCGTAGTTTAGCTTGTTTGATTGCATGGCTGAGGTCCTCATCTTTCTTTTTGTCATAAGGTCTGTCTGCCACTGGTCCAGCTATGATATATAGTCCACTTAATTCTAAAGTGACCTCTGTGCTGGTCCCTAACAGGTTCGACCATGGTATGGCAATCTTTACATATTCTGAAATTAAAGTAACACTAAATACAATTTACAATTCCTGAGTGTCAAAAAAAGAGCATGAGAACTGGAAGTAAAACCGAGCATGGACAGGTTCTTGTAAGCTAAACATTGACACAATACCTGTATATACTTACCTTGAGTTGTTTTTTATGAATAAATTACACCAGTTGACCCAAGGTCAATCAGCGTAAACGACATCATCCAACAACAGGTCTTTCTGCGACATAAGATAACCATTGTGACATAGGAAATAACATGAATTTGAAAGTAGTCTATTTCAATCAAATTGCCATCCTTTTAACAATTTTTTGGATATTTCTCTATTTCAAACCATGCCATCCTTTTTCTTAACAATTTTGGTATTTCTCTCTATGTTATAAATCATACTATCCCATAGATATAGCAATTTTGGATATTCTTTATTTTAATCTTTTCCTAGATGACACTTTATAAATTGTTAGTTTTTTTTCATTTAAATACTGGTAAGTTATAAATATAAAACTGGGATGGGAAGATGAACTTATACTCATTATGGATATACTTTATCATCTAAAATACTACAAGGCATTAGTTAGATTCTGCTGTAGCAAACAAATAAGTTATCAGATATACATGTACTATGTAATATTTGTTTATTTTTTTTCAAGTGCATTTATTGTTTATGATAAATTATAGATAAAAATGCACATATACCAGCTGATACTTTTAATTACCACATGATGTCAACAAGCTGTTATTTGTGTCAGGCCTCTTATTTTAAAAATTTTTAGTTTAATATAGTTTTGGTATTGATTAACAATTAATCTTACTTATCTGCATGGTAAATTTTAAAAGTAGAAAACAAACTTCTAAATGAAATAAAAGGGTACCAATAAACTTCTAACTGAACATGTAATTACAATAATTGTTATTATTATATAATTATATTAAGCTCCCAGTCTCAGAATAAGAACAAATATGTCAGTGTATGAATCCAAGACAAAAGTCTAATAATTGTACCAGGTGCTAATATTTGCTAACATCTGTTACCTAACAGACCCATTAATATCTGAGTGTTCAGTTTCCGTTACTTTTAATTCATATTCACAAAGCCACCATTATTTAATGCACCTGTTAACATCTCCATTAAACTAAGATATATATATATCATGTATATCATAAATACTGTTTGTCATGAGAGATTTTAAATATTTTAACTTCTTTTAAAGTATATATTTTGGAAAGTATTGACATAAAATTCTGAATTTGCATACAATTGACAATTTTTCCAGTTTCCTGTTTTCAGATATTTCATGATAAATATCTTAGTTTTTGACTCAACATAGTAATTTCTGGTCATTCAATTTTGTCAGTTTCCTTTTAAGCTTCAAGTAGAGTTACCTTTTTCTGATTGTTTAGGGTTTCCTATTTTCAGAGAATTTATGATAAAATGTTAGATTTTGCCTAAAAACAGATTTCTGATCATGAAATTTTTGTCGGTGTCCTTACACAATCCTGTTTGTGATGTTTAAAATAGAATTACATTGTAACAAAGATATTGCTCCATTATCAACATATATATTTAAAGGAGTAGGTCCAGTAAGACCCCATTTTGGCCCGAAAATATAGCAGTTTTACAAAATTGTTAAAATGTAAACTTTTAGTTATTTATTGGAAAGAAGAATGCGTCTGCTACGTAAATATGGGCTGTTTTTTGAAAATACAATGCCCAAAGCATCGGGATATCGGGAACTAGCATCATTAATTCGTGCAAAGTTACTGAAATCTTCACAATTTTAACATTTTAGTTAAATTTTAGACGGTTTTCGTCTTAAATGAAAGTGGCCGCATTTGTGTTCATTCTTAATATTGAAATGTAAGTTGTATTTGATGATAATACATAACATATATAAAGGTTGAGGATGAACACGGATGCGGCCACTTTTATTTTTGACAAAAACCATCTGAAAAGTGACATTTTTTGGCATATTTGATAGATTTTTCATATTTAAGCTAGAATCGGAGCGTTTTTAATGACTTAATCAGTTAAAATCTTTCACATGAACTAATTGAATCAACTGAATAAGACACTTGAGTGTTTAAAAAGTGTCCAAAATCTTTCGTCAGATGAACCTGAAATTTGAGGCCAAAATCGGCCCTTACCGGACCTACTCCTTTCCCCGATTTCACTGATTTTTTTTTTTGGTCATTTTTATTAAAAATGTTGATAATTTAACCCAAAATTATCAATTTCCACTATTATGAACTTGGTAGACTTTTAAATTAACATCCAATATGATGACATACAAGAACAATCATGTATCTGTTGATATTTTAGTGATCTTTAATACTAATTTCCCAAGAAATCCTCTTTACCAATTAAAGATAAAAAAGATAAATTATGAATCATGTAAAAAAAAAATTTCATCACACTATGTTTTGAATATATTAGTTCTTTAATTACATTTTTAGGTATGGGACTCCCTTTCCCAATTACAAATCCAGGATCATTGCAGACTGCACTTGAGTTCTATCCTGATAACATTTATATATATAACATTACAGCATGTTACAGAGACAATTTAAAACATCACTATTGCATGGAACAAATTAAAAACAAATCTGCATTCTAATAAATTTGCATGGTATAAAACTGTAATAACTCGGGCATATTTAATATAACAGCTCAATCTGTTCCCACGTGAGACTACAATGAACACTGCAGTAATACAACTGCTTCTAATACCATGAATACAACATCAATATATATATACCAAAATGATTGGAAAATCTATAAATCTGTCATAGATTTATCAGATTACAGGAAGTTCTGGCTCCTAGTGATTTTATAACTTTTTTCATTACTTCAATGTACTTGTCAAATTACAATAATAAATATTCATATGCAAGGATTAACTTTTACCACTTTAGTTTTATTTTTAATGGCATTATTTTAAAATGATGTTTTTTTGTAAATTTATATAAAATATTTAATGTAAAGATTTTTTCTCAATTTAAAAAAAATAATAATTCTATTGTAATCAAATTTAAATATGATACCAAAAATAAAGTAAAATGATAACATTTAAATAGAATTACAATGAAGCTTCCTTTACCCTAGGAGAACATTTGCTTAGGGTAATACATTATATTAGAGAGCCTGGCACTCTGAAATCATAATTTTAAAAAGAGACATTTTACAATCAAATTAAAAAGGTTTTTAACTAAATTATAGGTAGAGTCTTAAAAAAAAATACATTTCAAGACTGCACAAAAGAATGAATTAAATTTGACCTGTTGTAAATTAAAAGGCATCATTTGTGTTTATTCAAATTCCCTGAACTACAAGTTAAGTTAAGTTGATATATCAAGAATTTACAAATTAAATTTGAGAGTCTAAGGTAATACTGAATAATCCAGAACCCACTGTTGGTAACATCAGACACCAAAAGGTTAATGTTCTTTGGACATGTTGGAGGATGCCGCTGTACCAAGTCAGGAATATGACAGTTGTTTTTCACTCATTATGTTGGTTGATTACATGTGATTTCATCAGTTTATATGGACTTCCCCTTTTTGAATATATATTAGAATTTCGGTATTTTTGCTATTTTCTTTTATAAAGTGTTAAATTAAATGGTGGAGTCAATGATAGTATTGATCTATTTATAGACTGGTTGAGAAAGTTTACTTGGCTTGGGAGATATAAATGACAATCAGACCATTTAATTCTTTTGGCCTGAAAAAGAGATTCTATGAATTTATCTGGCATCAAAATTAAATCATGGATGAGAATATGCATGGTATTTACTTTGTTTATTGGTATGGAGAAAAATAAAAATAATTTTATCTCACAAGCTTAAGGCATGGAATTAAGTGTGCATGCATATGCTCAATTAATGCATAGCCAAGGAAAAACAAGCCAGTTCCATAAGATTTCCCTTGCTAGTAAGTCTACTAAAGTAGAGAATTTACTTTACTACTTGGCCTAACCAGTTTGGTGTTATCAATGTTGTTTTCTCTTGATCTTCTACAATGATTACTAATACAAGGTTCAATATCCTTGTTCCTAGACAATGCTAGACAAGAATGTACATTTTGTGTTTCTGGCCTAACAAAGATTTGACTGTAGTAATGGCTAGGTTTAGGCTAGGTTTAGAATGTACATTTTGTGTTTCTTGCCTAACAAAGATTTGACTGTAGTAATGGCTATAGGTTTAGAATGTACATTTTGTGTTTCTGGCCTAACAAAGATTTGACTGTAGTAATGGCTAGGTTTAGGCTAGGTGTAGAATGTACATTTTGTGTTTCTGGCCTAACAAAGATTTGACTGTAGTAATGGCTAGGTTTAGAATGTACATTTTGTGTTTCTGGCCTAACAAAGATTTGACTGTAGTAATGGCTAGGTTTAGAATGTACATTTTGTGTTTCTGGCCTAACAAAGATTTGACTGTAGTAATGGCTAGGTTTAGAATGTACATTTTGTGTTTCTGGTCTAACAAAGACTTGACTGTAGTAATGGCTAGGTTTAGAATGTACATTTTGTGTTTCTGGCCTAACAAAGATTTGACTGTAGTAATGGCTAGGTTTAGAATGTACATTTTGTGTTTCTGGCCTAACAAAGATTTGACTGTTGTAATGGCTAGGTTTAGAATGTACATTTTGTGTTTCTGGCCTAACAAAGATTTGACTGTTGTATTGATTATATTATTTTTTATAACACTAATGAAATATCATGTCCTTGATTTTCTATCATTATAATTCAGGCTAATAGTTTTGTCAATAACAATTTTATAAATGAACTATTTGACATTACTTTTATGATTAACTTAGGGCAATTAAATGCTGAAGTCATCACTTTTTTGATGATTCAATCATTCAATGCAATGGTCTGTCCATACTTCTAATCATAAAGCTAATTCAATTGTCCTTTGTATGAATAAACGTGAATGTGAACAGTGTGGTGTATACAACATTAAAACAGCAACCCATCAAACAAAATGAAAAAATCAAAAGACATCTGGAGGTCAACTTACAGACCCAAAAATAGACATGTGTCAATACAATATATCAAGCTCTAAACTGAACATCAGTCTAGAAACAAAATTAATGTTTAAATTAACTTCTTCTCAGGAATATCAATAATTTTGACATCAAAATCAAATTTCCTAAATGACATAAACCATTGAGATAAAAGTAAAGACAACCACTTACAATGTTTCTGATTTGGAACAATTACATTAGGTAGCAAACAATTAGTTTTTATAGAGTCAATTATCTTGCTCATTTAACATTTAAGGAAAGAAATTAATTAAGTCTCAAATTAGAATACGTACCATATTAAAATACAGAGTTATAAAGTGATTTATTAAACAGGGAAATCATTGCTAAAACAAAGATCACTCTGACTGATAGAAAATACCTTTATATTTTAATCAATAAAAAGATGAATACTCAAGCTAATCCAAATGACAGATGTTAGCAAAGGTAACCTATACTGATTCATGCAGGTAATTATTTTGGTCTTAATTCATACTAAAGGTTTTTGTTTTCATGCTTCACCCATTTAAAGAATATCAATTAGATCTAGATCTATAGATAAGGTTCATTTTAGGAAAGCAATTCCTTTGAATCAGACTAACTGCCATTATATATCTATTTGTCATAATTTGTCATTTCTGAGACCATTGTTATTTATGATATATATACAATCAATTCCCAGGATACTGACAAAACCTTTCACCAGATGATCATGTCTGTAATGGTAAAAGAACAAGATAGGTTAATTGTGTTAAGCAAAAATAGATTAACAGAGAAATTTATCCTTTCTGGACATTTCTGCTCACCACATGTTGGAGTGTATTCGGGTATTTAGGATGGTGTTTTTGAGAATTACATATTTTTTCAAATCCTTAAAAACTAAAGACCACATGGACTGGCTACTTACCAACTTGTCCTGCCTTGACTTCTAGAGGGAATTCTTTACCTAGCTGTAAAAGAGAGGAAACAGATATCAAACGGATAGTCATATTCATTATAATAATCAAATAATAAATAAATAATTGTGATATGGTAATAAAACAAAGGTGATAAGTACTGCTAAAACCTTCATGTACTTAATTCTAATATATATAAGTACTTAATATTATGTTTTTTCATCATTTTCAGAAAAGAAATCATCATACCTTTAAGGGCAGACTTTTTCAAATTTTCAAAATCCAAGGAATAAGTCAGTAAATTCTTAAACAGACCAATATTGTCTCTTGACCTGCATTCTACATCACTTAAGGTGGAACATTGGTATATATTTCTTCATATAGAATTTCACATACTTTGCCAGAATCCAGATTTTTCCATGCTTTTTTCAAAAATATAATAAAAACTATGAGTCATTGTTATATTTTTCAGGCTACAAGTCGTGCAAAATTCCCCAAATTTGCATAGATTGTTCATTAAAAAACACTTTTTTTGTGAATAAACAGAAATCTATGAGATAGAATTTTGAAATAAAATATGAGAAGATAGGTTTTAAAATATGCTTTAAGAAAATAAAAAGAAAAAATGGTGTCACCGACCTTGTTTTCTTGCTACAAGTAAAAATTGAAAATTTCTCTTTCATTCCTTTATAAAAAATTTACTATTTGAGTTATTTCCCTTAAATGGTGAAGTTGAAAAATTGCATCGGACAATAAAAAATATTCAGTATTAGTTAAAAGAATTCAAATAATGCAATAAATCACTTATTTCTCTTTATCTAAACTAACAGACTTACACATTAATTGACAATATGACTAAAGTATTTGCAGATTAAGGCAAAGAACTAGACCTATTGTGAACTGCTATTCTATAATCCAAAATGGCAGTATATACAGTTAATCTACGTTAAAACCACCTTCACTGTCATAAAGACTGGAAAAGTGTAAGAGTTTTCAAAACACACAAAATGCTTGAATAAGGTGATTCCCTGGCAAAATTCTCAGACTTAACTGTTTTTATCTTTATAGCACTGAAACCAGGTATAACTTATTATCCCAAGAATTGTATATTGTGTTTATAAGGTCAACATCTTAAATCTGTGTGCAATCATTTATTGTGCAAAGTTTGAAAACTGTTGATGGAAACCTGGTTTAGTAAGGGATGACAAAAACTAAGTACCCTCCAAGTATTTCCAACGGAATGATAAACAGAATAATAGACAAAGTAGACTGGTTATTAGACCTTTTCTCATCTCTAGCAATGTAGGAACTACCCTACTGAAAATGTAAAGTGGGATTTCACTGAAAATACCAGTGGAGTTCCATCAGAGTTCCATTGGAATACCACTGTATTACCACTGGGAAATTTGGTCGGGATTTTCATTGGACATTCATTGTTTTCCATTGGGATATCAGTGGAATATCCAGTGGGATTCCGGTGAATACTCGAGTGGAATACAGTGGAAATTCCATTGGAATACCAGTGAAAACTTCGTTGGAATACCATTGTTTTCCCACTGGACATTTATTGTTTTCAACTGGGATACCAGTGGTAATTCCATTGGAAATTGTAACAATCAACCAAAGAAAACCAGTGATATTTCAATGGAAATTGACAATTCCACTGAAATGTTAGATATCATTTTGCATGCACTGCTTATTTTTGAATGAATTAAAAATAAAACTTGAAATAAGACAATAACCATTTTAATGCAAGTCAACAATTAAAGAAATTACAACAGTTTATACATTATCCACATTTAAGACCTTTTAAACGAAAAGATCAACCTCTTTAAAATATTAATGTTGATAAATTATCATTTTTTAGTCAAAGATGTATTTACTTAATTGTACATGTAAATAATTTTTCTGGTTAAATCATTCATAAGTCCGTGGTAACTTTTGGTCCTCTTGAAATCTTTCACAAATGGTTTTAATTTTCAATTTTACAAATTTGTTTATTGTGCATTAAACAAACAAAAATGTCCAGTTTACATGCATATGAAATACTTTGTCAGTTTTCTTCATCATCCATTGATATTATTCATGAATTAAGTCCAAAGTTTCTGCATTCCAATCCTGTTCCATTAAGTCTTCATTGATTAATCTGAAAGAAAAAAAATCATACATCATAACATGCATAGAATTTTGAATTAAAATAATATTACAATACCATGCTCCAGTCTGCAATTATTCAAAAATATATGTTACTGGCATATTTTTTGTTTGTTTGTTTAATTTATTCACAACATTTATACACTAAGAGCAATTTAGACACATGTATGTCTATTGTTGAAGACTATGTGTTCTCTAGATATCTTTGGCTATAGTTGTTGGGTTGCTGTCTCTTAGACTTATAACACACATCTCTTTTTATCAAAATAGACTTTTATAGTTCATGGATCAGGTGTCTATCAGAAGCCAAATAAAATAGTATGTGTGGTTCCAGTTACATTTAAGGTAGGTAGGTAAGGATTTTTTTTATTTTATGGCTTTTTTTTTACATTGAGTCTATGGGAGCAACATTCTGACTTAAACAGTGCTTACTAAAAAATGACAAAAAAATCTTTAGGATAGGCTATTGTTAAGAATAAAAATAAGGTAGGTAAGGTAATTGGAACCACACATACATGTATATTTTTATTTAGCCTCATATTATCTTTCCCTTTGTGTTGTGTTTGTTGTTGGTTTACTATCTGGTTGAAGCATACCAGACACCTCATTTTATTCACATAATAGCCATGATTAACCATTGTGCATGATGATCAGATCAATGTTTTTGGGATGTGTTTACAGCTTATAGATGTGAATGATTAATGTATTTTTATTTCAAGTGTGGGAAGGATGAAAAAATAATTCAATAAGTACCTTTCAATAATCTTATGCTCAAATTTCTTTTCTGCTGCTGGATCGTTTGTTTTCATCATGTTTTCATATTATTGAGTAGATATTGATCGATGCACAGTCATCATTTTTGCAGCTTTGTACCTTCACCATGATCAATCCCTTTTAATATATGGACAACCTAAAAAAAAATGTAAAAACATTTTATTAATTATTTTTAATTCTGGGTCATGACCTGTATGCATCATATATTACTGATATTTATCATACAATGTACATATATAATTAAGAAGCTTCTTTCATTAAGTATAAAGATTCTAAAACACAATATTAACCTTTAGGGATTTTTTGTGTTGCATGTCTATCCAAATCAGAACATGACAAAATTAAGTTGAATGTGCCGGACATTGTGTAGTAAACACCTCATTTTATTCACATGTATTTGAATATTGAATAATAAAATTATTATTACATTCCCACCTCCCCCTTTTCAGAACACCAAACGGTCATCCTCAAAGTGTGAACTAACGGAGCCCATGAATGAAACTAAAGGGGGTGTATATCTTTTTTTTAATTTTAATTAAAAATATTCATGATGTAAAAATCAAATGTAAAATCTCTTTAAAATTACCCTGTATCTGCTGTACGTCTGCCCTACATCAGCACATCGTCTCATCGTAAATTCTTGGTTCAACAGCTAATGCCATGCCTAAATGTTCTGCCTTTAATGTCTATTTCTTTATTTATCGAAGGTTGTTGAGTATTAATAATTATTAACATGATTAATGTAACCACAGCTGGACAGGATACATACTCGTACAATATTTTTAGTTTCAAATTTGAACACATTCCGTGTATTAATGATAACGACGATCTGATTGGCCGATCGGAAATCCCGGAAATTGAGTTATCCAATCAAATCAGCGGTTATATTTATAGTCTGGTAGAAAAAAATGGCAGCCTCCATGAATGTAAACATGTGTGTTGAAAAACAACATTATAGACTACAGTTTCACGAATTTTCTGCTCAAAATTATGCCAAAACACTGACATTTAGCGTACAATTGATTGGAGCGGATTATATGTGAAATGTTTCTATAGATTAACTTATATGACCCGAGTTCCAGTGCCGAGTTCAGAACATGAAAATGATGAAAAATTCAGGTATCGGGTCCGTTCGCGCCCAATACACGTTCGCACCCTACACGTTCGCACCCCACACGTTCGCCCCCTGGGTCCGTTCGCACCCTTTTTTATAGCAATACACTAACCAACACACGATTAAAAAGATATTCAACACAAAAAACGTCACTTTATTTTGCATGTTTTGAAACAATTAATGAAAAAAAAACTTATTTATAGCAATACAATAACCAAAACACGATTAAAAAATTATTCAACACAAAAATCGTTTTTAGAAAGTCACTTCATTTTAAAACAATTAACAAAAAAAATATTTATAGCAATATACTAACCAAAATACGATTGAAAAATTATTTAAGGCAAAATCAATAAAAAGGGTGCGAACGTGTAGGGTGCGAACGGACCCGGGGTGCGAACGTGAAAGGGGGCGAACGTGAATGGGCGCGAACGGACCCGGATTCAAAAATTCATCACACCGACAAAGTTAAGATATCGAAACAGTTTATAGAACAATGTGGAAAATGAAAGCCGTTCACTTTATTTTTCTCAAAAGAACAGTAGACCAGTAACAGTTAATGAACATGATGAAGTCAAAGGAGAAATAATTATATTATTGTATACATGTAGACTGTAGTGCAGGGCAGTTGCCAGTACGGTCACTTGAAGAAAAAAACGGAGTTATCCTAACAATTCGTACAGACTGAGGATAATTTCTGCAACAGATCTGTTTAAAAACAGCCCTTTTAAGAGCCATGCACATTTTTCAAAAAGAATCTTAATTGTTTTTGTTCGTTAAATCAAACAGAATCTTATTCTCAACCCAATTTGATATAAAATATTCATTTATTTATTTATATTATTGCACATTTAATTTTATTTCTTAATAGTTTAATTTTATGCGTTAAAATGTATCCTTTCAATGTGTCATACTCATAGGCTATATGGTGATGCATTATATTCACCCTACATCTGAGGAGCTACCATTTTATTTAAAGTAAAATGGTAGCTCCTCAGATGTAGAGTGAATATAATAATATTTTGTATATATGTAGGTTTATGAAATATTCATTACATCCCATATATTATCATGATTATAATATTTAATTTCTTATCAGGCCAGCAAATTATATGTTACAAATTAAATCCTTTATATAATAATCATGCACTTAATTATTTGAAGAATTTGAATTAGAAGTAAACATTGTTTTACATGGTATATATTCCTTTAAATTTCTAAGTCCAAAATTCCACTGGAATATTTGCATTAAATCAAAACTCCACTGAAATATAAACAATAATATTCCACTGGAAATTTATTGGAAAATCTTTGGAAGTTTCATTGGAAATTTCACTGATTTTCCATTGGAATTACAGTGTGAAAAATATTCCAGATGTTTTGGATGAAATTCTAATGGGATTCCATTGGAATATTTTTTTCCACTGAATACCAGTGTAATTTCACTGGAAATCCAGTGGAATCCCGTACTCATTTTCAGTAGGGTAATCAAATTCAAATACCAAATGGATTCAAAATTATACTTTTACAGATCTATCTATCATCTGAGAAAAGAATAGGATAGGATATTATGTAATGTTTATCGACAATTAAACTTTGGAATCATGCAAATATAGTTTTAATTTAATATTACTTCAATATGTAGAAAATATGTTCCATATTTTGGGCATGTTTTACATATATATCACATCCTGTTGTTATATTCACATATATATCTCAATCAGCTAATAAGTTAGTCCATTTGAAAAATATACCTATGTAACAAAAGAACTGTGTTGATTGCAAAAAGAAAAGATTTTTTTTTTTTCTGAGGAATCATCTTAATTTTTATCAATTAAATACTACTATACCTGTAAAGTCAGTAGTTCAACCTGAAAAAGACAACAATCATAAAATAAATTGATCAATATAACAAATTCAATTTTTCCAACTGATATATACAAAATATAAATGTAAACTCTGTATACTTTGGATTCAGGTATTTTTCGTTTATTTATATGACCGTACCAATTTTCGTGGATTCAGAAAAAATTGAATTTTCATGGATATTTGATTTTGTGGTTTTGCAAAAGTTTGCATACAAGCCTAAGGGAAATTTATACTTCTTCGAACATTGAAATATTTGAAATTCACCTATACTCATGAAATCCATGAAAATTGGTATCCCACTAAAAAGTAATATAAACGAATCCACAGTACTCTAACAAAATTTATAGATCCCTAATACAAAGAGTATAATCCCCCTTCACAACCAGTGAGGGATTCATTGATTCAGGAGTTGTTAATTGGAAGATGCTGCTTGACAAGTAGACCTGAACGGGCCAATATTACTGTACTTTAATACTAGGTATAGTCATAACCACATCATCAGATCACTGAATAGAAATTACAACGACAATTATCTTTGAAATCAAATATTTTTTCCAGTAATGCTTTACTGTCATTTCAACTTGTGCACTTCATTATCTGTTTCAATTAACCCAATTTAAGATTCAATTAAGACTGATTTTATAGTGCTACCTCTAACATCTACCATTAAATTAAAGATCCTTTGAGGTAAATGAAAAGCTTGATGACTTTGGATATTTATCAAAAATCATTATGATAAGCAACAGATCAAGCCAAAATTGATTCAAGTGGCAGATTAATTTCAGACCAATACAATATTAACAAATTCATCTACATTTGACCTGTTATTACTGACCAATAAACATATTTACACTTTTGGTATCTAGCTGAATTTTGTCTCCGAATGACCTTAGATCTGTCTCCGAATAACCTTCTGACGTCAAGCAACAATCACTTTTTAATTATGACATCAAATGTTTTTAAATTATGATGTCAGATTTTGCGGGAACTTGTGTGATTTTAAGTAATGGTGGACAAATTTGCATACAAATGTAAATACGTCTATTAAAGTTATCACTTTCAGCCTTAGAACATCTGTTGGGTTTCTGGACCTGAATTAACAACAGTCAAAGAAAACCATTTCTGAGTTTCTGTATAGGATTATCTGTGTGCCAATATGAAGTGGAATGTTGAAAGTCCAAGAATCAATAAGTCTTAATACCTTCAGTCAATAGATAGCTTTGTCACCAGGATTTATATCCATTGTCTGAGAAATGATCAGAACAGCATGATAACTCAATCTTTACAAAGACACTTTATGTACTGAAGTAATGAGAATATTTACAGAAAACCATATTAATATTTCATCTGATGTTCTGAAGGAGATTTCATGACAGACAATAAAAAACAGTAAAATGTAATTAAGTCTGCACAATCAAGTTATCTGTAATTTGTTTTCATATAGATCTTTAAAGTAAATAAGTTAGTCTGTTACAAATTATGTGACTTTTCATAATCTTATTAAATCTGTAAGACAATGTTCAACTAAGTAAGTCTTTAAGACAATGTTCAACTTAGTTCTTCTGTAAGGCCATTAGTCACCTTAGTGAGTCCATAAGGCCAACTCATCTTAGTGAGTCCTAAGACCAAGTCATCTAAGTGAGACAATAAGACCAAGTCATCTTAGTGAGTCCTTTAGACCAAGTCATCTTAGTGAGTCCATAAGGCCAACTCATCTTAGTGAGTGCATAAGACCAAGTCATCTTAGTGACTTCACAAGACCAAGTCATCTTAGTGAGTCCATAAGGCCAACTCATCTTAGCGAGTCCATAAGACCAAGTCATCTTAGTGAGACAATAAGGTCAACTCATCTTAGTGAGTCCATAAGACCAAGTCATCTTAGTGAGCCCGTGAGACCAAGTCATCTTAGTGAGACAATAATACCAAGTCATCTTAGTGAGTCCATAAGACTAAGTCATCTTAGTGAGACAATAAGACCAAGTCATCTTAGTGAGACAATAAGACCAAGTCATCTTAGTGAGATAATAAGACCAAGTCATCTTAGTGAGACAATAAGACCAAGTCATCTTAGTGAGTCCGTAAGACCAAGTCATCTTAGTGAGTCCATAAGGCCAACTCATTTTAGTGAGACAATAAGACCAAGTCATCTTAGTGAGTCCGTAAGACCAAGTCATCTAAGTGAGACAATAAGGCCAACTCATCTTAGTGAGTCCGTAAGACCAAGTCATCTTAGTGAGTCCATACGGCCAACTCATCTTAGTGAGTCCATAAGACCAAGTCATCTTAGTGACTTCACAAGACCAAGTCATCTTAGTGAGTCCGTAAGACCAAGTCATCTTAGTGAGTCCATAAGACCAAGTCATCTAAGTGAGTCCACAAGACCAACTCATCTTAGTGACTTCACAAGACCAAGTCATCTTAGTGACTTCACAAGACCAAGTCATCTTAGTGACTTCACAAGACCAAGTCATCTTAGTGACTTCACAAGACCAAGTCATCTTTGTGACTTGATAAGACCAAGTCATATTATTGAATCCATAAGACATAGTCATTTTAGTGACTTGATAATACCAAGTCATCTTTGGGACTTGATAAGACCAAGTCATCTTAGTGAGTCCATAAGACCGAGTCATCTTACTGAGACAATAAGGCCAAGTCATCTTCATGAGTCCATAAGACCGAGTTATCTTAACGAGTCCATAAAACCAGTCATCATGTAAATCCAAGTCATCTTAATGAGTCTGTAAGGTCAAGTCATTTTATGAGTCTGTAAGGTCAAGTCATCTTGATTAGTCTGTAGAGCCAAGTCATCTTAATGAATCTATAAGGCCTAGCCATCTTAATAAGTCTAAGAACTGTCAGTATATCTGTATGACAAAGTAATATTTCTAGTGTGTTCATGTACATCATATTAAGTCTTTTGTCCACACCATCTTATAATTAGTAAGACCTTAAGTCATCTAAGTCATTCACTTTATGCAAGTTATATAACATGTTCTTAGTAAGTCTATACATCTAGAAAATAAACATTATGTAAGCAAAATATCTGTCTTTACAATTTTTTTCAATAAGTCATTAGAACATTTCCGTATACCAGACTAAGTAATCTGTGTAAGTAAATAATTTAGCAAACCTAATACTGAGAACAATTTTGTTGTTAAATTTAACACTCCTATATCTAACAATACAATTAGAGTCCAACATGCAACTTGACAATATATCAAATGTAATTATTGACAGACTCTTCATTTCATTATATAATCACTACAATTATAGTTTTTTCCAAGATGGAATACTAGAGACTTCAAGTAACCTGAATTTGTCAACTTGTAATCCTCCAGAGAAATTTGTTATCAGTAACATGGTGTTACATTCAGGCCAAGTTTACTTTTATTTGATATAATGTTTAAAAGGAGATGATATTTTTCCTTGCAAAAAATAGTTCCAATATATCTATTATCATTTATTAATAAGCACTTTTTGACATATGACCCAATGGCTTAGGAAGAATTCAAAAAACATTTATAAGACTGAATTATAATAATTTTTCCTAAAGCTGTCAGAAATAACTTTGAAAAAGGCCATTATGACAAGTCAAATGATATATTTTAAACTTTAACAAGTACTGGTAACTTATCCCAGCATTGTTAAGTTACTTGTTACTTTTAAGTATGAAATAATCCATGGATAGTAATTGATAAAATATATTTGTTAATCTATAAACAAAAAAGACATTTGATAAATGAATGCTTTGGACTGATTTTATAAAAAAATATATATTTATTAAGTAATTTTCAAATAGGCTTTTGATAAAATTTAAATTTAACAGACTGGTTTAAAACAAAATGAATAAAAAATCTACTACTCGAAACGAGTTTATTAAAGTGCTTCAAATTCTTGAATCAAGTTTTCATGTAGTGTAATAGCATTTTGTTTTGTTTATCATTGTGTATGTATAAATATATCATGTAGATGTAGAAGGCCATGGGGTGGATTAACTGTTTTGTTATCTGTGTTACCTTCTGAAAATAAAGAATTTATTATTATCATATCCAGTAAAAATGACAAAATACATTTGTTATCAAGTTTTTATCACATTTTTTGTGCTAAGTGTTTTTACTTTTTACGAATGACCAGGACAGGAATCATGTATTTAGTAAAATTCAAGATGGTTATGGCATATTTGTATTGTTTCAGTTTTTAATATATGTTGACCTCTCATAATAATTTACAAGAAACACTATATCTAGGAACTAACTTAGATCATTTTAAATCAATACATCAGTACTAAATTATAAAACTCTGGCTTTTAAATCAAAATTTTATACAAGATTTTACTTTAAATGATACCGAAATAATCAATTGTATACCGCTGTCATTAATAATATCAACAATCATGATAATCATACAATTGAGTTTGTCAATAAACAATTAATATGATTAAAAATCAATGAAATACTACTGGGAAGATATATATAACAATTGAGTGTGATGTACAAGGATGAGGTCAAGGTTTTATACTCATATAAATAATTGAAATCCACACCCCTTTTCATGACCCCCCATTTAAAGGAAATACCTGTTTATCACCCACTCAATTAAAGAAAATACCAGTATATTGTCAAGATTTACCTGTCTACAGTAAATTATGCTATGAACATTCTCAGGTAGTGTTTCAAATGTAAATTTCATCAATAGTTTAGGAAGAGTTGCAATTACAAACCACATGGACATACAGATGGCTGGACAGAACGATTCCTAAATAGCCCCAAAATAATTTGTTTACCCGGGTATAATTCATTTTTATCAAAATTAATTACTGCAGGTTCCTCTGTAAGTCATGCCGACATTCCGTGCAAAAGGTTTTGCTTTTTGATAAAAAAGAAAACAAATCAAAGATGAAACACCTGCTCCTAGAACTGCTGGTACCTACGGTTATCCAAATTTGTTTTTTCTGCTCCATTCCAGAAATTTATTTAACATATATTAATTACCAATTATAATGATGTTCATTCCTTATAAAATTCTTTTCAAGAATAAAATTTAAAAAAAAAACATGCAAGGCGTGTTAAGACACATTCTTCATTTTACATCCTGGTACTACTGATGGCAGTTGATGCAGTTGTCTGTATATATATACAATGAAAAATGACGTTTATAAATGCTCAAGAGTACTTTATTATCAGGATAATTTGTAACATAAAATCAATTGTTTTCTACAGAGTCATAAAATCTTATATTCATCTGAAAAGAGTGAGTTTTGAAGTTAAGCTGAATTTATGAAGATTAAATGATAACAAAATTCTTTTAATGCACTTTGAATAATCACATATACTGGCTTCTGATTCATTTATCTGAAACAGTGATGATTTTCGATGTTTGATTTATTATCATGATATAGTTAACATTCTTATCTTCCCCAAAATATATAAATTTAAAATGTTTTATAATGTACAAAAAATATAAAGGGAATTACAAAAATATTTAACATCTACTGCAAACTTCACCAATTACGAACAGCCAACTTGTCAATAAAGAAAACACACAACAATTATCATATTTACTTTTTAGCCATACATGGTAAAGACACACAAAAAAATTACGCTGACCATCAAAAGTAATGCAACAATGGATATTATTTCACTAGACATCTCCCAAATAAAAAATGTCAAGATTGAACATTCTATTTTTCAAATAGGGTTAAAAAATAGCAGCAAGATTGAAGGAAAAGGGGTAGACAGGACTAAACACAAAACCAAGTATCCATGAAAATAACTTGGTTCAAAGTACAATGTATTTACCTTGGGTTTCCTTTCTGAATGTTTTAGAATAATAATAATTCTGTCATGTTATACTCTATACTCATTTTAGAATACCAGTAGGCATTATATTTGTGATTGCAAGCGCTCATTTTCATTTCATATGCTATACTCATTTTAGCATAGCAGAAGGCATTATATTTGTGAATGCAAGCACTCAATTTCATGTCATACGCTATACTCATTTTAGCATACTAGTAGGCATTATATTTGTCAATGCTAGCGTTCATGCCATACTCTATGCTCATTTTAGCATACCAGTAGGCGTTATATTTGTCAATGCTAGTGTTCATGCCATACTCTATGCTCATTTTAGCATACCAGTAGGCGTTATATTTGTCAATGCTAGTGCTCAGTTTCAAGAAGAAAGAAGAAGAAGAAATTGGGTGACTTAATTAGCAAAACATGCAAAAAGCATGTCTTAATTTGTATAATGTTTTTTTATTACAATCAACCTAAGTATAATACTTACAATAGCTTCTGGTCTAAGACTAACATCTTTTAATTCTACTTTTCCTACAAAAAATAAAAATGAAATATTAAGTACATCAAATCGTTTTTCAGTACTTTGACTTTTAGGAGACAAACAGGTGTCCAAGAAGATAGAACTATACCTTTAATATGAATAACAAGAGACAGAAACCCCAAAACATACCAAAACCAAACGTCATCTAAATGTAACAATTAGTCTTCAACAACAAAGAAGTGTCGATACAATATGTCAAGATAATAAAATGACCAGGGGTCTAGGTCAAATACATCTAACTTAAGGTAGATTCATGGTATACCGCCATCTTGGATTGTACAATCGCAGTACAAAATCGGTCTAGTTTTTTGCCCAAATCTGCAAATTTGGAGACAGATTTGCAATTTGATAGTTAGACTGTTTATTTATATAAAGAAAACTTTTTTTATGCACACAAATGTGTTTTTTCATGAACAATCTAACCAAATTTAAGCAATTTTCAACGATTCATAGCTTGCAAAATAGCACGGTGACCCATACTTTTTATTATATTTTTGAAAAAAGCATAGTAAAATCTTCATTTTGGCAAATTATAAGAAAATTCTGTCTCAAAAAATATATACTTATGATCTACCTTAAGACTATCTAAGATTTGCCATCAATTTTTTTTTCAAAATAATGAACAGTAAGACCATTATCTTGAAACAAGCATTCTGTGAGTATTGCATGGCAATACATAGTCCCCTACCAGTTAAAAATTCATTGTACTGGAACAAAATGCTAACTTGATCTATAACTTGTCATGGTGTAAACTATATAACAAATATCAAGTCAATATCTTCAAGCATGACGAAAAAAAGTGTGGAAAACTTATTATTTAAGTGAATTTCTAAGTCCAAGGACCATAGCTCTGCACAAAATCATCAGAAAGGAAATTCTAACTTGATCTGATACTTGTCATGATAAAACTATATACCAATTATCAAATCCATATCTTCAGGTGAAATTATCAAATCCATATCTTCAAGTGACGAAAAAAGTGCGGAAAACTAATTATTTGAGTGAAGTTTGTAATTCCAAGGTCCAAAACTCTGCACAAAATCATCAGACCGGAACAAAATTTGAACTTTGTCTGTAACTTGTCATGATAAAACTATATACCAATTATCAAATCAATATCTTCAAGCATGACGAACAAGTCAAACTGCGAGCTACTGCTCACTGATGATACCCCCGCCCAAATATTTGACGGTAAAAAGGAAGTTGTTGAGTGATGAATCTGAAAATGCATCACACGGTATAGCTGACTTATATAAACCCTGAAACCAAATTTCAGAAATCCTTATGATGTAGTTCCTGAGAAAAATGCAACGAAAAATATTCATGGGACGGACAGACGGACGGATGGACAGACAAAGGTAAAACAGTATACCCCCCCCTTTTTTAAAGCGGGGGTATAAAAAAAGTGCAGAAAACTGATATGCCGGACTGATGGATGGACAGACAGACAGACAGAGTGCAAACCTAAAGTCCCCTTCGATTTCGTCGGTAGGGGACTAATTATATACACATGATTCAAATTATACTGTCACCATGGTGATAAACAGATGTTGTATGACAAATTTTATGACCAATGGGCCTTTTTTTTACATTCTCTTCTTAACAAAACTATTCTTAACTTGAACAATTAATTCTTCCGATGAATCATGATTATGAACACAAAAGTTTATCCCACCTGAAGAGTCTATATAAGGTGTTGGTTATGCACTGGTGACTTGTCTACATCCTCGTCCTTCAGTCTTTGTTGGATTGCTGACTTAATAGCAATCATAATGTATCAATAGCGAAGTCTTTTAATTTTTGTAAGTACTGTTTGCATTTGTTAAAGGCCTACAAATAATGTTGTACTTATCTCATAAAATTATTATTTTGTCCATCATAAAATTATGTAAGTTATTATAATTATTTCTTATAGATCTATTATCAATAGATCATTTTCATGTTACCAACTTTTTGACTCAGGATTTTACAATTTTCAACAGGTTTCCTTTTCTGTGGAAGGACATGTTGGTTCTTGGTCGAGTAGGAGCAACTAAAAGAAGTAAAATCAAGCTTACTATCGCTGCAAACCTTCATTACAAACTTAATTTTTGCTACTTATAGATTGACATATATATATTTATACCTTGTAAAAGACTGTATTCTATTTTATCTTTGTCATAATCCAAATATTTTCCTAAATATGTTTTAATGATCTCATCCAGTTTGTTCTTGATCATGCTGAAGTTAAAGGTCTCTTGACCCAATATATTAAGTTGTCAACATGGGCACTGAAAAATAAAATAAATATATATGATTATTTATACATACAATGAATATAATTGGAAATTTCAGAATCTAACGAATAATAGGCAATTTCATTGTGTAAACCCCTTAAATTAACTTTAATTCGCATTTTGGTTCAATTTCAAATTTTTAGGACCCTTTAGTCTTACTGTTAACCATTTTGTTTTCTGTGTAATGTTAGATACAATGTAATAATCTAGCACTTGTTTTATTCTTTGTCAGGTTATGTTGTTGTAGTACATTTTTAGTCTGGGCCTTGGTTCTGTATAATTTCAATAACTATGTTGATGTAGTTAATTTTGTGTCATGTGAGACACAATGTTGTTGTTGTAGTCTAGTCATTATTATGGTCTGTGTCATGTTAGTTACAATGTTGATGCTGTAGTCTAGTCATTAGTTTAGTCTGTGTCATGTTACTTACAATGTTGTTGGTGTAGTCTAGTCATTAGTTTAGTCTGTGTCATGTTAGTTACAATGTTGTTGTTGTAGTCTAGTCATTAGTTTATTCTGTGTCATGTTAGTTGCAATGTTGTTGTTGTAGTCTAGTCATTAGTTTATTCTGTGTCATGTTAGTTACAGTTGTTGTTGTAGTCTAGTCATAATTTTAGTCTGTGTCATGTTAGTGACAATGTTGATGCTGAAGTCTAGTCATTAGTTAATTCTGTGTCATGTTAGTTACACTGTTGTTGTTGTAGTCTAGTCATAAGTTTAGTCTGTGTCATGTTAGTTACAATGTTATTGTTGTAGTCTAGTCATAAGTTTAGTCTGTTTCATGTTAGATACAATGTTAATGCTGTAGTCTAGTCATTAGTTTAGTCTGTGTAATGTTAGTTACAATGTTGATGCTGTAGTCTAGTCATTAGTTTTTTCGGTGTCATGTCAGTTACAATGTTGTTGTTGTAGTCTAGTCATAAGTTTAGTCTGTCTCATGTTAGTGACAATGTTGTTGTTGTAGTCTAGTTAATGGCTATTCTGTGTCATGTTAGATACAATGGTGTTGCTTTTGTCTAGTCATTTATTTATTCTTTGTCTAGTCATTCATTTATACTGTGTCATGTTATATGATTTCAAAGCAATGTTGATGTGTTAATCTGTTTCTTGATTTATTTTGTCATATCAGAAACATACTTGTTAACCTTAATACACCAGAATTCTTATTTATAAACAAACAGGAGTATTATACATGCATAACTATAGAAAGATTGCATCTCATTATTTATAAACAAACATTACATAAGTTATATGTTTGGAGTATTTGTTATCTATTTTTTATACAATTCACTGCAATGTTATCTTTTATAAACAAATTACTGCAATGTTATCTTTTATAAACAAATAACTGTATATTTGTTATTTATAAACATAAACTGTTGACACACAGATATGACTTGTACTTCTGGAGTTTTGATAGTAAAATTAAATTGTTGAAATAAAAATGGCAATATTTTAACATATGCAATGTAAACTTTGGAAAACACTAAATTTGTGTTAACAACATAAACTTGATTGACTGACAAAAAATCAATGTCAGATAAATATGATTACAAATAACTATTATACACAAAATTCTTAGGGAAAGTAAATTATGTACATTGATGCAAGCTTACACATGCATTGAAGGTTTTGATCATTATTTTCATAATGGTATTTCAGAGCATTTTTAAAGCATTTGTATGCAAATATCTGTGCAAATGTGATTTATTTTTATTCAATCAATAGATTGTCGCTAATTAACCTTACAGAACATGTCACTGATTGCTATGTTGTTAAAATGTATGACATATGTATGCTTAGCCAATTTAATTATTATGAAAAACACAGATCTTCATCAAATAGGCACATTCTGTAGTAGAGAATTGATAAGAAGTAGTGGATTCGTAAACGATAATCAACGAGCGACTTTAGTCGCAAGTTGATTATCGTTTCCGAATCCACTACTTCTTATCAATTCTCTAGCTTAACCCATTTCTAGTAAAACGACTGTCTGTTTTACGTTTTGACAATGAATCAACAATATTTCATAAAAAAAGTTTGGTATTTTGTCTTTTTTATTCTATAATAGCTGGAAATGAATATATCCACACGGTTCGCATCTATATTTAGACATTTGACAAGTTAACATAAGTTTAATATAACTTAAATGGGGTGTTAGCTCCCCTTTTTAATACCAGATTTTATTTTTGTATATACATATTTCATTTAATCTTTAATCATTACAAATTATTTAAATTAAATAGATTTTGGTATATTTAATTTATTCAAAAAGACATATATTGATATACAGAATTTATTCATCTTGTTTTGAAAAGTTAAAAAATTTTAATTACCAAAATTTAGAATCTTCAAAATTTATATATATAATATTTAGCAACGTGAATTGGTATAATGAAATCGTAACACCATTATGTCGTTCTTAGTCAATTAAATATTAATAGCGTATATGCCATAAATCTGCCATTTCATAATTCATATTGCTGTTTAAAGTATTAAAATTATGCGCTTACGATTTAAATTGAACAATTATATTTAAATTTTGTTTAAACTGTTTCCGTTTCATTTAAGTTAAGATTATTTTAGCGTTATTACATTTGGCATATATCGTTCACCGGTCAGTAAAATAGTTTTATCTGTGGTACGCATTCTGAATCCACATCAGAATTGCTCTTGCTACGGATGTACAATGAATAATTATGTTGATTTCATAAACTTACCATCAAGCTGTTCATAGCCGTGATAGTCTAGTCGTTGATAACGAATGTCATAACGGTGATATTAACAGTGCAAAGTTCGAACCTTGTACCCGGAATGAATTTTTTTCATTGTAATTTTTTTTTCTGGACCAAAATATTGTTTTAATCCTAGAACATGTAGAAGTATCATATATTTCATTTTCATATAATGGCGATGATTTTGTTTCTGTTTTTATTGTCAAAGAAGTAGTTTTAACCCATTTCTTAAAAAAAAATAACACCCAAAATAAAACAAATTGAATAAACATGAACAAACCAAGATATATATATATCATTAGATTACAAAAGCGAATTATCAATGAGACAGAAATACAGTTAAATGACATGTATTGACAAGTAAGCGCTTTAAGAGTACTATTTATATAATGATAGTTGTCAGCCATCGTGGTCTAGTGGTATCATGCATAGACTGAAGACTGTATTGATTACGAAGAAAATACGCGCGGGTTCGAATCCTACACATGCCACTCGTTTTTGAGAGGATAAAAGATCGTAAGTTAAAAGTTTAAAGTTATAATATAAGTTCTCTTAAGTTAATACTATGGTCAGTGGATTCTTGAAAAATAATCTACAGTCAGAACAATAGACTGACGTCAGAGAAATGGGTTAATATGATATGTAACACAAAAGACAGATTTTATAAACAAGGTTTATTCCACCTTCATTTAACACATCAATTCCATGTATACTCGATAATTAACAGTATAATGTATGAAACGTTTAAACAGTGAAAAATCTGCGAATATGCAGGGAAATTTATCAAAAAACATTGAAAATAAAACACATGCGAAAAAAAATGTGATGTATGGTATAAAACATTTCATAAATTTTTTTTTACATGTACAGGTTACAAACAAACTACAAGTGCAAATGTATATATTGTTGCAAATTAACCAACAATAAAATTTTTACACTCAAGTCATGCCTAACAAACAGTCATCTGTTTTTAAACAAGTATTTATTATATACTAAACAGCGTTCTCCCCACAAATTTCATATAGCATCCTGGTAAACAGGGAATTTTAAAATACCATCTTATTTCTACCATTACCATGATGATAAAAGGCCCTGGGGAGAATACTCAGTACTAGACACTGCTAAAAGATGTTATATATTTACTTGTATAATAAATTTGTCAGATTTAAATTTTCTTGTCAATGCTTGATTCCCCTTGCACTTCTTCAAAATTAAACGTATGTGTAATTTTCTTATAACACCTGGAATTCTCAATTTTTGGAAAGTCAAAACAATGCCTCAAACAAATTTTTCATGAAACACTAAAGCATGTTAAATAATTAACCTTTTATTATTTAGAGTTGAAACTATTATCTAAAAAAACTTTCAAAAAATATAACTCTATATATAGCTACTGCACATAGATGTTAAGTAACTGGGCTAGGCAATTTAAAATCCTGCCTTGAATATATAAATAGGCAGTTAAAAATAACAAATCTGAATAACTATGGGAGACAACTCTACCTCCAAAATAAGCAACATGTACCAGTATATATAATTAAATTTTACATCATGTCTTACCACTGACTGTATAAATAAGTTTCCAATCATTTATTGTGAAACAGTTTGATTTAAAACTTGTAATTGCCGATGCTCCCTAACTTAAGTCTGATCTAGCTCTTTATCTCCAGAGTTTAGACAAGGTGCATATATAAATTCATCAGACATTTAATACTGATATATAATGCCATTTATATCAAATACTTGTTACAGATAATCTGATTCAATACATATATCCTCATCTCATGGGTTTTTGTGCTATCAAGAATGCATTGTGACATCACAATTTCCATTTAAAAAGCATGCATAGTACGAATTCATATGACGTACGAAAAACATATGATCTGACCGTATTTGTATTCAAAATAAATTTTTCATAGCTGAACATTTGAAAATGCACATTATATTTGGAAAGTAATATGCAATTTTCTTGACTGCTGCTCAACTGCTTGTAGAAAAGATGGAAATTATAAAAGGCATGCAAATACACAGTTAAAAGTCTGACGAATTGCAAGTTGGATTACTTAATTAAATGGTTATTTACTTGGCCTGGGGTTACATGTTTAATTTGTCATTCCTATGCGAAAAAAAGAAGATTCAAAATTTACATTGACATGTTCATGATGTAGTGTTATATGTTTCTGAAGCTCCCAAATCTGGGGGTGAGGAGTTTTTTGTAATGGGTGTGGGTATAAGTAGCTGGAATAGGTCACTATTCCAAGTTTCATAATGTATAACAATTAAGGTTAAGAAACTGTTGTTAAATATCTCAAAAGCATCAATCTGAAATGTTTTGTATTTCTTAAAGATGCAAATTAATCAGTCATACTAAATTGCATCAGATATTTGACAAATTGTTGTTTTTACTCTCTATGAAATATATTTTTTCTTATTGCAAAATTTACAATTACATTTAGGAAATGGTTGCATTTGGACACAGCTTTTTGCATGAAACAATTGCACAAGGCAATATTTGGCCACAATGCATGTGTCATGTGTATGTTAAGAAAAACATTTTGTAGGTATGCGTAACCTGCCAACTTTTCAAAATCTCCACGGGGGATTTTAAGCGCAAGGGGACCTAATGCTCCTCTTATATTGTCATAAGTGTTTATAATCTACTACTATATTGTTTAAATCAGTATGTATGTGCTTAAATACCCTTTTTACTCATTTGAATGACTGTTTTGAGACGTTCAGTTCATAAAAGAATTTCAAAATTTAGGTCAACTCCTCTCATGGGGGATATTCCTCATAAATTGGGATAATTGGCAGGTCTGGTTATGACCATTAGGATTATCTGATACAATGCCATAATGATTAAATGTTTATTCAACATTTTAAGGGAAAAAATATGCACTGCAATCTGCATCATTCATGCATATATTGTTTTCCTCGTCTCAATTAATGTGCTGCAATATCCATTTGCAACTGCAGCAAATAATTAAAATTGTTATTTAGTGTGAATCTTAACAACTTAGAAATGTTTTTTTCTTTTTGCAAAATTTTGGCATCGTAGATGAATACAGCAACCCCTTCAACTGAGTCTGAGGTCTCTGTCCGTCTGGAAACCAAACAGACATTTATAATGATTTTATAGATTATGCAGAATGAGCCAAAACATATGGTGATTTTAAAATAATAACATTATACCCTTTTATACTGTTACCTGCATAAACCTAAACGTTGATAAGGTGCTTCTTTTCATAACACTCAAAACGAAACCACACTTATAATCATCTGCTAAATTTGGCAGTCACGTGATAAATCGGAAATCAAGTTACGCCACCTATTGATTTATTTGCTGCTAGTGTGCAAGGTAAAGTCAATTTTTTTATTGCTTTTATCTCATTATAAAACGGTGCACCGCATAAAATGCTTTGATTATAAGGCCATATTTACACTAAATTTTTGAAGTTTCAATTCTAACGATGAATCAATCGATTAAATAAGAGAAGTTTGCACATAACAGATTTTGGATGCAAAAATTAGGGGAGGCAACCGTGTAAACAAATGCACGTGTTTGATTGTTATCATGCATGTCAAATAATGTGTTATATGAAATGTTATCAAATATCAATCTTTACATTGTTTCGTATGCAACTGATTTTGTAAGGTTTTGTAAAGAACATTGAAATGCAAAGTGGGGTTTTTACAAATGGAAATTTTCCTGTTTAATTATAAAACTGGACTTCTGCCAGGTAAATCATAAGTCAGATAAAATACTTAATAGTACAATTGCTCTAAAATAGGCACATTTGTTTTGTTTACTTGTGGTATGTCACATGGAGATGACATAATACTGAAAAATGTTATGTAATTAATACATTCACTGTATATCTAAAAATTAACCCTTCTGCTTTTGATTATACATTGCATAATCTAATCATGTTTTTAGAATCTGTTAAAGACAGTAAATAGCCTAACAACAATATAAAAGCCAGATCTTTACTGGGGAACACATAAGGCAAATAAAACCTAAGTTTTCTTCGTAGAAATTTTAAAAAACTGCACACGTAAGCTATGTACACATTACTTGTCCATCCAGTCGTCGAATACTCTTCCCCTGTTTGGGAACTGTACATTAAGCACCAAATCACACATGTTGAGCAGGTTCATTGTAAAGCAGGCATATTTGTCTATAACGATTATAAAGACAGAACACTGGGTGCAGTTTCAAACATGATAAATTCTTTGCAATGGGAAAGTTTACATGATCGAAGAAAAAAGCTAGATAAACAATGTTATATAAAATTAATTGGGGGTTAGTAGAAGTTCCAAAGGACAATTTAACAAAATCTGATAGACGTACTAGCGGGCAACATAAATTTTGGCAAATTGGAACTAATAAAGGCTTCTATAAATATTCTTTTTATTCAAACACCATCTCTGACTGGAATATCCACTCTAACATTTCAAGGACCCACTCCAACTTATTAAACCACCAAAGCCACTGTACATAATGTATATATGTTATTTTACTTTATTGTTTATAGTACTGTAATTTTAATTAAGTCCATATGTACATAGCACACAAGTTCCTGGAAGTTTTACAGTCCTACCTAGGAGTCTACTCCCGTATTTGGAAGAAGAAGAATCCAAAAGTAAACATATCATTAGAAAAAATGTCAACAACAAAACACAAATTTTCGGAAACCTAGAAATAGTCACTACTTTAGCTAAGGAACTGTCAGTCAGAGCTCCGACATAAATATGTTAAACAAGTCAGAATTTTGTGACTTGTGGAAGTCAGAATATTTTGTGTCATGAGTTACCTCCCATCATTTTGAAACAAAAACTGACTTCTACAAATCAGATGAAACATTATGCATTTTTTTCCTCAAAACAAAAATTCAAAAGTTTTGACTTCTACAAGTCAGAAATGAACCTAAAATGTCAACCTTTTTTGGGCCATGCACCCATATTTAAAAGTTGAGCCATCCACTTGACAATGTTAAAAAATGTTTCCACAAACACTTTTTTATCAACAAAAAATATGAATAAGACCCTAAAAAAACGGAATTATATGAAATTAACCATTTTATGTTAGCATGGTTAGTATGTATTTGTGATAAATTGTAAAAAATATTCTGCATAAACAATGGATTTACTAGAAAACCAGCATGAAAAGATAGATTTTGGTATTGTTATGCATCATACAAATATTCACGGTAACTTACTGCAAAGGTTTGCTACAAATTTTAAAATACTGAAACTTCACAATCTACTGAACATTATCTGACCTGAATAAGTCAGGCATATTCTGACTTTATAAAGTCTAAAAATGCTATTACTCCTTTGTAAAAATGCATAATCTGACTTGCACAAGTCTTGACAATTCTGACTTGTTTATGTCAGAGCTCTGACTGAATGTAGTTCTTAGGTCTTTTTGATATTTTTTTGACAATTTGGGTCTGCAAATTGTAAAAAAATATCATAAGGACTTGTCAAAATATATCATAAGGACCTACAAATGTAAGAGCTACAGTTCCACGGCTATTACTACTGAAGAAATAATTCATGCAAACCATAGATTTGTTGGAAATTTTCACTTGGCCAGGGTTGTTTTATTCAAATTTTATCCGGAGCATAAGCAAGGGATGAAATTCATGACTATAACGGCCCAGGCCATGTGAAAATAATAACTAATCTATGAGTTACATGAATAATTTCGCCTCCGATAGAACAAATACACTATTTGAAAAAAGCACTGGCTACAATTACATGCCAAAAATAACAATAAGAAATAATTATTGTTACCTTTGAGAGTAATTGCAGAAATGTACTTCCAGACAGGGACCGGATTTCATACGGAAATTGCAGGTAACAATATTATTGTTTTTTATTGTTACCTGCAGTTATTGTTACCTGTTAAATTTTACAGAAAATTTGCAAATTACATCTTTTTGTGTGTAGCATCTTGATACTTTGTACTGTCTTTGTGTCAGTACATGCTGTTTTACATATTTGAACAAAGTTATTTGAACATGATGAATAGAAAATTTTCTATTGAACATATAGCAGTTATAAATTGAAAGCACATTTATACATGTACATATATTTAGAATTTATTTTGGTGTTCATTTTGGTGGCACTTGCTTCCTGCAGATTCAGTATGTAACCTTAGGTAGCATTTTGAGGCCAAGACATTTCAAATAATACTACTTCAGACACCTGTCACAAACTATAAATATATCCATATGTATGCACTTCTATACCGGATATCTTCTTTTTTACTAGAACTTCTTTTATAACTGCACAAAACTTGCATCTTACAACCGTTCAAGTTTATCATCAAAACCTTAATTAAAGGATATACATTTTTCACCGACCACAATTTGGACATCTTGCTTATTTGTATCTATACCTAAGAATATTGAGTTATTGTAACTAGCATGACACAGACTCTACTTTCATATTGTCTGTTTTTTAAAAGGAGAATTTTGGCTTTGAACAGGAAGGAGTTTTTAAAACTCTAATCCTATGACTTGTTGACTCCAGCCACTGTCCCACACAAGTATTACATATTTGTAAATAATGATTTTTTTTTCAGAATGAAAATCCTCCTAGCCCTACACAGACACTGTTATAAAGATATAATTCTACCAACACTGACAAGAAGTATTTTGAATAGAAATCAGAATACCAGGTTATCATACACACCTGGATGCTTGTATTCCACTGTAGGGAATAATAATAAGAAAAAATATATTCCACGTAGATCTGTACTGTATGTCCCTGGCAATGATGAGAGGAAAATCAACAAAGTTGTCTCCCTTGATGTTGATTGTGTTGTTTTAGACTGTGAAGATGGAGTAGCAGCCAACAGGAAGGTAGAATGCTAATTAAATTAGGAAGTCATGGTAACAATCACTGACCATTATTCATAAATAATTAAATGTAGAATACATTGAATTACTCAAAATATTTTAAAAAGATGAGAAGATGTAGTATGATTTCCAATTAATGAGACAACTCTCCACTAGAGCTGATCAAATTAAAAAAGTCCTCATTTATATTAACTATAGAAAAATGTAATTGTCAATTGATGATAAGCCAATAAGGTGTAAAGGTCAAAAGTGGAAAAGTCACAGTACAACCTTCAACAATAATAAGTACATGTAGCTAGTTCCAAAAGGTCATGAAGGTTGCTGACCAACGTCACAGTACAACCTTCAACAATAAAAAGTAACTAGTTCCAGAAGTTTGCTGATCAATGTTACAGTACAACCTTCAACAATAGTAAGTAGCTAGTTCTAGAAGGTTGTTGACCAATGTTACAGTACAACCTTCAACAATAGTAAGTAGCTAGTTCTAGGAGGTTGCTGACCAATGTTACAGTACAACCTTCAACAATAGTAAGTAGCTAGTTCTAGAAGGTTGTTGACCAATGTTACAGTACAACCTTCAACAATAGTAATTAGCTAGTTCTAAGAGGTTGCTGACCAATGTTACAGTACAACCTTCAACAATAGTAAGTAACTAGTTCCAGACGGTTGCTGACCAATGTTACAGTACAACCTTCAACAATAGTAAGTAGCTAGTTCTAGAAGATTGCTGACCAATGTTACAGTACAACCTTCAACAATAATAAGTAACTAGTTCCAGAAGGTTGCTGACCAATGTTACAGTACAACCTTCAACAATAGTAAGTAGCTAGTTCTAGAAGGTTGCTGACCAATGTTACAGTACAACCTTCAACAATAGTAAGTAGCTAGTTCTAGAAGGTTGTTGACCAATGTTACAGTACAACCTTCAACAATAATAAGTAGCTAGTTCCAGACGGTTGCTGACCAATGTTATAGTACAACCTTCAACAATAGTAAGTAACTAGTTCTAGAAGGTTGCTGACCAATGTTACAGTACAACCTTCAACAATAGTAAGTAGCTAGTTCTAGAAGGTTGCTGACCAATGTTACAGTACAACCTTCAACAATAGTAAGTAGCTAGTTCTAGAAGGTTGCTGACCAATGTTACAGTACAACCTTCAACAATAGTAAGTAGCTAGTTCTAGAAGGTTGCTGACCAATGTTACAGTACAACCTTCAACAATAGTAAGTAGCTAGTTCTAGAAGGTTGCCGACCAATGTTACAGTACAACCTTCAACAATAGTAAGTAACTAGTTCTAGAAGGTTGCCGACCAATGTTACAGTACAACCTTCAACAATAGTAAGTAGCTTGTTCCAGAAGGTTGCTGACCAATGTTACAGTACAACCTTCAACAATAATAAGTAGCTAGTTCTAGAAGGTTGCCGACCAATGTTACAGTACAACCTTCAACAATAGTAAGTAGCTAGTTCTAGAAGGTTGCCGACCAATGTTACAGTACAACCTTCAACAATAGTAAGTAGCTAGTTCTAGAAGGTTGCTGACCAATGTTACAGTACAACCTTCAACAATAGTAAGTAACTAGTTCTAAGGTTGTTGACCAATGTTACAGTACAACCTTCAACAATAGTAAGTAGCTAGTTCTAGAAGGTTGCTGACCAATGTTACAGTACAACCTTCAACAATAGTAAGTAACTAGTTCTAGAAGGTTGCTGACCAATGTTACAGTACAACCTTCAACAATAGTAAGTAGCTAGTTCTAGAAGGTTGCTGACCAATGTTACAGTACAACCTTCAACAATAGTAAGTAGCTAGTTCTAGAAGGTTGCTGACCAATGTTACAGTACAACCTTCAACAATAGTAAGTAGCTAGTTCTAGAAGGTTGCTGACCAATGTTACAGTACAACCTTCAACAATAGTAAGTAGCTAGTTCTAGAAGGTTGCTGACCAATGTTACAGTACAACCTTCAACAATAGTAAGTAGCTAGTTCTAGAAGGTTGCTGACCAATGTTACAGTACAACCTTCAACAATAGTAAGTAGCTAGTTCTAGAAGGTTGCTGACCAATGTTACAGTACAACCTTCAACAATAGTAAGTAGCTAGTTCTAGAAGGTTGCTGACCAATGTTACAGTACAACCTTCAACAATAGTAAGTAGCTAGTTCTAGAAGGTTGCTGACCAATGTTACAGTACAACCTTCAACAATAATAAGTAGCTAGTTCCAGACGGTTGCTGACCAATGTTACAGTACAACCTTCAACAATAGTAAGTAACTAGTTCTAGAAGGTTGCCGACCAATGTTACAGTACAACCTTCAACAATAGTAAGTAGCTTGTTCCAGAAGGTTGCCGACCAATGTTACAGTACAACCTTCAACAATAGTAAGTAGCTTGTTCCAGAAGGTTGCCGACCAATGTTACAGTACAACCTTCAACAATAATAAGTAGCTAGTTCTAGAAGGTTGCCGACCAATGTTACAGTACAACCTTCAACAATAGTAAGTAGCTAGTTCTAGAAGGTTGCTGACCAATGTTACAGTACAACCTTCAACAATAGTAAGTAGCTAGTTCTAGAAGGTTGCTGACCAATGTTACAGTACAACCTTCAACAATAGTAAGTAGCTAGTTCTAGAAGGTTGCCGACCAATGTTACAGTACAACCTTCAACAATAGTAAGTAGCTAGTTCTAGAAGGTTGCCGACCAATGTTACAGTACAACCTTCAACAATAGTAAGTAACTAGTTCTAAGGTTGTTGACCAATGTTACAGTACAACCTTCAACAATAGTAAGTAGCTAGTTCTAGAAGGTTGCTGACCAATGTTACAGTACAACCTTCAACAATAGTAAGTAGCTAGTTCTAGAAGGTTGCTGACCAATGTTACAGTACAACCTTCAACAATAGTAAGTAGCTAGTTCTAGAAGGTTGCTGACCAATGTTACAGTACAACCTTCAACAATAGTTAGTAGCTAGTTCTAGAAGGTTGCTGACCAATGTTACAGTACAACCTTCAACAATAGTAAGTAGCTAGTTCTAGAAGGTTGCTGACCAATGTTACAGTACAACCTTCAACAATAGTAAGTAGCTAGTTCTAGAAGGTTGCTGACCAATGTTACAGTACAACCTTCAACAATAGTAAGTAACTAGTTCTAGAAGGTTGCTGACCAATGTTACAGTACAACCATCAACAATAATAAGTAACTAGTTCTAGAAGGTTGCTGACCAATGTTACAGTACAACCTTCAACAATAGTAAGTAGCTAGTTCTAGAAGGTTGCTGACCAATGTTACAGTACAACCTTCAACAATAGTAAGTAGCTAGTTCCAGACGGTTGCTGACCAATGTTACAGTACAACCTTCAACAATAGTAAGTACTGTAAATTCAGAAATTATTGCGTGCATTTATTATTGCGATTTTGTCATTTTAGACAAAAATGCGATTTTAATTTTTGCGATATTGAGAAAAATCCTGTTAAATTCATATAAAAAATTTCAAAATGCGAGTTTAAATTATTGCGATTATAACCCTGTCGCATTTTTCGTAATAATACCAACATCGCAATAATTTCTGAATTTACAGTAGCTAGTTCTAGAAGGTTGCTGACCAATGTTACAGTACAACCTTCAACAATAGTAAGTAGCTAGTTCTAGAAGGTTGCTGACCAATGTTACAGTACAACCTTCAACAATAGTAAGTAGCTAGTTCTAGAAGGTTGCTGACCAATGTTACAGTACAACCTTCAACAATAGTAAGTAGCTTGTTCCAGAAGGTTGCTGACCAATGTTACAGTACAACCTTCAACAATAGTAAGTAACTAGTTCTAAGGTTGTTGACCAATGTTACAGTACAACCTTCAACAATAGTAAGTAGCTAGTTCTAGAAGGTTACTGACCAATGTTACAGTACAACCTTCAACAATAATAAGTAACTAGTTCTAGAAGGTGGCTGACCAATGTTACAGTACAACCTTCAACAATAGTAAGTAGCTAGTTCTAGAAGGTGGCTGACCAATGTTACAGTACAACCTTCAACAATAGTAAGTAGCTAGTTCCAGAAGGTTGCTGACCAATGTTACAGTACAACCATCAACAATAGTAAGTAGCTAGTTCCAGAAGGTTGCTGACCAATGTTACAGTACAACCATCAACAATAGTAAGTAGCTAGTTCTAGAAGGTTGCTGACCAACATCACAATACAACCTTCAACAATAGTAAGTAGCTAGTTCTAGAAGGTTACTGACCAATGTTATAGTACAACCTTCAACAGTAGTAAGTAGCTAGTTCTAGAAGGTTGCTGACCAATGTTACAGTACAACCTTCAACAGTAGTAAGTAGCTAGTTCTAGAAGGTTGGTGACCAATGTTACAGTACAACCTTCAACAGTAGTAAGTAGCTAGTTCTAGAAGGTTGCTGACCAGTGTTACAGTACAACCTTCAACAATAGTAAGTAGCTAGTTCTAGAAGGTTGCCGACCAATGTTACAGTACAACCTTCAACAATAGTAAGTAGCTAGTTCTAGAAGGTTGTTGACCAATGTTACAGTACAACCTTCAACAATAGTAAGTAGCTAGTTCTAGAAGGTTGCCGACCAATGTTACAGTACAACCATCAACAATAGTAAGAAGCTAGTTCTAGAAGGTTGCCGACCAATGTAACAGTACAACCTTCAACAATAGTAAGTAGCTAGTTCCAGACGGTTGCTGACCAATGTTACAGTACAACCTTCAACAATAGTAAGTAGCTAGTTCCAGACGGTTGCTGACCAATGTTACAGTACAACCTTCAACAATAGTAAGTAGCTAGTTCCAGACGGTTGCTGACCAATGTTACAGTACAACCTTCAACAATAGTAAGTAGCTAGTTCCAGACGGTTGCTGACCAATGTTACAGTACAACCTTTAACAATAGTAAGTAGCTAGTTCTAGACAGTTGCTGACCAATATTACAGTACAACCTTCAACAATAGTAAGTAGCTAGTTCTAGACAGTTGCTGACCAATGTTACAGTACAACCTTCAACAATAGTAAGTAGCTAGTTCTAGAAGGTTGCTGACCAATGTTACAGTACAACCTTCAACAATAGTAAGTAGCTAGTTCTAGAAGGTTGCTGACCAATGTTACAGTACAACCTTCAACAATAGTAAGTAGCTAGTTCTAGAAGGTTGCTGACCAATGTTACAGTACAACCTTCAACAATAGTAAGTAGCTAGTTCTAGAAGGTTGCTGACCAATGTTACAGTACAACCTTCAACAATAGTAAGTAACTAGTTCTAGAAGGTTGCTGACCAATGTTACAGTACAACCTTCAATAATAGTAAGTAACTAGTTCCAGAAGGTTGCTGACCAATGTTACAGTACAACCTTCAATAATAGTAAGTAGCTAGTTCCAGAAGGTTGTTGACCAATGTTACAGTACAACCTTCAATAATAGTAAGTAACTAGTTCCAGAAGGTTGCTGACCAATGTTACAGTACAACCTTCAATAATAGTAAGTAGCTAGTTCCAGAAGGTTGTTGACCAATGTTACAGTACAACCTTCAATAATAGTAAGTAACTAGTTCCAGAAGGTTGCTGACCAATGTTACAGTACAACCTTCAATAATAGTAAGTAACTAGTTCCAGAAGGTTGCTGACCAATGTTACAGTACAACCTTCAATAATAGTAAGTAACTAGTTCCAGAAGGTTGTTGACCAATGTTACAGTACAACCTTCAATAATAGTAAGTAGCTAGTTCTAGAAGGTTGCTGACCATTGTTACAGTACAACCTTCAACAATAGTTTGTAACTAGTTCCAGAAGGTTGCTGACCAATGTTACAGTACAACCTTCAACAATAATAAGTAACTAGTTCTAGAAGGTTGCTGACCAATGTTACAGTACAACCTTCAACAATAGTAAGTAGCTAGTTCTAGAAGGTTGCTGACCAATGTTACAGTACAACCTTCAACAATAATAAGTAGCTAGTTCCAGACGGTTGCTGACCAATGTTACAGTACAACCTTCAACAATAGTAAGAAGCTAGTTCCAGAAGGTTGCTGATAATAATCTAACATATTGATAAAAATCTTAAAAACTGACTGATACAAAGTTAATTAGACAGCAATCCAGCACCACAACATACCAAAATAAAACATCTAGGATGTCAACGACACATAGTCTTCAATCATAAATTAGTACCCAAATCAATGAAACCATGCATTGTCACCTGTCACATGCAAAATCATCTGCATGAATGAATTAAAAAGAGACTTTCAAGGATGATAGATCTGCTATCAACATGAAAAATGGGAAAAATAAGATTCATAAACAACCACACTTCTTGTCTTGATATCTCAATATGATTAATTGGGACAGGTTTATGTAGACATGTTTCATTTCAACAATTTAGAATTCTTCAGACTTGTAAATTGTCTGGGATCTAATGTGCATCTGTTGATTTCAGTCTGAAGCAAGGAATACTATTACCAATTGCCTGGGATCTAATGTGCATCTGTTAATTTCAGTCTAAAGCTCTGGATACTACATGTACTATTGCTAATTGTCTAGGATCTAATGTATATCTGTTTATTTCAGTCTGAAGCAAGGAATACTATTGCCAATTGTCTGATATCTAATAATGTACCACTGTTAATTTCAGTCTGAAGCAAGGAATACTATTGCCAATTGTCTGATATCTAATAATGTACAACTGTTAATTTCAGTCTGAAGCAAGGAATACTATTCATTTGCTATTGCCAATTGTCTGATATCTACAAATAAAAAGCTGTTAATTTCATTCTGAAGCAAGGAATACTATTGCCAATTGTCTGATATCTAATGTACAACTGTTAATTTCATTCTGAAGCTCAGGATACTATTGCCAATTGTCTAGGATCTAATGAACATCTGTTAATTTCAGTCTGAAGCTAGGAATACTATTGCCAATTGTCTAGAATCTAATGTACATATGTTAATTTCAGTCTGAAGCAACTAATATTAATGCCAATTGTCTGGGATCTAATGTGCGTCTGTTAATTTCAGTCTGAAGCAAGGAATACTATTGCCAATTGTCTAGGATCTAATGTACAACTGTTAATTTCAGTCTGAAGCAAGGAATACTATTGCCAATTGCCTGGGATCTAATGTGCATCTGTTAATTTCAGTCTAAAGCTCTGGATACTACATGTACTATTGCTAATTGTCTAGGATCTAATGTATATCTGTTTATTTCAGTCTGAAGCAAGGAATACTATTGCCAATTGTCTGATATCTAATAATGTACCACTGTTAATTTCAGTCTGAAGCAAGGAATACTATTGCCAATTGTCTGATATCTAATAATGTACAACTGTTAATTTCAGTCTGAAGCAAAGAATACTATTGCCAATTGACTGATATCTACAAATAAAAATCTGTTAATTTCATTCTGAAGCAAGGAATACTATTGCCAATTGTCTGATATCTAATGTACAACTGTTAATTTCATTCTGAAGCTCAGGATACTATTGCCAATTGTCTAGGATCTAATGAACATCTGTTAATTTCAGTCTGAAGCTAGGAATACTATTGCCAATTGTCTAGAATCTAATGTACATATGTTAATTTCAGTCTGAAGCAACTAATATTAATGCCAATTGTCTGGGATCTAATGTGCGTCTGTTAATTTCAGTCTGAAGCAAGGAATACTATTGCCAATTGTCTAGGATCTAATGTACAACTGTTAATTTCAGTCTGAAGCAAGGAATACTATAGCCAATTGCCTGGGATCTAATGTGCATCTGTTAATTTCAGTCTAAAGCTCTGGATACTACATGTACTATTGCTAATTGTCTAGGATCTAATGTATATCTGTTTATTTCAGTCTGAAGCAAGGAATACTATTGCCAATTGTCTGATATCTAATAATGTACCACTGTTAATTTCAGTCTGAAGCAAGGAATACTATTGCCAATTGTCTGATATCTAATAATGTACAACTGTTAATTTCAGTCTGAAGCAAAGAATACTATTGCCAATTGACTGATATCTACAAATAAAAATCTGTTAATTTCATTCTGAAGCAAGGAATACTATTGCCAATTGTCTGATATCTAATGTACAACTGTTAATTTCATTCTGAAGCTCAGGATACTATTGCCAATTGTCTAGGATCTAATGAACATCTGTTAATTTCAGTCTGAAGCTAGGAATACTATTGCCAATTGTCTAGGATCTAATGTACATACAGTACACACAGAGAGGATGTAATCTCATACTCCCTACACTGTGTAAAAACTTGGTGTCACACCAAGAAACTCCAGCAACTCTCTCCAAATCTTGGGAGGAAATTGGGAGAAACTTGGAGTAATTCCTCCCTAAAACTCCTTAATTGTTTATTACCTTGGTGTGGTTTCTCCCAACAACAGGATTTTTATTGCTATGATTACCTTTGAAGTGTGCCAGTAGTTGATGACTACAATAAACATTTCTTGTGTTTCCTGTCATTAAATGACAGTCACAAAAATGATGAAAAGTGTGAGATTTATTAAATTTAATCAGAGACATATTATAATCTGATTTTATTAAAGAATCCTGTACAACTTTATTCATTAAAATTATATTCAGCATTTGTTCTGACAGTGTTGGGTTTTCATACCTAAGAAACATACAAAAACAAACAAAACATCACCTGTAAGTGGAGTATTATTAATAGAAAATAAAGACATATATTTTAATTGAATTTATTCAATCGTTTTTTCTAAATTTAAATGATAAGAAATAAAGGAAGATTATATAAATATAATATATATATATGTAATTTATCTACATTATTTTATTTTATTCATTATTTTTTTTTGTATCATTACTATTATTTTTTAAACCATGTATATACTAATATCTATATGTTTAAACTGACTATCATTGACTATGAATACAACTTATTGTAAATATCAAGTTGCCATTCTTGATTATGAGATTATGAAAGAATGTAAATAATTTTCCAATCTAAAAATACATATTTGTATAAAAATTTTAAAAATCATTTCGTTAACCTTTTTTTATAGCTTTCAGAAATAAAACTAAATAGGAAATGATTGAAATAGGAAGAAGTGAGAGAATAGTTGACATGTAATTATGTCACTGTCAGACCATGCAGACGTGCTTTGTTGATTTTTATTACTCTTACCTGCAATCAACAGGTTATAAAACCCTCCCAGATGGGAGTAATTACTTGGTGTTTTTTGGGAGAGAAATCTGTGTTTCACAGTGTGACACTGTGTTACACCAGAATCAGTGTTGGGAGTATGAGATTACATCCTCTCTGTGTGTACTGTATGTTAATTTCAGTCTGGAGCAACTAATACTATTGCCAATTGTCTGGGATCTAATGTGCATCTGTTAATTTCAGTCTGAAGCAAGGAATACTAAAACCAATTGTCTAGGATCTAATGTACAACTGTTAATTTCAGTCTGAAGCAAGGAATACTATTGCCAATTGCCTGGGATCTAATGTACAACTGTTAATTTCAGTCTGAAGCAAGGAAATTATTGCCAATTGCCTGGGATCTAATGTGCATATGTTTAATTTCAGTCTGAAGCAAGGAGTACTATTGCCAATTGTCTGGGATCATTGGCAGGATGTAAGACAGACATTACTGTTAGGGTAAATCCAGTTAGTAGTGGATTGATGGAGGAAGATTTGAAAGTTGTGTTTAAATCTGAACATCCACCAAAAACCTTGATGTTACCAAAGGTTGACACACCTGAGGAAATAGATAGAGTTTGTATAATTAATGTTTTTATAATTTAGTTGGTTCAATCTTTATGATAAACATTAAATTTTCATATAACATGAATATTTTTGTGAATAAATTCCTGTATCTTATATATAGTATATATATATATATATATATATACCGCAAATTTACAGATCTAACATTGGTGGGTTGTTGTTTAGACGAATTATATATACAGAATGTATTTTCAGCCTTGTATCACCATCACTGCTGGTGATCCGATGGATAAAATCTGTTGTAGAGTCGTCACTGGTTCAGACGTACTTATATATATATAATATATATTTTTCCTTCGGGTTTATATGATCCGTTCATCCTATTTCGACTCTTTAAAATTCAAGAGTCAATCCCAAATTGAGGTAAATTATATGGCCTTCCAAATACCGTTTCGATCCCTTACATCACTGAAGAGACATCAATTGTCGAAAATCCAGATATGGTGTACAAAATTTTGCACCTCATGTTTGCGGTATACTATCTTTTCCACAAGTTTATTGTTTTCTGTTTGGTATTGAATTAATATTAAGATCCATTTCGTTAGATCTGGTGATCAATTTATTTGGCATTCGCCAATGGCAGTCAGCAGGGTTTAAGAACATCAGTTGTTCGACCTGTTAGTCAAATGCGTATTGTTAAAATAGACTTTTTCACTTTTTTTGGTCTTTTTGAAATTGTTGTTTGTGCTGTATTTAGACCCCTCTACCAAGAAATTTGTTTTACATGCACAGGTATAAAAATTGCGGTTTTTATCCAACGCAATCATAGGTTTGAACGTTGTTTTCAATTTAGACTTTTATATATATATATATATATATATATATATATATCCAATTTAAGAACATGATAAAAAAGCATCATACACAATGTAACTTAATTGTGTAAACCTGTAACACGAAACAGTCTGTTGAAATGAGTAATAAGACTATGTCAATGGGTATTGTATATATAAACATGATAAAACAGCTGTCAAATTTAAAGCTTCATTTTTCTGCTAAATTATTGGCTTTATCACATTTTAATTATCTTTACAGGAAATATCAAAGACTCACTGAATATTTTAAATTTTAATGTGGGATTTCATTTTCATTTCATCATTGTTCATGATTTTTTGTTAAATAGTTTATTAATTTTCATATTTTTGTGAAAAACATTGTTAGATCTTGGTCATCATGGTCATAGTACATGTAAAACATTGTTAGATCTTGGTCATAGTACATGTTAAACATTGTTAGATCTTGGTCATAGTACATGTTAAACATTGTTAGATCTTGGTCATAGTACATGTAAAACATTGTTAGATCTTGGTCATAGTACATGTAAAACATTGTTAGATCTTGGTCATAGTACATGTAAAACATTGTTAGATCTTGGTCATAGTACATGTAAAACATTGTTAGATCTTGGTCATAGTACATGTAAAACATTGTTAGATCTTGGTCATAGTACATGTAAAACATTGATAGATCTTGGTCATAGTCCATGTAAAACATTGTTAGATCTTGGTCATAGTACATGTAAAACATTGTTAGATCTTGGTCATAGTCCATGTAAAACATTGTTAGATCTTGGTCATAGTCCATGTAAAACATTGTTAGATCTTGGTCATAGTCCATGTAAAACATTGTTAGAACTTGGTCATAGTCCATGTAAAACATTGTTAGATCTTGGTCATAGTCCATGTAAAACATTGTTAGATCTTGGTCATAGTACATGTAAAACATTGTTAGATCTTGGTCATAGTACATGTAAAACATTATAATTAGATCATGTAGATTGTGGGGCTATAAATAAATTCATTTTTTGTGAAAATACACATGTAACTTTGATCATGGGGTTAAAAGTCACGTTTAGTGAAATCAATGTTAGATTGTTGGTTTATAAATTCATGTTTTGTGATTCATGGTTTGTGTTAACATGTGTTTAACAAAATTATTGTAAGATCATGAGGTTATAAATTCATGGTTTTATGCTTTAATAACACATCTAGACAAGATTGAAAGCATGAAGTTTTTTGGGGTACTAAATTGGTGCATTGGTTGGAGGCAACCACAAAATTTGGTACCCTTGAACAATTATGCTTTCATAGTATGTGAATGTGAATACTTAATTGAAATAGGAAAAAAGCAAAATAAATCACAAAAAGTTCAATATGAAGCTGTAAACATTTCTCATTGAACTTGAACATGCATGTATAATGTAAATAACTCGATAAATAACATGAAGTGATGTAAAATATGATAAATATGAAAAAGCGTCATATTCTGACTAACTTTTACTGATAATAAACATGTACAGATATATTTCTCTACTTTTTTTAAAGTTTACCAAAAGAATTAAGGAGATACTGTCAGAGAAACAGAAGGCAGAGAAGTTTAGTTTGATAACGATGGTAGAAAGTGCTGTCGGTCTAATGAACCTTAAGGATGTGATTCTCCAGGCTTCATCACTAGCCAGATCTGAGAAGCTGTATACCTTAGAAGGTGTTGTGTTTGGATCTGATGATTTCTGTGCTGATATTGGTATGGTTATAATTTTTGTGACCCCACGTCTCTTTTCTTCATCTATGACATGTATAAAGTACCCATGATGTAAGAAGTAATATTTTTGGTTGAAAATGGTTTAACTCTTTAAAATGTAATTTTGCTTGGTATTGATAGCATTTGAAGAATACACCTGTACGTAACGGTATCACTCTATATATAGTAGAAACATGTTTCTCTCCCCAAATTACCAATGGAGGTATCATATACACTTATTATTCAAAGTGAGCAGTGATAAACTCATTGTTTGAACAGGTAAACTTCTTGTATAAATAACCTGGTTGTTTTCTTCTTAATTTTCAGGTGTAGTATACGTAGTCCTGCCTTTCATAAAACATCACAGATCACAGAATGTCCATGTTCCAATTATTATCGATTTTATAAATTCTTGTGATTTAATAATTAGCCATGAACAAATTTTTCAAAAATTCAAAGATTGGAGGTTATTTGACATTTACCTGGTAAGGTCAGAGAGAATGTTACGTATTTTATGACTGCTTACAATATGTAACATTCTCTCTGACCTTACCAGGTAAATGTCAAATAACCTCCAAGCTTTGAATTTTTGAAAGATTTGTTCATGGCTAATTATTAAATCACAAGAATAAATACCAATCCCATAGACGATTTTCGAATTCATGCACCTTCCCATACATTTCCTATGTCACGATGCTTAGGTCTTTTTCAGAAAAAACAATATGGGGGTGGGGATTTGGATGGAATTTTTTTTATGGCCATCACCCACACATAATTGCATTTTACTATGCATAACCATGCAATTTGAACTTTCATGACCTGCCCCCACCCATACACAAATAATTCAAGTGCGTTCCAACCCCCTATATATTTTTTTCTGGAATAGCCCTAACATGATAACATCACAGTAAGAACTAAGCGTTAAATGACGTCATTTACACAGATTGACCTCAGGTCAACCGGTATAACATTAACTCACAAAACAACTGGAAATTGGTGTAATAGGTTAAAGGTTAGTACATGTACAATACACATAAAGATATTGTTAAGGATGTTCGCTACTCTGTTTCAAAATAACAAGCTTTTTAAAAGACTGTTATAAATTGATAGTATATAAATAAAGGAACTAAAAAAGCAGAAAAAAATGAAGGGTCCGTGTGCTTGTTTTCGAGATATTAGCAATTGAAAATTTGGCGGGAAATAACTCTCTCTAGACTTTTCATACATTTAACATTGGCACCCTTTTTCTTTAAAAAAATTATGAAAAAATAACAAGGATTTTATAGCATTTTCAAATATGGCTATTTAAACTATATGTAATAAAATTATGAAAAGAAAAATAGGTATTAGGGGGCAAAATTTTTATTGGAACTAACATGGATAAAACTAGAGGATTCCGAATATCTGACAAAAAGTCAAAAACAAGAGTAGCGAACATCCTTAAGTCAGACATGCAGTCCTTTAGAATGAAATTGGTTAAAGTATATTTTACCTTATATATATTCCAGTGTCTCTACAGCTAAGGCTTCATTCTGTTTCATACCAAAAAGGGGAAGTTATGTTTATATGGTATACAATACATAAGTTTTTACAGTCTTTATTAATTCAGACTGAAATAAACCACACTGAAAATACTTTTTCAGGTGCTACAAGAACTAATGATGCAAAAGAACTATTATACGCTCGTCAGAAGATAATCACATGTGCTAAGACATACAGACTACAGGCCATTGATCTTGTCTACATAGATTACAAAGGTAAATAGATTCTCTGTTTAGAAAGGCACCAGAGGCACACATTGGGATAATATACATGCTCTAATGGGCCCTTTAATTAGAAATAAAGAAGTTTGATTCAATTCGATTTGTACAATGGATTCAGGCTACCGTACATATACATGTACATTTGATATGATGGGAACTGACTTAAAGTGAAAGATAAATTTGTATTAGCTTTACAAGCCTTGGGAAGTTATTTGTTTTGAATTGTAAGTTTGTATTTGCTTAACTCCTGGAACTTGTTTTAAGTAAAATCTTGAAATTATACAACTAGCCTTTCTGGCCATGGCAATATATTTAAGCAAAATAATAGTTTTTATACAACTGCAAAAAAATTGTTGTCTGTAGACATTTGGTTTCTAGAAAGTAACTTGAGTATAAGTGAATGGATCTCTATGAAATTGTACTACAAGGTTCCATACCACAAAAGGAAGATTGGGATTGATTTTGGGGGTTATTGTCCAAACAGTTAAGGAATTAGGGGCCAAAAACGGGGCAAAAATCCAGCATTTTTCTTGTCTCAGGACAAAAGTGTGTATAAGTGTATGGATCTGTATGAAATTGTACCACAAGGTTCCATACCTCAAAAGGAAGGTTGGGATTGATTTTGGGGGTTATGGCCCAAACCATTTAGGAATTAGGGGCCAAAACACAAGGATTTTCTGGCTTCTGGAATTTATCTTGAGTATAAGTGTATGGATCTGTATTGAATTGTACCACAAGATTCCATACCAAAAAAAAGGTTGAGATTGATTTTGGGGGTAATGGCCCAAAATTTTTTGGAATTAAGGGCCGAAAACTATACTTTCTTAATGCTTGTTATAAATTAAATATTTCTTGACCAATTTCAACGGGGTTTAATTCAAAGTCTTGAATTTTTGGGTTTCTTTTAAATGCTGAATCTAACTGTGTATTTAGATTTTTTGATTTTTGGGTCCCATTTTTAAATTGTTCCTTATTGAGGTCCAAAGGGTCCAAAATTAAAGTTTGTTTGATTTCATCAAAATGAATTTTTTGGGTTCTTTGATATGCCGAATCTACCGATGTATTTAGATTTTTAATTTTGGACCCCTTTTCTAGCCATCGGAGCCATTTATACTTGAAGTGAATTCTAAAGTTTAAATTAGCTTATGAAACTATCTATTGAAACCTAATTGTATTGATAGGATTGATTAGCTAATCTTGTCATGGGAACTTATTTAAAGTTTAGAAGCCTTAAAAAAATCTAAAGCATCTTTTTTTGGATAACTCTCATACTTCTTAAAATGAGAATAAACCACACACAGTTTTATAGTCTTAGTTTAATAGTTCCGTGATTCCTATTTCAATAAATGTCTGAATATTGTTTATATTCACTTATCTCATTTCAAAAAGAATTTAGAAATGAATAAATAAAAAAAATAATACACCCATATCAACGATTAAAAACCAACCTCAATACTCAAAAAATGTTTGTGTTCGGACAAGCCAACAACAACCAATCCAAGATTAAGGTGTCTTCAGAATATTTGAAAGTCCACACTATGTATTGGTAACCTAAATTATACAAATGATTTCATCTCTTAAGTAAGTGTTCTACTAGGAATCATACCACATCTCCTTTTATAGAAGTTAGTCAGTGTCATCATTCATTTCATTTTTTATTTTCAACAATTATGCAACGGGGGGGGGGGGGGGAGAGGGGCACAAACAGGTAGCTTAATTCATTATCATGTTGAACAAATGTTGAATAAGACTAGAAATTTCAATCTTAATAAAGTTTTACCCATTGTTCATTTTTGAAAGGTCTGTCCTGACTACCTTTAGTATGCGTTTCAATATTTTTCCATTGGTAAGATATGCCATTTTGTGACTGATGGAATACATTGTAGTTCACTCTTCCTAATATTTTCCTTTAGTACAATTATTTTAGTTGTACTAACTCAATAAATGATCCATCTCCCCTTGTTTTCATTGCTTAACACATAACAACGATTTATTTCTAGAGAAGCATTAACTGTTAAAGCTGTAAATTTAGATTTAGCTGGGTTCCAACAGCAAGCAGAAGAGGGAGCAAGGATGGGATTTACAGGGAAGCAGGTGATTCATCCAGATCAGATTCCCGTCGTCAATGCTGCTTTCTCTCCTTCAAAGGAAAGAGTACAGTGGGCCACAGAAATGATCCAAGCTTTTGATGAACATCAAAAATCTGGACAGGTGAGGTTTTATTGGATGCCACTTTAACACTATCACAGTAGACTGGCCAATTTTCTTTAAGCTTTCACTGAAAATAGACCATTGCATCTGTTTTTCTTTTTTTTATCTCCATACAATAGATAAAGAAAAACTTCATATAACTGAATATAGGCATACGTTATACAACTGTTATATAAATTGAAGCGGTTTGTTCAATTGTTAAATTAGATATTGTGTGAATGAGAGTTTTGGTTTATTTTTGTAATCAGGTCAGATAATTATATGAATGCCTCATAAATATTTTCATTTTATAATTCATTCAACTGATAGCAATGATAATAAATATTTGAGAATTTATAGCTATGTCATATCCCTGCTGGAAGAATTGGTGCCCACATTGATAATGTGATCATGAATGGGCATAAATTGTCATTTTATAAAATTTATTTACCAGCCTAATGTCTATATGTAGGGAGGGTTTGTTGTTGATATATATGACTATTATTACTTTTTAAATCATTTCTAATATTTTAGGGAGCCTTTGTTTTTGATGGAAAGATGATTGATATGCCGCTAGTTTTACAGGCGAGAAATATTGTCAGCATGGCTCAAGCAGTATCAATCACATGAGTACAGGTTATGTGATACCAATCACATAAAGTACATATCATGTGATATCAATCACATTTGAAGAAAAGACAGATTTTATTCATATCACAAATTTCAAACTGCTAAACAGAATACTATTTACCATCCATACTTATGACACCTGTCAGTTTGTTAACTCGGTGAATGTTTTCTATCCAGTATTACTCTAGGGTAGACTTGTCACTATGTTTTTGCCATTTGACATTAAGAGCATGTTGGCATTTTACAAGTATAAAAAACTTTTTATTTTTGAAAAAGGAATCAATACATAAAAAAGAAAGGTTTCAAGAGAACCTCACACATCTTAAGATATACCTTCAATTTGAAATGATATGCAACAAATTGAAATGAATAATTCTTTATATAATATTTTAGAAATCCTTGTTGAATCAAGAAATTTTTGTTGCATTTTAAAGCTGGGGGATGTAAAATCATCAATATTATGAATGTCTTAGCATAGAAACAAACTAATAATTACTGTTATAGTGCTCATTATAAAATTAGGAATCTCACTGAAGCTCTCAGATATGAATCAGTTCCCACAATTTCCATAGTACCTTTATATAAATCCACATTTTTCTAAATGCATAATTTGTACATTGTAGACATCTTTAGATGGAATGGGCTGTTCTTAAAAGTCCTTTTTAAAGTGTTTTTTTTTTTTATTTTACTGTAAATTTACTGGTTTAGAGTTGTTGCCCTAGATTTTCCCAAAATAATATTGTAAAATTGGGTTTCCAGGTGATCAAGACAGTTTAGGGAATCTGTGGATTTTGACAGTTTTCTTTTAGTAATTCTTTGATTATAAAGACTGTAGGAAATGCTGAATATAATATAAACATTCAAAATAAAATTTATTGTTTAAACTTTCAGGCAATTTCTAAATATAACTTTGTATCTACTTGCAGTGTGTAGATATCATTCATTTGATACTGGTTCTAAAGTTTGCAAGTTTATTAGGGCTAATCCATTAAAATGTATGTGGGAGGGTAGGAAGGGAAGTTTAATTATTGAATGTGGGTCATGGGTCTTTTTTCAGTATGCGTCTATTACCATTATGCAAAATTATCTAAAAAATGGTTCTTGGTTGTAGGGATATTTTGAAAGTCCCTTCCTACCCTCTAACATACGTTTTAATGGAATAGCCCTTACCGAGTAAAAATGGATTGATTATCTTTAATCAAGAGATCAATTTCTATTTGATATAACAAGATGGTTGTTAAATTGTGTATTTGTTTTGAATGGTTGGGATGCTTTCTCATTGGTTCATACCCTCAAGCCCCTTTTCCCATATTTATGTACAAGAGTCTACACAAAACAATCAACTAGCTAATTTAAATATATATCTGATTCTCCAACAAAAATTCAGAGCAAACGAACAAAATTAACAAACGATGCAAAGATATTAAGACTTATATATAAATATTATTTATTATCTGTGTAATGGTAAATACCAAATAGTGAGATAATTATTTATTTACCGTGTAAATTAAAACCTTTTCATACTGCAACTGCTCTATTTGCACTGTCAAAATGTATTGTCCTTATAACTGTTGGCTTTATGTATATGTACATTCTACCGTGTTCCTAATATAAAAATAAGAAGATGTGGTATAATTGCCAATGAGACAACTCTCCACCAGAGACCAAATGACATAGAAATTAACAACTGTAGGTCACCGTATAAGCCTTGTACAAGATTTTATATTTTGAGACAATATATTGTTATAAGTAGTGCTTCAAAATAGTTTTCATAAAATTGTTAATTGTTGAGTTTGGGTAGTTTCAGTTTGTTTTGTAACATGTATATCTATTTATGTATATATGCTTATTAGATGCTTATTAGATGTATATCCTTGCTATAATAGTCATGTTTTCTGCAGGTTCACTTCGATCACTCCATTAATTTGAATTTTCCAAATTTCATGGCATTTTATTGTACTACTACCTGGATTGGGTAAATTTGATCAAAAGGGTAAAATGTTGAAGGAAAAACAAATTTTAATGTAATTTTTTTAGTATTTTACTGAGAAATTAAAATGTACTCAGTTATTTGTAATGGGGGAAAATAATTTAGACATCAATGAACATGATAAATAGCTTCTTTTTTTAACAAGACATCAATGAATAGCCAGTATTTATATCTCAGTCATCAAAATTTCCTTCAACATGTTTAATGTATTAAATGAACAGTGGACATAATCAAGAAATGCATCAGAAGAAAAAGGTTGATTATTTCATACTGACAGAAAATACAGAAGCATGAGTAGGAAAATCTCATGTACAAAAAATGTATGGAACTTATAATTTGGTACGCTAGAAATGCTACATAATACTCATCAGTGGCACATGAATCAAAACAGTAAGAAAGTCAAATCAAATACAAAGTTGAAAGTTGAAGAACATAAAAAACAGGGTTTAGTTTAATCCATTAGATTTTTTTGTTAAATTGAGATACCGTTTTCCAAAAAGCTTTTCATGAATGATAGAACTTACAATCTTGCCCGTGATCATCATTTAAATGTGTGCAATTTTGGAAGACGTCTAGGATTTTAACATTTTGGGCCATATGAATCCTAAACCCTTTGTAACATCACGAAAAAATGCAAACCTATTGAGGTTGTGCATCTTCCATAATGGAGTCGTTGAAAGCATTTTTTCTATATATGTTGTGATTTAAGATATATATGACCTGTAGAAGGGAACTTCACCAGTATGATATTTACTATTTAAACAGTCTGTAACCATAAATATAAGGGCTACTGTCTTTGAGTGAGAAATAAGAAATAAAAAGGTAAAAGATGAATCAGAATGCTTGAGGAAAAGTATCCCAATTTGTAATGGTCATTTATAAAGCTCTGCTAGTTACATATTATTAGATTTTTATATTTCAAACATCTGATCTATGAATATGTTAATAAAAATGTATATGTTTGTTTATATTGTTGTTCTTGTGTACATCTAAATCATTATTTACAAGTTTTGACCATTCACATTTAATGCAAATTTTTAACCATTCACATTCAGAATGTTCCAAAATAATTAGGAGATAACTGTATTGTATTTTAAGTTTGGTCTTTGTAATACGTAGATTTTACTGTTGCAAATGGATATACAGTTATCCCCGTTCTAATGCCACATACTAAAATAAATTCCATTTTAGTAAATATTTTGTCTTATAAATGCCATAAATGAAATAGTCAGCGAAACTGTTATAACATTGTCATAAAGCGGGAGGTTTGGCATGCCATGAAACCAGGTTCAACTTCAACCCATCACATTTTTTCTTAAAATGTTCTGTACCAAGTCAGGAATATGGCAGTTGTTATCAAATAGTTTGTTTCTATGTGTGTTGGTGTTTGTTTTTGTTGCACTTTGGTGTTCCTGTTGTTCCTTTGTTTTCCTCTTATAGTTGATGTGTTTCCCTCGGTTTTGGTTTGTAACCCGGATTTGTTTTCTCTCAATCGATTTATGACTTTTGAACACCGGTATTCTACTGTTGCCTTTATTTACATTGTCTTTGGCATCAAAACAATGTGACGTCATAGATACTAGTATACTCCCGATGTCAAACATAAAAACTAGACGTATTTTTACTTTTTGTATACTTCTAAATGGTTTAAATATTCACAAAAACAAGATTTTGAGGCACAATATTTGACTTTTTTGTTTATTTCTTGAGAAATTACATACCAAAAAAATTCGGAATTCAAAATTGTGGCTTTCCTTAGTTATGGACTGGTAGAACGTGGAATCTAACCCTTCAAAATATTTGTCAACGTTCAATGAAAATTATCGTTCTAAACGAATTGCATTAGAATGTGTTATATCTTACTCCAAAAGTATGTTTTACTAACTTAGTCAGGATATCTGGACAATGTGTTGGTCCTTGTTGTTTTTCTTTGTTTTTATATAAAAACGAGGAGATCTGGTATGATTGCTGATTAGACAACTATCCACCAGAGTTAAAATGAAGTGATAGTACGCAATACTAGGCCACTGTATGTCCTTCAACAATAAGAAAAACCCATACTATATAGTCGGCTATAAAAGGCCCTGACCTGAAAAATGTGAACCAATTCAAACCAGAAAATGATATCTGTTTTTAAGGTGGTACTGTAATATTTTTGGTAATTTGTGTTATTCTTTATATATATGATGCACTTTTCTACTTAACAAAACAAATTCGAATAGAGAAGCCATCATAAAAGCAGAAATCACCACGAAGGAACACGCCCTCTATGACCTTGTGGTAATGTTCTCGCCTAACATGTCAGAGGTTAATGGTTCAAGAGATTAGGCAATCAAACCAAAGTCTTTAGAATTGTTTCTTGATGTACTTTCACATTTCAGGGTCAGAGCAAAGAGTTGTTGCCTTGAAGTCAGATAATTCTGTCCGTAATGGATGATATATTTTACTGCAGAGTCCGACATTTGAGCTAGTATGTAAAAAAATACTTTCCAGTATAAAGAGAAATATGTATATGACATACACATTTTTTTCCTCCAGAATAGGTATTTGCGTCTGAAAACTTGGCACTCATTCCCATTCATCTATTGAAGAAGTACAGTCATGAGAATGGAACTTTTATTAAAGTCAACAATTGCATTGCTATTGCTACCAGTACTTCCGGGCTTCAAAAGAAAAACGAATTCCTAAATCAGTTTTTTTTTTGTATGAAATCCTAACAACTTGTGACACTTTCAGAACGAACAGCATTTAAGTTCTTGTCTGTGTTGGGGACTATTGCAGCATTCCTGGCATCTGCGTGTACATTTGCATAATTTCCAGCATCTGGTTATGCGATACAACTACAAGACACTGACCATTTGTCATCAGATGAAGGTTACTTCTTGGAAGACTGACCATGCCGTATATATAAATATGAATATATCAGAACCTATCTGGAAAGATCAATTGGGTTTCTTAATAACAAATATTTCGCTAGGTTACCAGGTGCGTAGCTATGTTTACGTTAAAACGCCCGGGCATGCACATGCATTTTGGAGATAAATATTTTTATCTTAATTAATCAACAGAACTGGTTAAAAGCACATGAGCCTGGTAATTATTTCTCTATTTTGATTTTTTTGCATTTTTGTCAATTGATTGTCTAACCCCATGTTTCCTTTTATACATATTTTACAGTAACTGGTTTGGATTTTTTTTCTCTAAAACCATTGACCATTATAGATTCCAAATCAACAATTTGTTGTATTAATTGCCGTGGCTTTTATTAAGGGACTTTCCGTTTTGAATTGTCCTTGGAGTTCGGTATTTTTGTTGTTTTACTTTTTGATACAGTAGTTGTCGGTGGTTCATGTCTGTCATAATCGTTTTCAGTAAATTGTTTTGTTCTAAATTAACCCCTTAGCTATTTCGCTTGAATTATTCACATTTGTCATGTCGGCGACTTTTGTAGCTGACTATACCATACATACGGTATGGGTTTTTTCTCATACGATGGCATATAGTTGTCATACATTATTTTTGTACTTAATTTTATATTTCAAACTGTCTAATTATGTTGATTTCTATAACAGTTTATTAACGTGTACATTTCGTATGCACCAGGCATATTTAATTTATTCAATATTAATGATCTCGAAATTCATAATGAATTTAAATGTCCGAAATATTTGATTACACCTGAAACAGTTTAGATTATAAATTTATATTTGTCAATACTTATGGTCAAGATTGAACTTAAATCTTACGGTTATTCAATATTTCTATTTGATCAATTATGTTTAATTCAATACACAAGCGTGTAAATAATTTCTCTTTGATAAACGGAATCAATCTGTTATCTAATTTCTGTTGACAAAATGACCGTTACTAACTTTGTTGTTAGCAACGATATTTTGTATTTAAAGAAAGATAAATTTTTATTAAAGGACTCCGTTTGGATATGCCAACGAGAGCACATGAACTGCGTTCGGATTTTCCATCGCAATCATATTTATTGTTTTTGGTTTAAAATAACTAATTTGTAACACTGATATTTTATATTTGGACTTTATTAAATGAATTTGGACTTGACCAATTTGTTTATATTTATTGTATTGAACTGCCGACTTGTGTGTGAAAAAAGAGCTAGTACCCCGCATTGTGAATCGTTCCCATATACGGGATCCCACTCAAAGCCATTCTGGCAAGTTTTATCTGGAAACGTATCAAAATACTTCCTCATATAGTTGCTCATTAATACTTCATTTAAACTCTGGTGGATAGCAATGAATAGATTAAACATGAAAAATTAAAAAAAAAAAACCAACAGACTCTTAAGCCCCCGTCACACTAGACCAAGACCATGGAGACTGCTACGATCTATAAAAGAATAAGATCGCGGTGAGATAGTGGTATGGTAGGCTTGAATATTCAATATTTCATAGTTTTCACTTTCATACCACGACCTTGCTATGATCCTGATAAGATACTGCTACGACTCCGCTACGATAGTAACACGTTCTAGTTACGACCTTGTCACGCTCTTGCTACGTCTAATAAGACCTTACCACGACTTACACGATCTCTGTACGCTTCTAACAAGACCGTCCCGATCGCATTACGATCTAAGTACGATTCTACTTGGATCGAACCACGACTCTACTACGTTGTCACTGCGCTCTAGAATATGGCTTCATCAAATAAGTTCTAAACCAAATGCGTTGTCATCCAAGATGATGTATGGCATGTTCAGGTCGTCATTAGGTAAGGGATCTGATAAATAAAGGCACCAGTAGTATACCGCTGTTCGAAACTCATAAATCGACAGAGACGAAAACAAATCCGGGTTACAAACCAAAACCGAGGGAAACGCATCAATTATAAGAGAACAACGACACAACAAAAACACAACATTAAAATGTAACACACACAGAAACGAGCTATAATATAACAATGGCCATTTTCCTGACTTGGTACAGGACATTTTAAGAAAAAAAATGGTGGGTTGAACCTGGTTTTGTGGCATGCCAAACCTGACTCTGGAAATCCAATAGTATTACCTTCCAAACACTCCTTTGATCCTGACACGTTGTAAATCTGGGTGTCCGACATGGAACCATATCCTCCTACATCTATCCTTAAAATGTGTAGTCTACATCCACAAATGCAAGGACCTATGAATGGTTTTACACTAGTAATTTTTTGGGGCCCTATATAGCTTGCTGTGCGGTGTGAGCCAATGCTCCGTGTTGAAGACCGTACTTTGACCTATAATGGTTTACTTTTATAAATTGTGACTTGGATGGAGAGTTGTCTCATTGGCACTCATACCACATATTCTTTTATCTATGAAACAAGGATCCACTTTAAGGCGGGCTTCTAATAGCAACATACTTTCCATCGAGCGCGCGACAAGCGTGTGGCACGTTACATCTTCTCTGAAATTCTTCGGCAATAGCTCGACATTCATTTGGTTCTGTTGGACAGGATATGACCAAACAATTGTGTGTCAAACCTCAGGAAGAAAAGTACTTATAGTATTGCGCTCGACTCTGAAATCGTACTGAAGGGTTGGATACCTATCACAAAAGCTAAGTGCCTTATGGTAATAGCAAATTTCAGACCGAGATTTAGTGCCTTTTCGAAACGGGTGTATATCTTCTGAATTCTAGGACTTAATCTGTTCAAAAGTTCATCAATCGTTTCTGGAGGCATCCTTTAAAAAATTAAGAATGACTGTTGATCCTCCATCCTTAATTCTTTCATAAGTCGGTCGCAATGCCAAAACTGGAGTATTCTTTCAACTAAAAGCCAAGGACGCACCCAACAAGACCTACGCTGTTTAGTTTGTCTTCTCCTTCTTCTTATAACTAAAAGTGTAGCCTGATCAGCCAAATCGATTCAGAGCAGCTGAATTAGAGATTGCAGAAGTAGGTTTGCTGAGGTTTTGCTCATGTGTGTCCATGGTTGATTTACAGGTAAAAGTTATTGCATCCGCTTTATTTTTCAACAGGATGAGGTCGTACAATTATCGTGGCTAGGACGTAGCAGTATCATACTAAGGGTGTACTAAGGACCGCAAGCGCGTAGTAGCAGCGTACCTTTGTCTTCCTCGTAGTAGTATCATCGTATCAATATCGTAGTAGAAGCGTAATAAAGACGTAGTGAAATCGGGATAGTCGTAGTGAAATCGTAGGAAGGTCGCAGCGAAATCTTTTTAATTGCTTCCCGATTGCACCACGATTTCCAATACGATGCTTCTACGCCAATCTCGATATTACTACGTCCTTACTACGACCTTCCTACGCTTTTACTACGACTAGTTTTGGCCACGACTGCACTTCGAATGTTTTGAGCATGTTCAAAGTTGGTTGTGGACCACTTTGATCATGAAGATCCGGGGGTTCACTTCAAAATGTCCTAGCTACGCCACTGATTGAATTGCTGTAGTAGTTTAAAGGTTAAACGATTGATCCCATCGACAATTAAGATTACTCAGAAAATTGTGATATGTAAAGGTTAGACAATACTTGGTCATGTTTTATGAAGATTTAAAGCCCAAGGCGTAGCCGAGGGCTTTAAATCTTCATAAAACATGACCAAGTATTGTCTGACCAATTTAGAACATATTCACACTTTCGAGTGACCTTACAAAATTATCCTTTCCCATTGTAATATTCAAAACTAAATAAGAATTAACTTTTTATAATGAAGTGAGTATATAACATAGGTAAGTAATGACCATTACAATGGATGGAATGAAATAGCACTGACATAGTTTGTGAGGACAAAAAGGATAAATTGTTCAAACATTTGAGTTTTTCTTCTGCTTCAGGTAAAAATTTAATACTTTTATACCTTAAATTTCTTGATTTTATTGAGCACACAATGTTATATCAATCCAATTTATGAAATTCGAATATTTTTTGATAATTATAAAACTTACTCTATAAATATTTGAAATACGACCATTCAACATCAGATGCTTACTTTTTATTAATGAATGTACATGTATTGTGGGTTTTTTTTTTCTCAAAAAAATCCTTTGCTTTATATATCAGCAGTCTGACATTGTTTTCTTGAAAAAAATAATCGACTCGAATGTCTGGTATAAAATTTGTATAAAAGATAATTTTACCTACATCTTTGCCCCATTTTATTTTTTGTTTGTTATATATATGTACCATTAATATAAAGATTTGCAATGTTCAAAATGTTTTTTAAAATTCTTTTCTCTTTCATCTTTAATCAGTAGGCTATTTTCCCAAGGAAAATGCCTCAGGGGATTGTACACTTCGTTAGTAAAGTTATTAAGAGTTCACTTTCATAATTAATCTACAATGAAAAGTCATTCATGTATAGCATTTTATAGTGCATGGAAAGCCATGTACTATGAAAATTAGAAGGGAAAAAACTGACTTTTCATTGGACGAGAAGGGGTGAGTATGTTCTAATTTTCCTTTCGCAACCATAGGTTGTCGCGGGGACCTAACGTCCAAACTATTGTACTTGTCTATTGTCAGTGACTTCGTTGGAGGCGAAAACACGTCGATTGTTTATAAAATGTAATGACTGAACAGCTGTCTTTGTATAACTCGTCTTAGCTATCATCTATACAAACTCCATTTCAGGCAGTCGACTCTTGGTTTTAACATGTTTAATAAATCTCCGGTAACCTATTTATATACACTACACTAACTTATTACATGTGTTATGAGGAAATTAATCAGTCGCATACTGTATGAGGTGAGTATGATATGTGTGATGCATTACTGTTTATTGACAAATCACTATTTAGAACCACAGTGGAGATTTGAGGTATTTACAAACATTTAACATGTCTAAAGCCGCGTCCACAAAACATGTCATAATCTGCATCTGTTTACATCAAGGATTTGTACAGTGAGATTATACAAATCTTTGTTTACATTTAATTTAGTGTAATGTACACCGGTTTCACATGAACTTAGTTTTTACCTGTACATCTGTTTAATTAACATTACTTGAATACAATTCATATCGTAAAAATTTCAAATATATATATATTTAAAAATTGTAAAGATTAACATTTCTTGTGGAAAATCAATCATTAAGTTTGGGTGAAGCACTTGAACATTTCTTCTCTTATTTCAGATACCATTAAACATGTTAAAAGATAAGCTGTGATGTATTAATATACTACTACTGTCATGGAAACACCATGCTCCGAGATGATCGGAGCATCTATTCAACAAACAGATTCGTACAAGAAATCTGTGTCTTTATATCAGGCATCATGGGATGATCTACGCCAATGTATCGCAAAAAACCATGTCGATCTCACACATCTTTCTGCTGTACTCGTTAAACTCGAAAATAAAACACATTTCGATAAGAAAAGACAAAACGAAGTAGAGGACATAGAAACATCAGTTACAGAAATAGTGCAAACCATACTTGATAAAATGGGTGTGTATGACAACACTTGTCGAGACCTCAGACTGATAAAGGCTGGTGGTTACTTCGATGGTACTAAAATTCGTATTCCTGATGAATTTGACTTTGTTGTTGACATAAGCTCATTATCTTCGTATTTTTCAACAAAGACCAAAGAGGAAGTACAGATTGATTGCTGGAAAGAGGACAGTTCCCGGGTGAACGTTCGAGTTGTTGGAACGCCAGATCCAACCGTCGCTATATTTTGTCCCGACGTTTGCATGAATGCTTCAAACAGACAAGAAAGTGCAAGTAAATGTGGTCCGACAGGAGTCATAATGAATAAGAAATTTTCAAAACTATTTACCTCGCTTTTTAAGAAGGTAGTTATTTCTTTCATTGAAGATGGAATGATAGTCACTCGATCTACAGGAACAATGAAAATAATGCCGGATTTAGTCAACATTTTGGCCAACACACTTGATGATTCGTTTTTGCCTTTTTATACTCTATGGATACCGAAGAGAGACACAGAGGCTGTAGGGATATCAATAGATATCACGCCCAGTTTTCGCCTAGACTCAGATTACTTAAATTTTAACAGAACATTCGTTAACGTTGATGCCCTGAAAAAAATTTCAGGAATTATTGGTAAGGATAATTGTTTTATGAGACTTGTGTTGCGAGATGATGATCATTGGAGGCTGTCATTGTCCCATGTAGAAACGGAAGTGATCAGAGAAGCAGACGATATACACAAAATGTGTTCAAGAATTCTCAAAATGTTAAAAGAGGGAAAACCCCTTGACGCTGACCAAGATCATATACCGAACGCATCTTACATGGAAAGCTCCGCGCGTTCTTTTAAATTTACCGAAATGTGTACCTCATACACTATAAAAACTGCTATTTTAAGGCATATCATATCATGTAACAGAAGCACGTGCGGTCTAGGCAACTGTTTTATTTCCATCCTATTAGAAGTCGAAGAAATGGTGAAATCTGGAGAATTTACTGGTCTTTTTATTGGCATAAATAAAAAGGAGAGTACATGTACGGGAAATTGGGAACTCGACACACTCTCTTATCTCAGCAGACTTAATACAATTTTTATTGATTTGATTGAAGGGAGAGAGCAGGATGAAACTTCGGCAGCTGAACAAGTCTGCCAAGAAAGAAAGAAATACATACACGATATCTGCACTTCAGATGACTTCAAGGATATTCAGGATTGGTATATTGGAGCTATTTGAACATGTTGAAATTACAAGATATGCAGCAATCATGTTATCATCAAATATTCAAAATGTAAAAATATATGGAGGAAACAACTTGAAAGGTTGACAATTTTAACCACAACTACATAATTATATGTAAAGGAGAAGATAGAATTAGTTCCAAAAATTCCTATAATATAACTACGGAGAAACATTATATTATACGATCTTTTTATCCTTCATGTCCACAAGCAAACAAAACCAATTTGTTATAACACATCATGTTACACAAATGTATAAATTTACATAAGCTTCGATTGCTGCTCGTCTTTCTGTGTATTTTGAGCCTTCGATAGTGATTACATCACAACAATTGGGGAACGTCTCCAACCTGCAGATGACACAGGTATCCAATACATTGAATAATAATAAAGTTGATGACAAACTTTTACACTGAAAATGATTACGTTTAAGTATAACATTTATACACTCTCATATTAAAAAGGACAAAAAGGAAATGTCTACAATCCTGTCAAAAGCATTTACCGTTAAACAACAATCTTCAAGCAAATATAACGAAGACAAGGATAGATCCTGGCTTGGGACAGCCACTATTTGCTGCGGTGTTAGACTAATTTGTGCGGTACCAACTCTCCTCTTAAATACAAATACTTGACGGCAACATATTATCATAAACAAAACAATACAAAACATGCAAAAAGTCTCCATAACTCGAAAAAGATCTATAATAAAACAAATTAAACAAATTAAAGACAAATGGACCCTAATGGTGTATATCAATTATTTGTTAATGTTGCATCGCAGTTAATAACATTGTAGAGAGAAGCAAACGCTTCTCCGATGTTTTAAGTTCAACAACCGAATTTAAACTATCAAAATTTGTGTTCATGAAGTAATGAGGTGATTTAACTAAAGTGTACATGGGCAACACAAAAAGGGACACAGCTTTGTGTGTTTAGGTGTTAGACCACCAATTAACCCACTCCAATTTAGAACGTATGTAAAATAGCCCTTACCTGACAAAAAATAGTGATTTTGATGTCGTTGTTAACTTAAACTAACCAACAAATTTGCAGAAATGAAACTTTTGTTGAAAGAGAAATATATGTAGACCATTTTGAGCCAAAATTTACTTGTCCATGACTTATAGTAAATAAAAATTGTTTCATGACCATAACTGCATTATTGATGAATTACTGGTCCATTACTGGAACCTGATGAAAAAAAGGTCACTATTCCTTGACTCTTCAATACTTTCGATTTTTTACTAAATTCATTGTAAAAATTGTAAAAAGTCTTTAAAGCAGTAGGACAAACAAGGAAAAATCAACCAAAATTAATCTTGATATTGAAAGTTTATGTTCCTGAAGTCAGAAATTAAATTTCAAGTATTTTCTATAAAAGTCATACATAACAGTCAGTTTAAATTGAGCTGTGAATTTTGCAATATAAGTCTCATTATGATGAGATATGGTTTTATTTACTTGAAGTTGGCCAAGGATTAAGAATAAAGCAAAACAAAAGAGCTGTGAATTTTGCAATATAAGTCTCATTATGATGAGATATGGTTTTATTTGCTTGAAGTTGGCCAAGGATTAAGAATAAAGCAAAACAAAAGACTTCTGATAAACTTTTTTTGTCTCTTTAGGTGTCAGACCACCAATTCACCCACTCCAATTTAGAACGTAGGTAAAAGTAGTCCTTACCTGACAAAAATAGTGCTTTTGTGTCATTGCTAACTTAAACTAACCAACAAATTTGCAGAAATGAATCTTTTGTTGAAAGAGAAATAAATGTAGGCCATTTATAGCCAAAATTTACTTGTCCATGAGTTTGCATTAAAATTTGAGGATTAATGCGCTCCATAGTATACCTATTTGAGATTTCCAGAAACCAGGGGTTATTTTTAGCAGTACTTGTCTTCTAAACGTTAGTATATCCTTAGAAGACTTTAAACATAGGTTGAAAATTGGCATGTAGAAAGATGATACATGTACAATTCAGGATATACCTGGTTTCTATGAAGTTAAACTAAAGGTAAAATATTTAGAAAGCTGTGAAATTTACAAAATTTGGTTGAATAGATAGGGATTTTGAATTGGTGGTCTGACACCTAAAGCCCCACTTTACGATAAACCGAAGTTTGTTTGAATCAACAAATAACTGTTTCTGTGGTTGTATTGGATTACAAAATACATAACATAAACCTCGATCGAACATGGAATTAGCGTTTGATTTTTTTGATACGAACACATTCATAACTGACCTCCGTCGCATCGGGACGTAGTTCGTAGCATGTTCCAAGTGCTCCACAAAACCTCCGTTTTTCATATGTGGCTGACTTCATACTGGAACTTTTAGGAAGAAGGACAAGACGTTAGCGTTATCCTTTAACTTCACTTTCCGCAATATAGATGATGTCCTCTCACTAAATTATTCAACGTTTGGTGACTATGTTGAGCATATCTATTTCATTGAACTTGATATAAAGGATACACCAAATACAGTTAAGTCTGCCTCATATCTTGACTTATATCTAGAAGTTGACAATGAGGGATGGTTGAAAACAAAAATTTATGACAAAAGAGGTGATTTCAGCTTCCCAATTGTGAACTTTCCATTTCTATGTAACAAAAAATCCAGCAGCGCCTGCATATGGAGTATATATCTCTCAGTATATACGATATTCCAGGGCTTGCATTTCCTATCATGATTTCCTTGACAGAGGTTTGCTGCTCACAAGTAAGCTATCAAACAAATAGTTCCAAGTTGTGAAGTTGAAATCATCCCTTCGTAAATTTTGCGGACACCATCACGAGTATGTAACACCACCAAATCATAGTACGTCATATTCGTCATAAACATATATCTTGGGTGTTTCTATAAGATATTTTGGAAACTTGAGGTTACATGGTTACTTAAGCTTGCAAACAGAAAAAAAGGGGGTGAAAATTTGATTGGTTAACTTCCAGTGATGGTTATTATCTTATATGCAATGATTTAATTTTTGGTGTTTTAACGCCACTTTCTTATATGCAATGAAATGTTATATGAAATTTTGTCTGTAGTACTGGACAGGATAAAACTTTCTCATGCCAAGTATTTCTATATTTTAAACAAAGATCAATTCTGCACAAATTTTTGAAAAGTGTAAATTTAACAAAGAAAAATTAGGGAAAACAAATGATGGTATTACTCCTTATACAAATGACGACGGATATGTTCCAATTGTCGTAACCACAATCCTGTCCTCTTTTCCCCGAAAGTGACCTACCGACTTCTCACCGGGTTTGTACTTACATGAGCAACACGATGGGTGCCACATGTAATGCAGGATCTTCTTACCCTTCCAAAGCACATCCCGGTTTTAAGTGGGATTCGTGTTGCTCAGTCTTTAGTTTTCTATGTTTTTTTTGTGTACAGTTGTATGACCTTTTGGTCTTTTTCTTATTTTGCCATGGCGTTGTCAGTTTATTTTCGACTTATGAGTTTGAATGTCCCTTTGGTACCTTTCGCCTCTCTTTAGCAGGTTTCCATTTCAATAACCTCCTTCTGAGCAGCAACCTTCTATCACTGAAATTATGATAAGATACGGAAGCTCTGAAAATTCGTATCAACTGGGAGTTATACTCCATATAAAGGATTTTCAACGAGAACTCGAATTCTTGAGTATCACTCGGTTGTACAGAGTATCGAATACCAAAATTTGAAGCGACTTATCGGTTTCTGTATAGAATATTGTCTTCTTCTTTTCGCAAACGTGAACATTTTTCGTCATGAACGACCCTCGGAGAGTTAAATAGTTACATCAACCTTTAATCATAGTGAAAATACGTTTCGTATGTGTGTGTGCTTCGTTGTCTTTTAAAACATCCACAATCTTCCATTTTGAAACTCTAAAGATGTCACGAGCTGGTGGTGGGCAACACATGAGAACAGCTTTCCAAGACCAAGACTTTTGGCTTGACGTGTTTTATCGATTCCCGACACTTGAGCAACGTCAGGGCGATCATTTTAGTCTGCTTGACGGTTAAGTACAAAGTTGGAAAACAGACTCTCCCCTGAAAGAATTCACAAGACATATCAAATCCGTCACAACTTGTGGTGATCCTCAGGGAACATTAAACGCATCAGTGATTTCTTATAATCACATCTTTGTAAATGTGTTTTCTTTGCGATTATTAATTGTGACTATTCAAGGGGTTCTTAACGTTATTGATCAGAATATTGATTATAATTCCTGTGGCTATCTAGAGGGTATAACGTCTATAATACAACAACCCACAAGCGTAAAATGCAAATAGTTGTGTTCCAATGTTGTAGATTTTGTTCTCGAGTATCGCTCGATAAAAGCAACCAGTCCTCGATTAGTAAGTTAACTACCAGTTAACACCCTTACTCTATATATACAGGCACTGCTTGAATGTTGCCACATAGAAAAAGAACGACACATTTATAATTCATACTATATGCAATCATATCTTTTGTCGAAAATCTCAACCGATCTTTATTGTGCAAATTTTAGATGTTAGTCAAGATATGATGCAGAATTAACAGACACCATATATGTGCGTTTCGGCAATACAGTTTATCGACAAGTTGAAGGTAGTTCTATGGGCACATATTATAATCCTTTAAAAACATAATTCCCGTATTGATATATTTACTCTTCAACATTCTGTATGTTCCTGTCACAAGTCAAAAGTCTGTTATTATGTAGATGTCGTTGGTTGCAGTCTGTCATATTTGTTTGTCAATTACATTTTTATTATAAATCAGGCCGTCGGTTTTCTCGTTTGAATTGTTTTACAAAAGGTCATGTCGGGGTCTATAGTTGCTCTCATCCACGTCGTTTAGTGTCTAATGGATAGTTCAGAGTTGAAAGATTTGAATTGACAAAGCATCAGTATGAACATTGAAAAACTAATACATTTTAATCTTTTAAAATACCCTACTAACTAACAGTTCTAACGAAACTGAATCGTACATGACATTTTTCCTAATTAGCATACTGCATTTACTACCTTAGAGCATATCAATACTGTTTGATTTCAGTGCTGCTTCATGTTGGACAACCATCAAGGTATCATAATCTTTTTCTTTCAATGCTTATTAAGTATATGTCTATAAAGCGAGCATAGTTGCATCGCTAGTACTTTTTGTGAAATTCCGGATGCCCAATTATAACCGCTTAACCTTAAAATACATTTGAAGTGTGTAAATAAATAAATAAATAATCCATTTCATTGTGAAAACTAAAATGTACTCATTGATCAAGACAACAGTGTTTTTAAAG